CTTCCTATTAAGTAAGTCCCAAATACTGGAATGTACTTTTAAGAAAGCAGAGTAAAAGGAAAACTTCTCAGTGTTGATTTTATAAAAACAAAATATGAACAGGGTTCCTAGTCCTCAAGAAAGCAGATGAAACATTTTCCCCAAGGGTTACAGCAAATCCAAGGCGGGCTTCCAGGGATGAGGAATTTGACGCCTTAAAAAAAATAAATGTGAAGAAGTTCTGGCAATGTTTGCTCATCCACATGTTTATTCTTTCCCTCTCCACTTTTTCACGATTCCCAACCACCCTTCCCCAGTTCCAAAGTGGATCAAAATAAAAAGTCTGAAAGCAAAATTCCAAATACTGAAAAAAATGTGACTTTTACAGAAACGTTTAATTTTTTTTCCAAGTACTGTTTTTTTCCTTTTGCAGAAAAAATAATAAGTTCAGAGCTTTCTGCAAACCTATCGGTAGCCTCTGCCTGACCCCTCTGCAGTTACCTCCATTAATACTGCTCAAAATACTACATCTCTGTAATGGAAAGGATACCTGCTATATTAGAGAGAAGAACTATATACATTTCAGCCTGTTTCAGGCTACAGAAAGGGGCAGTGCATTGGCTTCCCTGTTCTATAGATGGCGACGGAAATTACTAACGGTTCTTTCCGTCACAGCCTCTATTAAACCCATTCTTTTCAGAGAGAAGTTCCAAAGGAAAGATTTTATTGCAGTACACATTGAAGAAGATTTAACACTGAACATTTTACTAAATCATACACAAAGGAATTAAAAGCTTGCTGGGTTTTACATCATCAATCTTTATTACGGTCCAGAGACCCAACAAAACATTACAAATTAATACAGAGTTCGTACAGTCTACCTCCAGGTTAATCAAGCACTTTGTTTGGAATATAGGGCTCGTTTGTTCTTGCAACCACCGATAAAAACTTTGCCACTGCCAACGTTCTAGCTTTTGTCCGGTCTTCCAGTAGTTTTACATGAAACTTGCTCACTTTTAAAATGCTAGCTAGGTTGCATTCTTGTCAAGTGGTACCATCCCATGAGTCACATTGAGTCCTTAAGCAATTCACGGTATATGGTGTGTGTGTGTGTGTGTGTGTGTGTGTGTGTGTGTATTTTAACATCCGCAGAAAACCAGAACACACGTTGAGGGTTAACACTGTACCGGAGTATTATCACAAATTTCCTAAGCTTAAAAACAAAAACAAAGACAGACGGTGGTAACCCTGAAAACCCTAATAAACATAAAATAAATTGGAGCAAAGAGAAGTGCAAAGAAAGGAAATAGGAGCAAGGGGTGCACATTCCTATCTAGGCTCTTATGCATGAAAATCTTTTGAGGTCAGCCAGAGCCAAAGCCTTTTGGTTTGAAATGGGCCTTGCCGTGGGTGTTCCGAGCCAGAAGTGGGAGAGTCTGTCTCATGTGCCAGTGCCACACATCTGACGATGAGGTAAGCCATGCTCCTGTCACATCAAAACATGGAGGTACCACCTGGGTCAGTTAGGTGGCCCATCAAAAATCAAGCTTGAGCTCTCAGCTTATTTAGTTAGAGGGACCATATCTCAGCTTAATAAGCCACTGAGCGTGAACTTTTGTGTACATCAGAAAACAAACCAAGCCATCTTCCACCGCTCTTTGTTGGAACCGGGGAGCTATGGTTAGTGAGTAGCATGCCAGGCGTTGAAGCCAGCTTCAAATGGTGGTTTAATACCCCGGCTCCTTCAAAGTGTTAACCATAATTTTTCCTGGTTTGGACAAATGAGGAAACTATGGTTAATTGGAAGGCTACCTGGTCTGTTTCCTAGTTCTTGTGAAGGGAGAAGGCAGGAAGCACCTACACAACATTAAAACTGCTTTGTCATTAAGCTTTATATGGAGCTGGGTAAAATTAAAAAGCTAAATTTTGGGGTTAGAATACAGTTTAGAACAAGGTATGTTATGCCTGGAGTTGGGACCCAAAAATATGATGTATCTCTCCAAAGCAGCTAGATTCTCTGAGGCCTATATTAATCATCATGCTTTCTGGTCAGATGTTATAGACTGTGCCAATGGCTCATGCAACATTTGCATCATGTTGTCCTAAAAGTTGAAACAGCTTTTATGAATTCAGCTTGTGAACCACAGTCTTTACTGTTGTTGAAACAAAACTGCAACCTCCTTAAAACTAAAACAGGTGCCAGAATATTAGTGCTCTCTGCATGAGCACTCTCTAAAACTCTGTCATGGCAACATGTGGCAAAAAAACCCCATATTTGACAGCTAAACTTCAACCTTTCAGAGTTCATTTATTTGCTCGCAAAGAGCCGAGGATTTAAATGCAGATTAAAAGGTAAATTGGTTTTTCAAAAAATCTGGTGGCTTATTGTTGCATTAATCTCTTTCCAAGAACTCAATGCAGTTGCTACCAAAAGGGAACTGAAGGTGGGATAATAAAGCCATGTTCAGTCATTTCAATCAGTACTTGGGGCACAATTAGCTAAATGTGGATTTGATTTTATTTTTATTTGTTTTAACATCTTATTTCCTTGGTGGGGATTAATCTATTAAAAATCAAGGCCAAGATGTCTCAACAGAAACAGCAGCCAGAAAAGTGTGCATCATGATATATACATATATGTTAATTATATGTTAATAACGAAGTGTTTAATTGGTTAATTGCTTCCTTGCCCACAATCACCTAACAGTGTTTTTTTAGTCTGCTTATTGTCATAGATTGACAAACAGCCACAAATAATAAGGATGAAGCTCAGAGCTCAAGCAAATAGATCGGAATCTGAAGGTTCATTCTTAGATCTTGCAATTCAAATCTCTCAGTGGAAGGAGAGATTTTCATGCATTTAGAGCTTTTAACCTACCATCTCATTTTCCAACCCAACTGAGTTCACGCAGAGTAGACCCACTGAAATGAATGGGCCTAAGTTAGTAATACCAGTTGGTTTTAATGGGACACCTCTGAGTAGGACTAATATTGAATACCTTATTCACACTGCCCCTCAAAGGCCCAACCTTATAAAGAGCACCTATGGCTGATCTGCCAACTCTTCTCCACTTCCATTGCCAACTCAACCCAGATTTCTGCTGCGATAACTTGAAAAGCAGGAGGTCATTGACAAACACATGATGTCTAAGGGTTGTACAAGGCAGCCAGCATTCCAACTGGGGAAGGTTCGAGGGGTGGGGGGAGAAAAAGGTCTGTCCCGGGACCCCCAGCCCCCTGGCACTGCCAAACCACCTCCACCACCAAGTGCCACAGCTCTGCTTAAAATGGTGGTTGAGCAATGCAGTCACGCCACCAATGGATTGGAGGCATCTCTCCCGAGGCGTCTTCCACACCGCCAGCCTCGTAGTCCTGAGTAAAGAGAGAGGATCCGAGGCGGCAACTGCGAATTTGCACAAATTCAAGGCCTTCTGCGGAAGCCTGGGAGATGAACATCACAGAAAGGTAAATGAAAAACAGCTCCTTCCTCTGAATAGGGTTGTAAAGACTGCGGAGAGAATAATTGGGTGCACTCTTCCCACCTTGGATCAAACCGATGCTTCCAGGTGCCATAAGAAAGCTGCAGAGATAGTGCAGGATGGTGCACACCCTGGAAATGATCTCTTTCAGCTTCTGCCTTCTGGGTTATAAAGACTAGGACTAGCCGCCTGAGAAACACTTTCTACCCAAATGCAATTTTCGTTTTAAACGCAGTGTAGAGGGTCTCTATGGGAGTATATTGTATTTAAAAATGGGGTATCAGAGGTTTTTAGGGGGCTAACCAGGTTGGGATAGCTGGGATAGCAGGCTTGTTGGGTTTTGAATGTTTTATGTACATTTTTCAATTTCGTTGTTCTGTATGGGACAATGACAATAAAGATTATTGTATAGATGCATGCGAGTTTTGTTTTTTTCCTTCAAGTGGCAACTAATGGCAAGTGGCCACTAGATAATCACACTGCCAAGTAAGGGGGACAATGGACAAGACAGGGGGAACCTGGGCTGGCTTGTTCTTATGCCTTAAGCAGCAGCCTGATCTGCAGAAATCAACAAGGGAAAAGTTCACAGCACCGACCCAGCTGCCATTCTTAAGTTGGCAATTCCCAGTGAGAATGAGTTTACCATAGTACAACAGGAGGAGACCTAGAGCAGAACAGTCTCAGTGCTAAGCCTACAAACTACTAAATCAAGCAACTGAGAAGAAAAGCCGGCTTCTCAAAACATATTTCCTTGTGAATCCCTGCCCCCCCCTCCAAGAAACCCAACAACAACTTCTGACTAGATTGGCTAGAAATATATTTTGTCCTTGAAGATGCCGTCGGTATAAATATCCTCCCAAGTTTGTGAGAGAGGCGATAGTGGTAGAACTACAAAGCAAACCTTTCAAAAGCCTTCAGTAACAGCTGGATCCTGTGGTTACTTCACAACGAAAGATTGCCTCTATAAATACTCTCTCGGAGGTGACCGGAGGGGTTTTGTCAGGAGCTGGGCTTTATGGGAAATCGCGTGGCATTGTCAAAGTTGACATGCTGTGATGTCAGAGCATTCTGGGCGCCCCCGCCCTGCAAGAGCAGCTGGCAGCCAATTAAAAGGGAGGCAGAGTTCAATTGTGGAAGACGCCACACATTGTGGGGGGAGGTAGGTGGTTGAGGAAGGGGAAAAAGAGCTTGGCGCTTTTTCAACAACAACCGCACATCTCCCACGATGTCTAGTTCCAGCTAGAGAACGCTATGCAAAACGCACATGGCAAAACATTGCCAGTACTATAATTCAAGACTTCTAATGGGGGGAAAACTCCAATTCTGCCAAAACCACAGAGAAGGGGTGCAAAAGAGTTGCCATTGCTGCTCGCTCCTAAGAACTTTGCTTGGGAGCCAGAGAGAGGGGTGGGAGGCAGGAAAGACGCAGCTTACACCCTCGTGGTTCCCTTTGCAGAACCGCAGTTTGTAGAGACAGAGGAAGAAAGGCGCAGGTCTCGTTCTCTGGCCTCTCCTCCTCCTGCAGGTTAGAACCGTCGAACATCATGTGATCTTCAGGGGCGATTTCTTGTGCGCGCAGAGGAGGGAGACGTAAGGGACCCCGATGAACGCCCACTTCTCGCTGGGCCAGAACTTAATGACCGGGCCCTGCTCAGGGATCTCTGAGACGGCATCGAAGTAGGCAAAGCACACGCAGCCCAGGTAAGCGGCAATGCAAATGAGGATGTGCCTGAGGGGGCAGAACAGAAACGGAGGAGGGTGAGTACAGCTTGCTCCTCACCACCAGCGTGCAACTGATATTCATCATCATCATCATCATCATCATAATAAATGTTATTTATACCCCACCCTCCCCAGCTCAGGGCAGCTAACGCCAATGAAATCACAGTAATTACATAATAGGGGGAAAAGAGAGTTTATTTGTAATATGTATGTATTAATGTTGAATTAAGGGACGCGGGTGGCGCTGTGGGTAAAACCTCAGCGCCTTGGGCTTGCCAATCGCATGGTCGGCGGTTTGAATCCCCGCGGCGGGGTAAGCTCCCGTCTTTCGGTCCCAGCTCCTGCCCACCTAGCAGTTCGAAAGCACCCCTAAGTGCAAGTAGATAAATAGGTACCGCTTTATAGCGGGAAGGTAAACGGCGTTTCCGTGTGCTGCGCTGGTGCTGGCTCGCCAGAGCAGTTTGGCACGCTGGCCACGTGGCCCGGAAGTGTCTCCGGACAGCGCTGGCCCCCGGCCTCTTAAGTGAGATGGGCGCACAACCCTAGAGTCGGACACGACTGGCCCGTACGGGCAGGGGTACCTTTACCTTTACTAATGTTGAATTATTTTAATGATAAAATATTTGTCAAAAAATTTTTTGAAAAAAATCACAGTAAAAACATAATGGGGGGGCAATTTAAAATAGAGGTTCAAATGCAATTTAAAATGCAGCCTCATTTTAAAAGTAACCGATAGATCAAAACCATAAAGGGAGGGCAGCATAAGGGTCAGACTGAGTCCAAACCAAAGGCCAGGCAGAACAGCTCTGTCTTGATTTCCTTGCAAATCTGAAAAGAAGGAACCGTGCATTAGGCCTGGGCGATGTATCGATACATTGTCCAGGGCCGGATTGAGGGCCAGATTGCGATGGGGTTTTAACCCGGCGGTATATTGGGGGGGGGGGCTTCCCTGCAGGCCGTCACCTTTGATTCCTTCTCCTGCTGAGCAGGCAGGCTGAGTGCTTCCTCCATGCGCTGGGTGCTGGCAGAAGCTTCACTCCAGTGCCTTGTGAAAGAGCATCTCCATATACCTGAAGGAGTGTCTCCACCCCCATCGTTCAGCCCAGACACTGAGGTCCAGCTCCGAGGGCCTTCTGGCAGTTCCCTCACTGCGAGAAGTGAAGTTACTAGGAACCAGGCAGAGGGCCTTCTTGGTGGTGGCACTCGCCTCCCGTCAGATGTCAAGGAGCTTCACAATATTCCAATATACCTGAAGGAGCGTTTCCACCCCCATCGTTCAGCCTGGACACTGAGGTCCTGCTCTGAGGGCCTTCTGGCGGGTCCCTCCCTGCGAGAAGCGAGGTTACAGGGAACCAGGCAGAGGGCCTTCTCGGTGGTGGCGCCCGCCCTGTGGAACACCCTCCCGCCAGATGTCAGGGAGATAAATAACTAAATGACTTTTAGAAGACATCTGAAGGCAGCCCTGTTTAGGGAAGCTTTTAATGTTTGAAGTTTTATCGTGTTTTTAATATTCTGTTGGGAGCCGCCCAGAGTGGCTGGGGAAACCTAGACAGATGGACAGGGTATAAATAATAAATTACTATAATAATAATAATAATATTGTTGTTGTTGTTGTGAGGCTGGGGCTCCTCCCTCCACCTGCCAGGTGCTGGCGGGAGCAGCAGCAGTTTCGCCCTGGTGCCTCACACTCCTTCCTTTTTGGCATCGTGATATATCACTATATCACGATGTTCAGCTGGTGATCATCATGAGGCTGAAACAGGAGGTGTCAGGGACTGAACCGGGGACCTTAGGCAGGCAAAAGATGCGCTTTGCCCCAAGCACAGGGCTGTTCCCTTAGAAATGTAAATCCAGTATTAAGGCAACAAAACGTTTTTTTCACTCCCAACACACATTTTTGTAAAAACAACAGAGTTGAATGCCTGTAGTGTCTGGATCAGCCTTCACAGACTACACTGAGAACTCAGACCAGCTTTAACAAACATGGTGCCCTCTAGTGTGTGGGGCTGGGAGGGGGGCTGATGGGCATCGGGGAGGCGGGTACCACGTTGGTCAGGGGTCAGGAAACTTACCGCGCCTCAAGCTGGTGGTTCCCAGCGCTGATCGCACTGTGGGCCGGAGGGCGAGGGAGCGCATGCCCATACGCATGCGCACACGCTATTTCCGGCGCACTTCTGGGTCGGAGGAGCACCGGAAATAGCTTGTGAGCATGTGCACGGGCCTCCCCCAACCTGGATGTGCACCAGAAATAATGCTTGCGCACGCGCACAAGCTATTGTCAGTGCTCCTCCGACCCGGAAGTGGGCAAGCGCAGCGCAGCGCTGGTAAGAGCAGGTGGTGGTCGCGGGTGGCAGGGGTCTCCGTAGGCCAGATAAACGAGTCCCTCAGGCCTTATCTGGCCCGTGGGCCTTAGTTTGGGGACCCCTGATGTTGGTGAAGGGTGGTCTGAGTTTTCTATATAGTCTCTTCATCCAACAAATATGGCTAGATGTAATACTGGGAAACGGAGGGCAGAGAGAGGGGGGCGGGAATTGTGGGAAGGACTGGAATCCGAACACGATGGACTCACCATACGCAGTGCAAATATGGGAAGTTGAATGATGACCAGATCTCACAAAATGCTTTGTCGCTGATCCAACAAAAAAGCGCCAAAGTCCACCAGAGGCCAGAAAATAGTCCCAGCTTGTACACTCGCACATTGTCGCATCTGAAAGCCAAGCCAGGCGATCATTGAAAGCACAGCAAAAGAATGACATCTGACCCAAGATTAAGAACTGAACAAAACTCAGAGGCGATAAGCTTTCTACATTTGGGGGCAACATTTGCATACACCCCCCTTGCCCCGAGGCAGGTCATGGCATGAAAACAAGTATCAAGGGCATCGTCTAAAAGCACTCTTTAAAAAAACAACAAGCATGTGGCCCAGAAAAAGCCACGAGCCAAAAGCAAATTAAGCCTTACAACTAAACACAGAAAGTCTAAGCCACTTTTAGAGGCATCCAAGCTGATGGCCGTCATTGCGCACGGCAGGAGCGAATGCCATAGATTGCATGTTCCTGTGTGAAGCGGTACTTTGATTTCGTCTTCCTGCTTTCCCCACAACACTGTTGCAAGAAGGATTGGCGGTAAGTTGGGGTGTGTTACACCTGCCCGAGGGGTTCTTATCCCAGCGCAGTTCCACTGGCATTTCTGGTTTCCAAATAAATGAGACCATTCAGATGGTGACTAACAGCCAGGCACTGGGACGCGGGTGGCGCTGTGGGTTAAGCCACAGAGCCTCTTGGGCTTGCCGATCAGAAGGTCGGCAGTTCGAATCCCCGTGACGGGGTGAGCTCCCGTTGCTCGGTCCCTGCTCCTGCCCACCTAGCAGTTCGAAAGCACCTCAAAGTGCAAGTAGATAAATGGGTGCCGCTCCAGCAGGAAGGTAAACGGCGTTTCCATGCACTGCTCTGGTTTTGCCAGAAGCAGCTTAGTCATGCTGGCCACATGACCAGGAAACTGTACGCCGGCTCCCTCAGCCAATAAAGCGAGATGAGCGCCGCAACCCCAGAGTCGGTCACAAGTGGACCTAATGGTCAGGGGTCCTTTTACCTTTACCTAAAAGCCAGGCAGTTACAGATGTTATTTTTAAAAAATGTGGGGGGGGGATGGACAGGGTATAAATAATAAATTATTTAAAAATTATAATCCCTCTTCTCAGCATCACAGCCCCTTTTGAAGGCCCAGGTGGCAGCTTTCAAACTGGGAGCCTTTGTCACCTCTTCGAAGTGACAAGATATTTTGTTTTGCAACGCTAAGGGAGAGAAGTTATTATAATGCACCCAGTTTATTTACAGAACCATTTATCACCTTGTCAAGTCGTCCACCCAAAACAGCTCCTGTCCAGATGCTTGGGATTTCCATGGGAACATTTAAGCTCTTTTGTGTCTTAATTCCAGGTGTGCTTCTGCCTCTCTGCCCACAAGTAAGTCACACGCCCAGTGCCGGATTTACGTATAAGCTAAACAAGCTATAGCTTAGGGCTTCACTCGCTTGGGGGCCCCCCCAAAAAAATTATAGGAAAAAAACCCTGGATGTACATTTCCAAAATATAAGAAAAAAACAAATAAAATAAAACCTACCTACAGCAACTGTGTTTTGTGTTGTGTAGGCTCCTATAATGTAAGTCATGGCCCTGCCTGCTATCCTCCCTCAAATATCCCTGGTTTGCTCCTTTCTATATATAGGGTGCCTACATTCTGCTATTTATAATTATTAGTAGTTTGCATCATATATTTACACCTATTATTATTTCATGTTATAGCAAGTTTCTAGAGACTAGATAAATCTTTGTAAATTGTGTTTCTAATGGAACTTTTGTTATTGCCAAATGCCAATGTGTTTGCATTATTAAGTTTGTTATGAATAAAAAAATCATTTTAAGTTAGAGTTTAATAATTATTTCACTATTAATATACTTCTTCTTAATTGCATTTCACTATTAATATACTTCTTCTTAATTGTATTCGAGTTCAGCAATTACTTTGATAAAATACAAGTTTTGTGATGTGCAAATGGCTTTAGATACCTACTAGAGCCACCAATAGGGATGCGGGTGGCGCTGTGGGTTAAACCACAGAGCCTAAGGCTTGCCGATCAGAAGGTCGGCGGTTCGAATCCCCGCGACAGGGTGAGCTCCCGTTGTTCAGTCCCAGCTCCTGCCAACCTAGCAGTTCGAAAGCACGTCAAAGTGCAAGTAGATAAATAGGTACCACTCCTGCGGGAAGGTAAACAGCGTTTCCGTGCGCTGCTCTGGTTCGCCAGAAGCGGCTTAGTCATGCTGGCCACATGACCTGGAAGCTGTTCGCCGGCTCCCTTGGCCAATAAAGCGAGATAAGTGCAGCAACCCCAGAGTCGGTCATGACTGGACCTTATGGTCAGGGGTCCCTTTACCTTTACCTTTAGGGCCATCAATTACCATATAGCATATACTCAACACAAAAAACAGCGCCAATTTGTTGTGGACAAAGGACAGCTGGACATAGAAAGGGCCCCATTACCTTCAGGAGCTGAGGGCCTCATCAAATCTAAATCCGGCCCTGCACACACCCTGAAGGTGTTCACTCCAAACGGTAAGCAAGCATCCAAACAGAAGATCTATTTTGTCACAGCGACAGACACCCACCTTTTCAGCTCTGCGACGAGCAAGGCACTGCAGGGAAGACCCAACGTCATCAGCGAGATGTTATTGATGGCAGGCTTAATGAAGGCAAGGCAGGTGGTGACCCCAGAGAGGATGCCTACTGCTGCCTTAAATCGGCCCCTGGATTATTATTTTTAAAAAGAGTCAGCATAATTAAACCTTTTATTGGCATCACATACAAACTTCCAAAACAAATCAATACAGAATTTCCACTTCCCCAGTGGCACAAAACGTTTACTAAAAGAAAGGAGGCAGAACAGTCTATGGTCACATCTCTTGGTCTCCAGGGAGATCAGACGTCTGCAGTGTATTTCGACGACAAAAAACCAAATGGAGATATTTAGCCACTAACTTGGTGAGCTCCTGATCATTCCCCAGTAATAGAAAATGTATGACCTCTGACTCTGGTTTCCATTTGGGGATACAGAGATGATCTAGAAATTGCTGGCGGAGATCAGCATATAGTTTACAATTAAGAACCATGTGTGTAAGGGTTTCCACCAGGTGGTCTTCACATGGGCAAGTTCTTTCTCCTTCCACCCTGCCTGAGAACCTTCCCCAAAGGAGGTTTGATGGATTTGAATTAAACCTGGCCAGCGAAAATGCCCTCCTTTCTTGAGGGTTAAGCAGAAATTCAAGGTAATTGTGTTAGTTTCATGTGCCCAAGAAAGTTGAAAATAAAGAGGGGAACATGTTTTCTCTGCTGCTACTGTTAGTTCTTGGCTTTCAATATCCCACAACCTAGTTTTTATTATAGCCTTGGCAGATGGCAAATTTAAAGGTGATGTCAGAATCCCTGGGTTACAGCCCTTTCTGGTTCTCTCCTGCCCTCTTCTGAGGAGAAGGGCACGGTGCTATTAATGCAGCCCACTCTTTAAAGGCCAGCTGTGATGGCCTGGGATTCGGACTCAGAGGCTGAACCTGAGGAATCCCAGCCTGCACAGGAGTTCCCGCCTCCAGAACCAGCTGAGCCGGGGCTGGGGCATGAGCCTGAAGGGTCCTCACCTGTGCTGGATCCTCAGGTGCAGGCACCAGCTGAGTCTGCTCTGGCTCCTGAGGTGATGGAGGACCCATTGCCTGTAGGTGCTCCACTTTCAGCCCCGTCAGAGGAAGCTGAGGTTGCCTCTGGGTCCGGTAACCCTCCAGCCTCTCCTGAGCTGCAGAGGCTCAGGGCAGAGAGGCGGAGGGAACGAAGTTCCCCCAGGAAGAGTGCTCACCTCCAGGCCAGGAGAGGCGAGTCACCAGAAGATCGGGGCCGCCCTATGCCTCAGGGCATATAAAAGCCGGCCAGCCCCAGTCCCAAGTTGCGGGAGCAACATTGTTGGTAGCCTGTTCCTGCCCGCACCCTGTCCTGCTCTTCTGCCAGAGTTCCTGACCTCGCCCGACTCCCTGCCTTGGACCCAGCTTCAGCTTTGATGGACAGCCTCCATACCACACCCTCAACCTCGGACTGGACTCAGACCTCGCCACACGGTTAACCCTCGGGACCAGCACACCAGCGCTTAAGAGACATTACCTGTCGTTCCTGAACATTTTGGGAAGATATCTTCTGGGAAACCACAGAGCCAGAGCACACATCAAAACCCAGAGTATAGCGAGTTCGTCAAGCATTTGACCCAGGAAACTGAGCGTGGCGTGGAAGTAGACAGATCCAATTCCTGGAGGGGGGACACATTCAGAATCAAGAGGTCATTACAGCACAGTTCAAACTTTCCTCTTCTCTTCTCGGCAAGATTCAACAACAGCCAGGCGGCTTTGCACAGACAAGTGTCTGAAAATTGAATGCAAGCAAGCAACCAAGCACACGGCGAAGAGCTAGATTTTGAAGATCGAAACCCACTCCCAAAAGCTTCAAAATTAACTTTAGAGCAAAGTATTTGTGGGAGACTTCAGTGGGGAGGGGTTTTGTTTGCCCAGTCAGTTATCTCATTGCAGAACTTAATTGAGAAACTGTGAGGATGTGTTAAAATAGATATCTATATATATGAAGGTGCAAAAAGGAAATCAGCTGATGAGTAGTTTAGGGCCTGACTGAGCAAACAGGGCTGGCCTACTACTCTTTGAGGTAAGTAAAATAATACGCACTGCCCTTCCTCTCGAGACCATTAAGACCAGAACCGAAACCAACCTCAATGCTTACAGACAGGGACTTAATCTGCATATTAGCAGAAATGGGTCATTGGCAACAGACTTCTTTATACTTATTGGATTTCTGCCAGAAAGGCTAAATCCAGATTAAATGAAGGGTGGATAAAACTTGTCGGCTTGAGGAGAAGCCATCCCAGCATAAGAATCCAACTGGAAGCACCATGACGTATCCCACAATGTTCGTAATAATGGAAAACTACCTTATTTAATACATAGCAAGGGAAACTGAGAGGCTCAAAATGGCACCCAACTTCCAATATTTTATTTTGGGAGTGTACTGTACTTCTGAATTCGGGCACATTCTCCAAGCACCTTATTTGTTGTCCACCCCCACCCCGGTGCACCTTGTTTTCAAATAATAAATAAATAAATATAATTTCTCAGAATTTCAGGTCACATAGGACAGACACAGAAGGACTTACCAACCACCACAAGGAGGGTCCATATTAAATATATTCCGCTGTTGAAGCAGGTTGCATATTGTCGGAATAAGCACATACATATGGGTGGCAAAACAAAAAATAAGATGTTGCTTATCTAAGGGGGGAAACGGGAAAAAAAATTAAATAAGCAGAAAGGAATGATTAAATAAAGTGGTATTTTACAAAACCGAAACAAAAAACGTTAGGGGAGGGAGAGTGATCTTGCACAACGGAGTAAGCTTAGCACTTTCCCAGGCAAATATCTGGATAAGAGGAGGCAGAAATAAAAACAACCTCTCCCCCCCCCCACCAAGACTCCATCCCTGCCCTGACACACAAATTGAGATAGAAGTGTAGACCAGGGGTCAGCCAACTTTTTCAGCAGGGGGCTGGTCCACTGTCCCTCAGACCTTGTGAGGGGCCGGACTATATTTGTTGGGAGGGAATAATGAATTCCTATGCCCCACAAATAACCCAGAGATTAATAATAAATAAATAGCATACATAAATAAAAGCACACATTCTACTCATGTAAAAACACACTGATTCCTGGACCGTCCACGGGCCAGATTTAGAAGGCGATTGGGCCGGATCTGGCCTTAGTTTGCCTACCCATGGTGTAGACAGACCTCATGCCATGCACGACTTAGACCATCGCTTTGCCTGAGTCAACTCTTTCTAGGACATGCAGTGCTCTCAACTGCCTGCAGAAGACATCACCCTCATGTTGACACAATATGAAAATGGTGGAGACTAACAGGTATGATCCCTGGAAGACCACTGCCAAGGCTGCAACCATAAAACCAGGAGTGGTGGCCATGAAAGAGGCCAAATGGTTGCGGGCATCCCCCGATTTTGAGCCAGAAGAAAGAAAGCGCTATGAAACACTTGCAACTCGGTCTCCGTGCCCTTTCTTCTTCTTCTTCTTCTTCTTCTTTTGGCCGAGAGCATTGAAAGACTTGCACGTGCAAGGAAGAATAAATTGAGCAGAAGTCACTTGGCTCCAACTCGTGGGAAGTTCTGGTCCGAGCCAGCACTTTGGCCTGGCAAAACACATGGCAACACGGCTCCTCCCGTGGCTCAAGGAATTTTGTCACCTGAGGCGAGCCACAAAACAGTGCCGCCCACCCTGCCAGGAGAGGAATAAAGATCTACAATGGGGACAAGGGTGACAGGAGACCAGCCGTGCCTCCTATTGGCCAAGAAGCTGCTATAGAGGTGGCAAGGAGCACCCTGTCACTGTCACCACAGCGGCAACGGACAATGCTGCTGGAAGACAGATCTGCCGTCCCTGTGGATCCTGCCGCCTGAGTGGAGTGCATGCAGAAGCCAGGCCTGTGACCGGTAGGACTTCGCAGGACTGGGGCCTTCCTAAGTTTGTTCTGAGGAGGCAAGGCGCGGCCACACAGGTGAGGCCGATTGGTAACTCGCTGCATCTGGTGGCAAGAGCCAGGAAGGGATATAAGGTCAGCATTTTCCTTCGGCTCTTTGCCACAGCAACACGTTCCCTGCCTTGCTGTTTGGCTCCTTGACTCCTTGCTTCTTGATCCTCGGACCCCTGACTTCGTGACTCCTTGCTTCTTGATCCTCGGACCCCTGACTTCGTGACTCCTTGCTTCCTGACCCTCAGACCCTTGGCTTCTTGACTCCCGGCTCTCTGACCCTCGGACTCTTGGCTTCCTGACTTCTGGACCCCCGTTCCTGCTCCCACCCCGCCATCTTGCCCCCGGTCCCGAAGTCCTCAGCTGGGACTTTGCCTCGGACCGTGGCACCATTGCCTCACTTTGCCTCATGGGAGAGCCAGCCATAGTTCAAACTCTACGACAGAACAATCGGTTGGCTTTAGCTTCTTCATTTTGGGGCAGCCTTGTTGTGTTGGAGGAGGGAGTGGGTGGAGAACCCCCACTACACCCCTTCCTTGTTGTTTGGGACACATCAAGAGGTCAACAAGAAAGGAGATTTCCAACTAGATATCAGGAAGAACGTTCTGATAGTAAGAGCTGTCTCTCTAGGGAGATGGTGGACTCTCCTTCCTTGGGGGCTTTTAAGCAGAGGTTGGATGGCCGTCTGTCATGGATGCTCCCGCTGATATGGTGGGATTGGACTAGATGACCCTCGGGTCCCTTTCCAATTCTGCGATCCTATGATTCTATGCTCTGCGATTCCAGGAGACCAACAGAAGAGGAGCTAAGAGCTCCCTGAACCAGCTCTCTGATGGACGCAGCAAAGGGGAGCAAAAGTTTTGAGGGGGCAGAATAAACCGAACAAGAAGGGGGGCAAATGCTAAGTGGAATATCTCCCTGAATGCCCTGCAAGTAGAAAACCAGCCCTGCAGTGAAACAGAGAGATAGCTAAGAGCAGGTTTCTCCCAGACACAGTATTGTTGATATGCAAGGAGCTTTGCACAGTCAAACCTCGGTTCTTGAATGGCTCCGTTTTCAAACGTTTCGGCTCCCGAATGCTGAAAACCCAGAAGTAAATGTTCCGGTTTTCAAACGTTTTTCAGAACCTGAACGTCTGGCGCGGCTTCCATTTTGAGTTACCCTATTGAACTGAGAGGGACGTGGGGGTGAGCTCCCATCTTTCGGTCCCAGCTCCTGCCCACCTAGCAGTTCGAAAGCACCCTTAAGTACAAGTAGATAAATAGGTACCGCTTTATAGTGGGAAGGTAAACGGCGTTTCCGTGTGCGGCACTGGTGCTGGCTCACCAGTTGCAGCTTCGTCATACTGGCAACGTGACCCGGAAGTGTCTTCGGACGGCGACGGCTCCCGGCCTCTTGAGCGAGATGAGCGCGCAACCCTAGAGTCGGTCACGACTGGCCCGTATGGGCAGGGGTACCTTTATTGAACTGAGGCTTTCGCTTTCAGTTTTTTAAACATTTTGGAAGTTGAACCATCTTCCGGAATTGATTACGTTTGAAAACCGAGGTTCCATTGTATCTTGCAAACACTGGGAGTGTTCAGAAACAGCATAAGGCTGTCTTCATCAACAGATTCAGCAGAGCCCAGTGGACAGACGAAGGTAGGCAATATGTCAATATATCATCCCAAATCGATTTGAAGTCCATATTGTGATAATGATTTCCTAATCTTTGACCTGGCAATATATCAGACTTCCGGAATGGATTATGTTTGCTGCTTTCGTTTTTGCTTTTTTGCGTTTTTGTGGCTTTTTCGGTTGATTTATTTTTGTGACTGTGTGGAACCCAGTTGAGCTGCTGACTGATTGATTGTGCGACTGCGGAAATGGATAAAAGCCCCCCATCCAAACAATGACTATCATCAGTGCAGGTAGGAAAAAATAATAATTTTAATTTTAATCATCTACAATACTGTCTTATTTATTTTATAGTACAGTACATTTATTATTGTTTTCATTTTATGGATCAATGGTCTTGTTAGATAGTAAAATTGATGTTAAAAGGTTGTTTTTAAAAGTCTGTAATGGATTGATCCGTTTTGCATTACTTTCTATGGGAAAGCACGCTTGGTTTTGCAACAGACTTCTGGAACGGATTGTTTAAGAACCAAGGGACCACTGTACATAGCTCCATCCTTATTTCAGACATCGTGATATATCGGTATATTGCGATGTTTCGTCGGTGATCTATCGCCATGTTGATCTATCGCCATGTTGAAAACCAGGTATCGCCCAGCGCTAGCACACAATGGGAGGCCTTCACTGACAGAGTACTTTTCTTCCATTCAGGGAAAATTTCAGAAACACTGGGCATGGAGCAGGGACGTTGAGGGAAAGGAAGGAGGAAGAGAGAGACACATTTTTCCACCCTGTTCCATTTGACTTTAGAAACAGCCTTGCAGATGGAACGGAAAGCACTAAGCAGCCTATTTTGTAAAGATTAAACCCCACTACTTTCGGTACAAGGCAGTTGCTTGAGAAGAGCAAATCCTTTTGAGTTGCTTTTCAAGTTTCAAAGCACAAGATATAATCCTTAATTTGGGCTGCATGGGGGAGGGAAAAGCACTCCTACTTTATATTCACTTCAGCTCCTTAATTGCAACCAGCAAACGGCCGTGAGGAAAGAGGTAACTTTTTCTCTCCTCTTAAAATCATAAGGGCATCCATGGCGGAGGTGGGCCTGAGAGATCCAATCATTTGGGAGAGATCTCCCAATATTGACTTTATTTTCTAAAAGTAGCTGTCACTAGAATTTTTTGGGGGGGAAGGGAAATATCAACCTTTTCCTTTTATATGTTGATATTATCATTTTATACTACTCTAATAATTGTTGAATGTTACTTTTTGATGTAGGTTGCTTATTTTAAAGTTTTGTTTTATTATCACATTTTTGTATTGCATTAGATTGCTAGATCTTCAGCTTGTAAACCGCCTTGAGTATTGTAAGGTAGAAAGACGGTATGCAAATAAAAAAATTGATAATGATATTTCGCCTCCCACCCCAAATTGAAATGTGGAACGCTCTCCCCCAGGGAGAATCATTCATTCTACATCTTTAGGTGCCAGGCAAAAAAGGTTCCTCTTCAACCAGGCCTTGGACTGATTGTCATCTGAAGCCCTTTGAAAAAGTGTTTTGAAAAGGGGGATTCTTGGTTTGTCTTTTGTTTCTATTATGTATTTTCTGTTTGTTTTTTATATTGCGATTTTATGTTGTGAATGGCCCTGAGATCTACAGGTATAAGGGAGGTATACAAATTTAATAAATAAATAAACCTTGACGTTCAAAGTATGTCCTCATCAGAGCATCTTGCTGAGCCCATGGGCGGATTGATTGATTGATTAATTAATTAATTAATTAATAATAAACCTGCTTGGGGACATTACTGGATTATTATGTCTGTGGTGGGTGATGAAGTGGATTGGAATGAAAATTATTAGATCATGTATTACAGGTCTTAGACACACCTGAAATTCAGGTAAACTAATCCTTCACTTGTGGATTGCCTGCTTTTCAAAAACCCCGGTGACAGAATTAGGGCACACAACCTCAGGGTGTCTAGCCGGAAATGCAGTCACTTCCTGTGGCTCATAAGTGATGAGAAGAACCTATTGGGCGCAAACTCTTGACGACTTCAACCGGTATCCTAACCCATCACCTGTGCAAACGTGAAGATAAGGTGCAGGTAAGAAGAATCAGTCCTGCATCTCAGATCAGTCACTCGGCCTCGGTAGTCCATCTGTAAAATGGGAGCAATGGTGGATCACTCTTCTCGAGTGCACACATGGGTGTGAAGTGAGGGGCATGTATAAATCATTTGCTCCGAATAAGCCCCCTTGCGCTTATAAAACATGCTCAGCAGGTATGTAGATTACACTCTAAGGAATTGCAGAAAGAATTAATGTGTTGCAGAGCATTATCACACGTGGCTTATTCTGGGGAACTCTCATACATGGATTTTATATTATTTTGTAAACCTTTTTGCAAGGCTTTCAAATGTGTCTGTGGGAAGGGGGGTTATTGTTTTGCTGTTTTACTTATTTTCATGTTTCCATCTTATGAGATCTTACGATGGCGGGTGTTATATACCGTATTTTTCGCTCTATAGGACGCACTTTTTCCCCTCCAAAAATGAAGGGGAAATGTGTGTGCGTCCTATGGAGCGAATGCAGGTTCCTTGGCTTCTCAGCGACGCGCCTGTCCTGGAAGCCGGAGGAGGCACTGCGCCTTCTCCCTCTCTGCGCAGCACCTCTCCTGTGAAGGAGAGGCGCTGCGCAGAGAGAGAGAAGGCGTAGCGCCCCTTGAGCGACGCGCCTGTCATGCGAAGCCGGAGGAGGAACAGAAGGGACTCCTCCTGTTCCTCCTCCCGCTTCGCAGCGACACGCCTGTCCAGCGAAGCCCGAGGAGGAACAGAAGGGTCTCCTTCTGTTCCTTCTCCAGCTTCGCTGAAGGGGTGCTGCGCCTTCTCTCTCTCTGCGCAGCGCCTCAACTTCATGAGGAGGCGCTGCGCAGAGAGAGAAGGCGCAGCGCCCCCTTGAGCAACGCGCCTAACAAACGAAGCCAGAGGAGGAACAGAAGGGTCTCCTGTTCCTCCTCCCGCTTGGCAGCGACGCGCCTGTCCTGGAAGCCGGAGGAGGAACAGAAGGGTCTTCTTCTGTTCCTTCTCCAGCTTCGCTGAAGGGCGCTGCGCCTTCTCCCTCTCTGCGCAGCACCTCTCCTGTGAAGGAGAGGCGCTGCGCAGAGAGAGAGAAGGCGCAGCGCCCCATGAGCAACGCGCCTATCACGCGAAGCCAGAGGAGGAACAGAAGGGTCTTCTTCTGTTCCTTCTCCAGCTTCGCTGAAGGGGCGCTGCGCCCTCTCCCTCTCTGCGCAGCGCCTCTTCTGTGAAGGAGGGGCGCTGCACAGAGAGAGAAGGCGCAGTGCCCCTTCAGCGATGCGTCTGTCCTGGCTTCTGCTTTAGCCCTGCGCAGCCTCTTTGGGCAGGGGGAGCCTTCATCCCGCTGCCCTGAGGAGGCTTGGCGCAGTTACCCCAGAAGCCAGAACAGCCGCACGGTATCCCAGAAGCCAGATCCCTCTTGCTGTTCTGGCTTCTGGGGTTCAGAATAATTTTTTCTTGTTTTCCGCCTCCCATAACTAGGTGCGCCCTATGGTCCGGTGCGCCCTATGGTGCGAAAAATACGGTAAATCTCAATAAATAAAATAATAAACAAAGGTGAGACGAGGGTGACAACTCTGTTGGCCCATCAATGGCCAACAGCACCATTCCTCCTTGCTATTCGCTTTAAGATGCAGCGCGGCCCGGGTTTATGCAAGCTGTCTTCGGGGAACGAAAACTTGCTTCCTAGTTCAGACTTGGGGCAATGATGAGGCTCATCCCCAATTCACTCGGTCAATCAGGCAGTAAAGTTGACACCAACAGCAGCCTGACATTCAGACGACAACTCATATACAGTGGTGTAGTTAAGCTGTTGCTCAGGCCAATGACCAAAATGTCACAGGCAGGGCCGTCTTCCCCCGGGGGTGCAAGGGGTGCAGGGCACCCGGGCGGCGAATTCTTGGGGGGGGGGAGCACCATGTGCCCGCTGCTGAAGCCACCTAAGCTCTTAACCATCTACCTGTTATGAAATAATAATTTTGATCAAGCTAGAAAAACAAAATACATATATACCTAAGTATTACCGAAATGTATACCTACTGTTTCACTAAAGGACTTTCGACTTTGTGCGCTCATTTACCAAAGACGCGCCACACCATCGCTTGTCATTCTCAACGGCGCTGTGCACACGAAATTAACTCTTACATCAAAATATTATGTTACGTATTATATTGAGCCACTATGAGGCAGCGGGATCAGAGGCACCTTTGACATGACTGATGTTTCTCCTAAGTAGGTGCCCAAATAATAATAATAATAATAATAATAATAAAAATTTATTTATACCCCGCCCTCCCCAGCCAAGACCAGGCTCAGGGTGGCTAACAACCAATAATAAAAACAAGTTGATTAAAATACAATTTAAAAGATTAAGATACAACATTAAAACAATTAGGGAGCAATCTCATCATAGGAGGAGAAAGGAAAAAGAAAAAGGGAGAGGGAATCAAACTGATTCTGAGCCAAAGGCCAGGTGAAACAACTCTGTCTTACAGGCCCTGCGGAAAGAGATCAGATCCCGCAGGGCCCTGGTCTCATGAGACAGAGGGCCAGGCCGGAGCCAGTGTTGAGAAGGCCCTGACTCTGGTTGAGGCTAATCTAACTTCCTTAGGGCCCAGGACCTCTAGGGTGTTGCTATATATGGACCTTAAGGTCCTCCGTGGGGCATACCAGGAGAGGCAGTCCCATAGGTACGAGGGTCCTAGGCCGTGAAGGGCTTTAAAGGTCAAAACCAGCACCTTAAATCTGACCCTGTACTCCACCGGGAGCCAGTGCAGCTTGAAAAGCACTGGGTGAATATGCTCCCATGGCAGAGACCCCATGAGGAGCCTCGCTGCAGCATTCTGCACCCGCTGGAGTTTCTGGGAGAGCTTCAAGGGCAGCCCCACGTAGAGCGAATTACAGTAGTCAAGCCTGGAGGTGACCGTCACATGGATCACTATGGCCAGATCAGGGCAGGAAAGGTAAGGAACCAACTGCTTATAAGTGTGGTGGTATTAATTTGGGGGCTAAACTAAATTTGGGGGCGCTGGGCGGATCTTTGCACCCTGGAGGCACATATGCTAAAGACACAGTTTCGGACTGCAAGGAGCAATCTTTAAAGCGCTGAAGTGTCAACATGCTCCTAACAACAGGATCCTAAGAAAATAAACGCACTGGCCTTTTCCAGGTGGCCTCGTGTTTTGAAGTCAGGTGGAAGGAAAATAATAGCACAATTTCTTCCCTCACATTTGTTGCCTGTTTTGTTGTTGCTACCTCTATCCTGCGTCTGTGTGCGCACATTCGTACGCAGGTTGGGGAGTTACGTTCAAATGTGGATTTTTGTTTGATACTGTTTTATTCTGGGTCACCAACAGCATTAAAGATCTTGCAGTGGAAAAACACGACTTGTGTTTTCAAATCAGCAAACGAAGAAACGCAGGAAAGTACGCAACAATTGTCCCATGGGATGAGGGGCCGCTCCACACATTGCTACAATATTGTGGAGGTAGGAATTAAGTGCTGGCTTATAAATTGACACAGAAAACCAGGTGAATAACTTAAAAGAATCCCTCCTGACCAGAAAAGCAGGGAACCTTTTGGAGATGGAAGAAAGATTATTCTTATTCTTTCGGGCTGTTTAAACACGCTATTGACTTAACATAGGCGTGTGCAGTCAGAAGGCTAGTTAGTTTGCAAGCTAGTTTTTTTGTGGGGGAGGGCGGACTTATTAGCAGATTAAATTAATGTGTTACCAGCATGCAACACCATGTGCATCCAGGCCACATTTTTGCATGAATGCACAGTCCTCTATGTGTGAAAACCTATTTTTATTTTTATTTTAAAATTAGCAAAGATATATCATAATTGTGACAATATGTGTTGGAAATGTAAAGAAAAGGAAGGAACCTTTTATCATATGTGGTGGACCTGTCCCAAGATGAAAGACTTCTGGGAAAAGATTTATAATGAATGGAAAAAAATGTTGAAATATACATTTATAAAGAAACCAGAGGCCTTTCTTCTTGGAATAACAGGTTTGGAATTGCCCAAGAAAGATGTTGAATTATTTTTGTATGCCACAACTGCTGCTCGTATTTTGTTAGCTAAAAAGTGGAAAACCCAAGAATTACCAACAATAGAAGAATGGCAGATGAAGATGATGGATTTTTCGGAGCTAGCTGACCTAACCGGAAGAGTCCGCGACCAGAAGGAGGAGGAGTATCAGGAAGAATGGATTAAATTTAATGATTATTTAGTTAAATTTGTTAAGTTAAACTGAAAATAGCTTGCAGATACCCAATGGGCTAAGGATTTTATTTATATTAAGTGATGAATTGATATGTTTAATTCCATAAGGTGAAGATCTAAGGATGTTAATGCTTAAGTTAAATTTTATAAAAATTGGGATTTGGAAAACTGTTAAAAGGACATGCAATGAAATTCAACCAAAGGGAAGTGAGGAAGTCATTTAACAAAGTTAATAACTGTAATTTTCAATAAGGCTATGATTTATGTTTGTCTTGTGTGTTTGTTTGTTTGTTTGTTTGTTTGTTTATAATGTTGTGAAAACTAAAAAATTTTTTGGACAACTATGTGTGAAAACCTACATGCAAGATAGCATTATTCCTACACAGAGCTGATTGCATGGAAGAATTTGTTAATATGTAAATCAGCCCTGAAAGCAGTCTTAATTCCTTGAGAAAAAGCTGTTTTTCTAAAGCTGGGAAAGGCAGACTTCAAGCTTGTGAACTCCTGATCAGGCCAGAAATTTTGCTCTCAGTTCAGTACCAGAATTTCCCTTCAAGTTTCCTAACTATCAGATGCCCAGATTGTAGCGTTTTAGTTGTTAGGAAAGCCTGCTGATCTGCAAATCAGCCAGAGATCCAGATCTACCTTTTCTAAAGCAATGTTAAAGCTTAAGATGATAACAGATGGAAAATTCTGCTTTGCTCCATTAATCCACTGCATGCAATTTAAGCTTTATCCTCCAATCTGAACAGCCTGAAAAAATGACAGTCCATGATCCCAGCTCCTCTCAAAGGGGATTCAAAGGACAGCAGACTTTTTCCAGCTCTATGGGGGATTCTCTGATTTTACAAGCATTTCTGCCAGGAAAAACAAAAGAAAAAAGCTCCCAGGAAAACGATCTGATCCCGAGTTCCATATCTGCAAGCTATTCAGATAATAAAAAGATAGTTTGTGGTATTTTAAGGCCCCTCACTTTCTGAAAATAAGACCACCAGGATAATAAACAACCACTTAGAATACACTATGGTCGGTTTTACTTTAAGAAACTGTTTGTTTACCGAGATAGGCTCTCTCTTCGATAAAAAAATATATACACAGCTATTCGCCAGTAGCTGCAGTTTTAAAATACAACACTGGGTATCCTCTTCCCGATTTGCAAAATAGTCCTTTTCCCAATTTGACCAAGGCTGAGAACTGATATGCAGCGCCTTGCACGCGAGTCGGTGCCAAAGCAGAAATCGGAGCCCGACTTGAAGGTCTCCAGGATCCTATTGCAAGTCTGATTGCGCCCAGAACCTCATTTGGCATTTCCACGACGCGGTGGCATTTGTTTAAAAAAAAATAACCATTTGTTGAGAAATCAGTAATTGAGCGGCAGGGAAGGGAAAGAGCCGAGCCGTGTGAACATCATGTATTCAGCCCCACCGTGCATTTGCACGTACTTCCCAATCCCCCCCCGGCTTCCAAATGCACCCTCCTCCTCCTCCTCCTCCTCTCCGGGCTCAGGTCTTGAGTTCGAGATACGCACCGTGTTGTAGAACTCGGCGATGCTGGGCACGATGGTGTAGTTGTCTTCGCACCAGTCCAGCTCGGAGCTGCCGGCCCGCAGGTGGTCCCACAAACGGAGCGTGGTCATGATGGCCAGACCCGGGCAAGGAACATGGGGGGCGCGCGCAACGCCGACGCAACCTAAGCAGAAGAGGATCCGCGCAGCAGCATCCGCGCGGGGGGAGGCTGGTCGCTGCTGCCTCGGCTGCTGCTTTGTCCCTCTTCTGCCTGCTCAACTCCGCACCAAAACAGCCCCCGCCGCCGGCTCTGGGAGCGCAAGAGCGCACGCCTCCCGCCAGCTGATCCGGCCCCCGGGGGCGCGTCCTCCCCGCCCACAGCGCGCCTGCGCAAAGTCGTTAGGCTTGCGCCGAGCCCCTTTATCACGTGGTCTAGCCCACGACCTTTCAGCGATCCTATGCATCGTGGCTCGTTTGGACGCAGCTGCGCGCCACGGATGGGGCTGTGCGCCACGGAAAGCACGGCGCTTGACGCTCCCCGCCGCCCTGCTGCGTTCCAACTTGTATTTGATTCTGGAAGGCGGGGGGGGGGGGGAAGCAGGGGATTTTTTTGGGAGGGAGGGCAGGTCTAGCAGTCTGTTGCTCTTGCGCGGACTCCTTTCGAAGGAAGCAAACGCGCGTCGCTGTTCCTGTTGTTCTGTTTTGCGTGGGGAGAGGGGTGGGTCTAAAGTTTTGTTTTAAGTGCGTGGGACTTTTCATGGCAAAAACCGCACCCAAAGCTTTGCAGGGCCAAGTTCTTAGTCCCCCCCCCCCCCCGGAACGCTTCCTCAGGATAGATGAGGTCGGGATCCAAAGGCGGGGTGGGAAGGAAAAGGGTGGCTGGCGGCGGCGGCGCCAGGCAGTTTGCCTGCATTGCGCAGTCATGGGGCAGGCCCGGCAGAGAGGCAAGTGAAGGGGCCTTTCAGGTTTCAGGATGCGCCCAGGCTTCGGGTGCAGGGAATAGGAAAGGCCTTGGAGATAAGGTTCCCCCATTACTTAAAGTATAAAACCCGGCCGTTGCCCAGATATGCCGCCAGGTCTTGTTTTATTTAAATGTGAGCTGAATTGTACAGTTGGAAAGGGGCCCCCAAGGGTCATCGAGTCCAACCCGCTGCAATGCAGGAATCTCAGCTAAAGCATCCATGGCCAACCCCTGCTTGAAAACCTCCAAGGAAGGAAAAATCACTGCCCCCCAACTTCTTCTTTCTGCCCCCTTCCCCCTCTTCACAACGTTTGTAGCGGCAGGTGTCTCACACCAAATAGAAGTGATCTGTAGTGTTATGTACTGAAGTTCTCACCCTGGGCCAGCAGGGGGATACTGTAGATAGTTTTCACTCAGGTCCACGTATGCAAATAAGGGATTGAAAGTGACGTTAAGTGATTGGATAGTTACAGAAAATGGTTACTGTTGCGTTCTAGTGGAGCTCTATATAAGCAGGCTGGCTGAGCCCTTCAGTTCAGTTCTGTTCTGGCCTGTGAATAAACGAGCTGTTTGAAGAATCGCTGTGTCGTCTGATATGTTCACTCACAACTTAACATGTAGAAAGGACTCATGTGAATGTTGTACGTCCCCTTGTTAACTATGAAAAGCTTTTAATTGAAAACAACCAGTGCTTTTTCTTCCGGAAAAAAGGTGGAGGAACTCACCACCATTGCCATCATTTCCCCCCCACCACACGCACACTAACCCACCCCCAGGCCACCACCGTGTGCCCCTGAGTCAGGCAATTGTTCATCTATGTTGTTTGAAACAGAGGTGGGAAAACTTTTCCCTTCCATTGACCCATAGGAAAAATCAATTTGCAGTTGCAGCTGATACCTGGTCAAGGCCAAGTGGGCAGTGTTTGCTGCACTGCAAGATTGCAAAGTCCTCTCCCCACAATCTGAGTCTCTCTCTGCCATCTCTAGAGTGCATACAATTAGGTTGCGAGCCCCTCGGGTTCCTTATCTCAGCTGTAAACTGCCTGGCAATGGTTCTCCAAGGCGTTGCAGGGAGCAGTTGTTCCCAGGCTTACCTAGATATACCAAGGACTGACCCGCTAGGCAGCCTTTTTTATGCAACATGCAAGTTACTGAAAGGGACACTGGTGGCGCTGTGGGTTAAACCACAGAGCCCAGGACTTGCCGATCAGAAGGTCAGCGGTTCGAATCCCCGCGATGGGGTGAGCTCCCGGTGCTTGGTCCCTGCTCCTGCCAACCTAGCAGTTCGAAAGCACGTCAAAGTGCAAGTAGATAAATAGGTACCGCTCCGGCGGGAAGGTAAACGGCGTTTCTGTGTGCTGCTCTGGTTCGCCAGAAGCGGCTTAGTCATGCTGGCCACATGACCCGGAAGCTGTACGCCGGCTCCCTCAGCCAATAAAGCGAGATGAGCGCCGCAACCCCAGAGTCGGTCACGACAGGACCTAATGGTCAGGGGTCCCTTTACCTTTACCTTTAAGTTACTGAAAAAGCTAATAGCAGTGACATTCAAGGAAGACAACTGCCTCTCTGAGGCTTTGTAAGGTTCAGCTGCAAAGCAGTAGGAATCAGGCCTATCTAATTACCCAAAACTGTTGTTATCATGCCTACATTTCTTTAATTATAAATAAGCACCAAGAAACTAAAGGAGACCATCTTTCCTTCTGCATTGTCTTGCTTTTAATGCAGCATTGAGCTGCTGCTTTTTATCCTATTCACAAACATACTTGAAAGGGGAGGACAGCAAGAACCTAAATTGGTGCACGGGCCCAGCTGCAATATTCTGAGCGACATAAACGAAGGGAACATCACACAGCTTTGCATGCTTGCGAACACTGGGAAGCTGGAACAGGAACAGCAGAAGGGAAAATGACCTGTGCTACTCAAATACATCAGTAGGATCTAGGGAAAAGAAGGAGACGTTTTTCTGAACAATCGTGACACGTTCTTGGCTGGGAACAGGGTCACGTCGCTTGCTGGACCTGCAAAACTAAACAGAAGGGTGCACTTCCTGTCGCCTGCGGTCTCGTGTTTCTTTTGTTTGATTAGCTGTAAAGCTAATCCGCAGAATGTAATTCTGGGGAAGGGACTGTACGGGAGATGGAATGACATCAGTGCAGAGTCAGAGAGACGAGATCATTGTAAAGGGAGACGGGAGACTTTGTCGTAAGCCGTGTAGTGTGAACTCCCAGGCTGTGGCACGTCCAGTTCCGCTCTGGATGTACTAACCCTTAGAACAGTGTTTCCCAACCTTGGGCCTCCAGCTGTTTTTGGACTACAACTCCCATCATCCCTAGCTAGCAAGACCAGTGGTCAGGGATGATGGGAATTGTAGTTCAAAAACAGCTGGAGGCCCAAGGTTAGAAACACTGCCTTAGAACAGAGCCATAGTGGGGGGCCATTGACCCCAGAACAGTTTGGGGAGGTGCATTCCTCTTTTTTAAAAGATTTTTTATTAACAATTTCAACATATCAAAATATCAAAACATATCATATTCATTATTTCCCCCCTTCCCCCCCACCTCCCCATCAAACCCTCCTTCCCTATCCCCCGAGACTTCCCTCAGCTCCTCTCTCTGATTTCTCAACACATATTATTCTCTGCATACTGTAAAATTGTATAAATCCTTATAATATCTATCTGCTATGTTAACAATCAATAAATTTGTGTATGTTTATTCAAAACCTGCCAAGGAGTCCAATTCATTTTGTTGTCTTTTTAAGTAATTTGTAAAAAGTTCCCATTCTTCTCTGAAGTCACAGTTGTCCTTATCTCGCAGTTTATATGTCAGTTTAACCAGCTCTGTATAGTCCATCAATATCTCTTGCCACTGTTCTTTTGTCGGGGTTTCCTCATTCTTCCATCCTTGTGCAATCAAGACTCTTGCCGCTGTTGTAGCATATATAAATAAATTCTTTGTTTTCCTTGGCAGGTCTTGTCCTACAATCCCTAACAAAAATGTTTCTGTCTTTTTTTTACAAATGTGATTTTAAACAGTTTCTTCAATTCATTATATATCATTTCCCTTTTTTTTTTAATTTCTCTACATTCCCATCACATATGATAAAAGATCCCTTCCTTTTCTTTACATTTCCAACATATGTTTGACCCGGTTTTATAAATTTTTGCTATCTTTACTGGTGTTATATACCATCTGGGGAGGTGCATTCCTTACGACACCCTGCCGTGTCCTGAGCTGTTGCGTCCTTCTCTTAACCTGGGATGCAGGTGGCGCTGTGGTCTAAACCACTGAGCCTCTTGGGCTTGCTGATCAGAAGGTCAGTGGTTCGAATCCCCGCAACGGGGTGAGCTCCCATTGCTCTGTCCCAGCTCCTGCCAATCTAGCAGTTCGAAAGCATGCAAGTAGAAGATAAACTGCGTTTTCATGCGCTCACGGTGTCACATGGCACAAGAAGCAGTTTAGTCCTGCTGGCCACATGACCCGGAAAGCTGTCTGTGGACAAACGGTGGCTCCCTCAGCCTGAAAAGCGAGATGAGCGCCACAACCCCATAGTCGCCTTTGACTGGACTTAACCGACCAGGGGTCCTTTGCCTTTACCTTTTACTTTTTACCTTTCTCTTAACCTGGCTTAAGGTGTCATCTGAACTCGCCAGATGCTTAACTGTTAATGAATTGCAATCAACCCACCATTTGAAAAATAAGACTTTAGAGACATCTTGCCCAAAAATGGCAACTAGGCATCCTGTTATGGTAGCTGTAACCTTGGTTTAAGGAGCCATTTGGCGCCTAGTTTATATACCTGAGTTTCTAACACTGATGCCAACCAACTCAGCAATGCTCCAAACACCTTCCCATGCATTAGTGCTGAAAAGCATTCTGCTAGCGTTGCGATTGTTAAGAGCCAATTATGAACCTCAAAAGCTCCTTTCAGGAACACAGGAAAAAGGTGCCTGTCTTATACGGAAGCGGACCATTGGCATCAGTCGAGCTCAGCATTGTCAACATGACAACCGGCAGCAGCCCTCCAGGAGTATTTCCCAGCCTTATCAGGAGTTGCCAGCATTTGACCCTGGGACCTTTGAATGCAAACCACAGGCTCTGCCATTGGGCAAGGGAGATAAGAAGCCAGCAGGACAGTCCATTTCTGCAGGGTAAATTGACTAGAAAGCCTTTTCAAAACAGCATCTTTGAAATGTGTATTTATTCACCACCTAAAAAAGGGCTGGTGCTTATGCATAAAATCTACCGATCTGTATAAATTCAACCAGGTATTTGATGGTTCAAAGAACACTTGTCTCTGGCATCTATGAGACTATGTAACTGTCCTCAAATGTTTTTAGATATTCTTAATGTTTTTATATGTTTATTTTTGCATTGTTTTTCAACTTTTTTGTTTGCCACCCTGGGCAAACAAAAGGGATGGAAGGATGGAATAGAAATGTAATGAATATGATTTAATAGTTTCACTGTGTCATTTCTGTCTAGCTGGAAGAATTTCTCATATCCTAGCAAAGTGTTAGCTCATGTACTCAAAGCAAGAAAGCGGATACTTAGGCACCGTTAGGTTATATTCTCTAGCCTTAGACACATAATTTTTTAAAATGTTACTGGTTTTCAGTAACATGGCAATGAACAACTTGTTAGCTTGGGGTTCAGAGATGATTATAATCAATGATTCCGCCACCCAGTCTATATCAACTCAAATGGTTCGTCTGTCTCAGCTATGGCAACACAGCTGTAACTATTACTCTACTATGGTTAGAGGCAGGATAGTTGGCCCTATAGCTGTTTCCAAACCAAAACGTGGGGGTGGAGGGGGCACTGGATGCAGGGAAAAATCAGAAGAACACGTTTTCCAAACGCAAAGGATGTATTTGTACCCAGTGAGTAGCAATCTCCAGTTTTGCCTGTCCTGAATCTCTAGCTTGAGAGAGGGAGGGAAAGCTCACTTTCTCAGATTCCTGAATAATTTTATATACCTCCACCCCAGATTCCCACCCACTCATGGGTGTAGCTTAGATTTTTGTTGGGGGGGGAGGAGAAAGTCAGCTATGTATTTTTTATTGTTTTTTTATTGATTAGGGGGCAGCTGTCTCTCCCTGCCCCCTCTGGCTACTATGCCCATGCACCCACTTAAATGGAAAAGGTTCAACCATTGTGACTTTTCTTGGTTATTCCAGCCCCCTGACCCTTTTGAATGCCCCTTTTTTTACCAACTGGTCTTAACCACCGCCTGGATTAGAAATGCCAAGAGTTTTTGTCTACGGTGCCTTGAAGAAGCCCAAGAAGAATCTAAGAACAACCTTCCGGCACTCTCTTCTCACAGCGGCCAGGGGAACCTGCAGGCAGACTCTGACCCTTCAAGTGTCCCTATTTTCCAGGGACAGTCCCAGATTTACAGAAGCCGTGCTGGTTTCTGAATTGATCACTGAATGTCCCGCTTTTCCTTAAAGATAAAGGTAAAGGTAAAGGGACCCCTGACCATCAGGTCTAGTCGTGACTAACTCTGGGGTTGCAGCGCTCATCTCGCTTTATTGGCCGAGGGAGCCGGCGTACAGCTTCCGGGTCATGTGGCCAGCATGACTAAGCTGCTTCTGGCGAACCAGAGCAGCACATGGAAACGCTGTTTACCTTCCCGCTGGAGCAGTACCTATTTATCTACTTGCACTTTGACGTGCTTTCGAACTACTAGGTTGGCAGGAGCTGGGACCGAGCAACGGGAGCTCACCCCGTCGCAGGGATTCCGACCTTCTGATCAGCAAGTCCTAGGCTCTGCGGTTTAACCCACAGCGCCACCCACTTTTCCTTAGGACGTCCCTAATTTCATCAAAGAAATGTTGGAGGATATGGAGTTGTGCCACCCCCAAGTTTAGAAAATAAGTAACTATGCAATGTTTAGAAGACAACTTGAAGGCGGCCCTGTATAGGGAAGTTTTTAAATGTTTTATTATATTTTTATATATGTTGGAAGCCACTCAGAGTGGCTGGAGCAATGCAGTCAGATGGGGAGGGGAGTACAAATGTGATGATGATGGAATAGGATGTCCCTAATTTCATCGGAGAAATGTTGCAGGATATGGAGTTATGCAACCCATGAACCAGGGAGATAAGTAACTATACAACCTTTAGAAGACATCTGAAGGCAGACCTGTAGAAGGAATTTATTATTATGGAATAGAGCATCCCTATTTTCATCAGAGAAACGTTGGAGGGAATGCTGTGGTTCCCATCAATTCCCATTCAGAATATGCAGCAGTCCAAAATTCCTCTATTTCTCCATTCCTTCCTCTGAATGAAAGAGTTTTATTCGCAAGACCACAGCAGCTGCCCACTCTACACATTTCCTATCTCTATCGGCTCGCTCAGGAGCTCCCGCTGAGCCCAGAGGGGGACGGGCCCTTCTGAACTCTCGCGAGATCCCGCGCGGCAGCCTCTGTGACTTCCGGCCGAGCGGAAGCGCGTCCTCTTTCCCGTGGCGGACCCGAGGCGAGCTGTGCCGGCGCCATGAAGGTAGGTGTTGTGGGGCGCGGAGGGGGCGCAAACCGCCTCCACCCCCGGGAAATAGAGGCCTCGGCAGGTCGAGGGGCCCCGGCGGGAGGCGGCGGGGCAGGCGGCCGGCAAGGGAGCGCGGCCCCGTCGGCGGATGGAGGCTGATGCGGGGAAGCGGCGCGGCGGCCCTGGCCTCCCTTCCCCGCTTCGGAGAGGAGCTCTCGCGCGGTGTGTCATCTCGCGGGAATTACTGTTAACCCTTCAGACCCCCCCACCCTGTGCGTCTTGAGCGCTTAGCAGTGGTGGTCAAGCTTGGCCCTCAAGTGGTTTTGGGACTACAAGTCCCATCATCCCTAACCAAAGATCCTGTTAGCTAGGGATGGTGGGAGTTTGGCCGCCACTGGTAAAGGAGGCAGCGTTTATCGTCCTCGTGGAGCAGTGGTTCTCATCCTGTGGGTCCCCAGATGTTGGACTACAACTCCCATCATCCCTGAGCTCTGGCCTTGCTGGCTAAGGGTGATGGGAGTTGTAGTCCAAAAACAGCTGAAGGGCTAAGGTTGGCCATGCCTGATCTAGAGCAGTGGTGGCCAAGCTTGGCCCTCCAGCAGTTTTGGGACTACAATTCCTATCATCCCTAGCTAACAGGACCAGTGGTCAGGGATGATGGGAATTGTAGTCCCAAAACTGCTGGAGGTCCAAGTTTGGCCGTCACTGGTAAAGGAGGAAGCGTTTCTAGTCCTTGTGGAGGACGACGGGGCTCAATGCCACCCTGGGGAACCCCTTGAGCCCCTTTGCAAACCCGAGTGTGGCTTCTTCTCTCCTCCCTGCAGCTGAACATCTCCTTCCCAGCCACCGGCTGCCAGAAACTCATCGAAGTTGACGATGAGCGCAAGCTGCGCACCTTCTACGAGAAGCGCATGACCACGGAAGTCTCCGCGGATGCTCTTGGCGAGGAGTGGAAGGTGAGGCTGGCTTCACAAGGCTTGTTGCATGTGTGCAAAATGGGGCTGAGAAAGCAGCGGCGGTGAGAAAATTTAGGGTCTGTGGGTTGCCATTTTGGTTCTTGCCAAATGCCAGGTTCTGTGTGCTGCTGTGCTCGGAGTCTGCCTGCAGGTTCCCCTGGCCGCTGTGGGAATAGAGTGCTGCTGAGCCAGGTGGTCGTCTGGCCTGATCCAGGAAGGCTGCTCTTAGGTTCTTATTGGGCTTCAAGGCAGGGTAGACAAAAGCTCTTGGCATTTCTAATTCAGGCGGTGGCTAAGGCCAGTCAGTAAAGAAAGGGGCATTTAAAAGGGTCAGGGGGCTGGAATAACTCCCCCACCGGGAAAAGTCACAATGGTTGGAGCATTTCCATTTGAGTGGGTGGTTGGTAAGGTTGCCACCTTTGTTCTGGCAAAATACAGGACAGGGTGGGAGTTGGGAGGGTGATTTTTTTTAAAAAAATCAGGTGCTGAAGTGACTTCCGATCAATCCATTGCAATCTATTGCAGCCTAACAGGATGGGCCCCCTAGAATCTGTTGCCCAAAGACATACACATGAATTTGTAAAAGTGTGCTGGGCTACCCAGAGCTGAAATACATACCCTTTCAAACACATGCAGTTGGAGAGGATCCCTAATTTGGCAGAGAGAGGGGACCTGAAATACAGGACAAAACTCTCAATACAGGATGTAGCCTGCGTTATACAGGACAGGTGACAACCTTATTGTCTGGTGTCTTGTCCAGAGGCCCTCATGGATTCATATTAAATGAGAACTCTGGGAGTTACAAAGTTACACTTTGGGCCCATCTAATTATTCCTGAGAGGCTGTTTCAGTAGTTGGGGATAAATTGTTCCTAGGCTACCTTCAGATCTCAGGGATTGAACCTGGGAGCCTTTGAATGAATGCAAAGCTACTACTACCACTGAAGGCATGGGCCTTACCCAAAAGGATTTGGGTGCATGGTTGTGACTGCATCTGTGTTTACCCATCAGTCTGAGAAAGCGTGAGCTCAGAGTTTAGTGGTGGCATTGCTACTCCTGTCCACAGATCTCTGCATGCAGTAGCAAACTCCTTGCGCGCAGCTGCATGCAAAAACCTGCATTCTCACCTGTGTGTTGGTGGTGAGTTGGAAGGGAGTCTGGAAAATACTTAAGTTAGCAAAGCGATGGTGGGTTGGAGTTCAGAACACTACCAGGGAAAGTGGCTTAGGGAGAGGTGTGGTGATGTGATACAGCATGAAAATTGTCAGCAAATGCACTTAATGAGTCTGACTTTGAGAGTAAACTCACTTCTGCTCAAGTGTGCTAACTTAATTGACTTCTGCGGAGCAGGGAATCCAACAGCAATTTTCCTTTATGCATAGCAATCTTAGTATTGAAGCATCTGTGGGGAGCATGTGTACACCCATTTGCCCCAAAAATTGGGAGGTTATGTTAGTGGGATTCAATTTTAGTGGAAATCAAACAGATCAAAACAGCGTCTATTTTGTTAACACCCTTGTGTTTGTAGGCTTCATGTCCATGTATTAGAAATGGAATTAAGAAATGTATTAGAAATGTATTAATGTATTAGAAATGATTAAATGCCTGGGCAGGACACGATGCACTGGGAGATTGTCACATGTTGGCCCTTATAGGGAAGACATTCCATGTGAAAACAGTAGACTGCGCATCATAAATAAAGTGAATTTGCTTTAAATCGCTAGACTTGGCATTTCCTCTATATTCAAGACAGATTCCACAATATTGCTAAGGAAGCATGATCAATAGGCATAATATGGTAGCATTGTAGACGTTCTGGAGCATGGTTACAATATTGGTCAAGCCAGGCAATCTCAGCAGGTCTAGTTGTTGATGCTCAAAATGAAGAAAGGCAATGTTCTTTCTGCCAGTGCAATTGAGTTTATATTTAGCGGCATCTGTTACCTGTATACGGAGAGAAGAATGAGAAATTGAACTAACGCTCTTAAATTGTTCCCCCTTGAGAGAAAGGTCTAAGCTCTTTGTCTTTGTTTCGTCTTTGTTTCAGGGATACGTTGTCCGCATCAGTGGTGGCAATGACAAGCAAGGCTTCCCCATGAAGCAGGGGGTCCTGACTCACGGACGTGTCCGCCTGCTTCTCAGCAAGGGCCACTCATGTTACCGCCCTAGAAGGACTGGAGAAAGGAAGCGCAAATCTGTTCGGGGTTGCATTGTTGATGCCAATTTAAGCGTTTTGAATTTGGTCATTGTAAAGAAAGGTAAGGGTTCCCCCCCCACACACACATAGTAATGACCAGCAAATAGGGCTGTACATTGCAGGCTCAAAAACTCCTGCCCTACCAGCAGGAATTTACACAGGGGTTACATTCTGAGGCACTGTATGCATCGGTGAAATCACATATAATTGAAACCCGTCGAAAAAGCCTGCAAAAACCCCGTCCCACCCTTTTAGTGAAGTCTTTATGATGTTTCTGAGTCACTTCCAGATTCAGCATGTATACACGGTCACACACATAAACGGGGCTGCCTGTACTGTGCCCTGCCCTTTAAGGGGCTATCCTGGGTTTATCTAGGAATCTGGATCTGTTTTTACTGTTGTTGTTTTATGTAGGACAAGTGTTGCATTTTACAGGTCCTTGCCTGAGGAGCATACAATCTAAATTTTTTAACATAGGGCTCGGCTATACAGCTACAAATAAAATGTTTTAAGTGACACTTGATGGTGATGGCGAGCCTTTTGGAAAATGCAATGTATTTAAAAAAAACTTTTTAAAAAAACATTTTCGAACGGCTTTCAGAAGTGTGTAGATTCTACCATAGTGAAGATAGCAAAGGGAAAAGTGGCAGATAATTTTGCTCTGGACTGTGAACTGCTAAGGGTCAGGCGTATTACATTTCCAACAGATTTATAGCTTTGATGGCAAAGTGTGTCCAAAAAGCTCACTTTTGCACTTATCCTGGAGCAAGGTCTACAGCTCCTAGGTTGTGACCAGCAACATTTATCCCCAGCTCCGTCTAGGTTTCAAATGTGCCTTCATTGCCTGATTCATCTGTGCCTAACTTTAAGGTTGCCACCAATAATACTTTTTTCTGAAATTGCTCTTGGTAGCTGTTTAGCAGCTGTAATCGGTGTAGCAGCCTTTCTGAACAAGCACCAGGAATAAAAATTCAGGCTTGATTACCCTCTGAGCAGAATTCAAGGTGTCCTATGTGTTTCAGAACTATCTTTGAATCTCTGATTACACTACTAGATGTTGGGGTTTTAGGAAATACTCAGCTTTTAGCGAATTAAGATGGTTGTTCTCAGATCCTGGGTCTGAATGGAAATTTTTGATGTTGCTGCTACCAGTGAATTAAGGGAGGGAAACTAGGCAGTAGGAAATTCTATACATAGTATTGCCTGTTCTAGAGAGCAGAAGTTAATGAGGACTGGGTGGCTCAAGTTTTCGCATGCATTATCTTGAGATACTTGAATTTGAAAGGGATAGGAGGCCAGAGTTTCAGGTGTGCGGGGCAGGGAGCTCGGCTTCTGAGTCTAGCTCTTGCTAAGAATAATCTTTCTGGTCTGGCAACTACAGGTGAGAAAGATATTCCTGGACTGACTGACACCACTGTGCCTCGCCGACTTGGTCCCAAGAGGGCTAGCAGGATCCGAAAGCTGTTCAACCTCTCCAAAGAAGATGACGTCCGTCAGTATGTTGTGAGAAAGCCATTGAACAAGGAAGGTAAGAGGAAAGAAGATAACATTTTGGTTACCGTACTTTTCTGTCTATAAGACGCCCCCATGTATAAGACTTAGTTTTATACATGAGGGGCTTAGTTTTCAGAAAATGAGGGGAGATGGCCCAAAGTTGTTGAGCTTCTCCCCCCATGCAGCTGCGGGTAGGAAACACTCCCTAGATTGTTTCCCACACACAGCGGCATCGGGGGAATTTGCGCTCCAGCCAACCGGCTGGCAGTTGGGCGCGCCGCTTCCCCCCCATGCCACTATCTGTGTATTGGATGACCCCAGTTTTTTGACACAATTTTTGAGTCAAAAAACCTCGTCTAATACATGGAAACATACGGTATTTTTGATGCAACGGGTCTACCAGGTAAAACTAGTGATTGGCTGTGTATTCAGGTGCTATAGTGTCATTCCTGTCGGACTTGGAATTATCACAGAAATGTAACCAGGCAGGGTGGGGGGAATTGGAACTAGGTGGGCATTTACCAATCTGCTTAGCTTTCAGACTGCTGTCCAGTCAACAGGCCATTTCAGCCACAGTGTTTTGATACTGGTATATGGCGACTCCACCAGCTGCCCATTTAGAGCATATTAGAACAAGTTCTACATGTGGCTCAACATACATGTGTAAATCTACTCATTAGGGGGATGCTGGCCCGGCCCAGGAGATGTCCTTTCTCCCTCCTTGGTAGCGTGGAGGAACTCTACGTGCATACATTAATTTGCATGCAGATTGCTTGCACATGCCTGTCAAATGTGTCTGTGAAGGGGGCAGTCTTGCCCATATGTTCCATCCATCCCACATTGTTTTCAGATGTGTTGGGACATCTGAACCCCGCCACCCCTTTGAGCTTCTAGGGTGGGTGGGATTAGTAAAACGGGTTGTGCGTTGCCCAGTACATTCCCTGTGGCATAAGTTATAGGTATTTTATCACAGTGCAGATGGAAATGTGTGTTCTTGAGGGCAGGTGCAAACTGATTACAGCTTTTCCTTGCACATTACCAGTTACCAGGGCAGAATAAATGCAGAATGTCTTCTTCAAGTCTGTAGCCTTATACGTGCTGGGCAAGTTTTGTTCCAATGGTAGAGAAATGAGCTGAACCGCAATCGTAGATTCTTTGCTCTGGACTTGACAACAGCTGCCCTGTTGATTGTGCTCGTGTCTGTTCTTAGGCAAGAAGCCCAGGACCAAAGCACCCAAGATTCAGCGCTTGGTGACTCCCAGGGTCCTGCAACACAAGCGCAGGCGTATTGCTCTGAAGAAGCAGCGTACCCAAAAGAACAAGGACGAAGCTGCAGAATATGCCAAGCTTCTGGCTAAAAGAATGAAGGTATACTTAGTTCTGTGCAGCTTCTGGCTTATCTGGATTCTGAGTCCACCCCATCCTCAAGGCACATTCGGCATTTATTTTTGATTACACCCATTAAGCACAATATGTTAATTACTGGCTGATTTAAACCAGGGGTGAGAAACTTCTTTCAGCCCATGCATGGATTCCTTTCTGGGCACCCTTGCAGCAGCCACATCTCAGTGGTGGGCAGGGTCAGAGGCCAAGGTGGAAGGATGATAATGCCTCCCCCCTTCTTACCTGGATGGGAGGATAGAGGGTTTGTGTCTGCTTGTAAGAAACTAGCTTTCTTGTATGTGAGACGGATGCCAGCCTACAGAAAGCTATCTTCTTACAAATGCACCCACCCTCTAACCCTTCATCCAGGTAAGCAAGGGGGCATTATCAGAGTTAAGGCGAACACATTCACAAAGGGTGAAAAGCAGGGCCAGTATTGGCCAGGGAAGGGAGTCTCTTCTTTGGACAGTCCAGGGGCCAAATGGGAGAGGTGGAGAATCACAGAGCCTGAGGTTCCCCACCCCTACATTTTGAACAGTCCACTACCTAGCAGAATGATATTGGCATAGTTGGTAACTGACCTCTGTCTTGGAAGATGCACAGGTGAGAACTGTGGTAACAGATGGAGGCGTATGAAGCATCATTTATAGAACAGAATAGCCTTCAGGCCTTTGGACACCATGGTTAGTAATGTGTGAGGGGCTCCTGTAGGGGATGAAGGCAGTTGCTTTTTGTGACTTCCCCCTTTCCCATTGGCAACCCTATGAAGGAAGGACCCTCCTCCACATGTTGAGGCTCCCTGATGTTGGAAAACAGTTGCCCTCCAACTTGTGGAGGATGATGGGATGTGGGGCTAGCATTTCTGTTCCCATGCCCCATGTGAGAATGTCTGAAAAGGACTTTACAGAATGCAGCTGTGTCTTTTTGTCGCAGAAACACTGTTTTGTACTGATATGTGGTACCTTCTCCCCTCTTTTTTTTTTTTTTAAGGAGGCAAAGGAAAAACGGCAAGAGCAAATAGCCAAGAGGCGTAGACTTTCTTCTCTGAGAGCTTCCACATCTAAATCCGAATCAAGCCAGAAGTAAATGAGGAACTGTGTTCCTGAAAACATTAAATAAAACTTTTATGGTGAGATGGAACTGTTCACGTTATTTTTAAAAAAGAGACAAATGCCCATTTAAAGTTTAATGTTAGTATTCTGTTACCACATTAATCGATGGGTGTGCAAAACAAATGGCTGTTTGAGGCATCTCTCCATATTGGAGACAGGTGTGGCACTTGTTTTGTTCATCTTTCTATATTATTGTCTGCCTTTCTTGTGGCAGAAACTTGAAACTAGAAGCCACTGACCCCTCTCCTGCTTTGGAGCCTTTGAAAAACATTGCTTAAGAACAAAAGAAGTGCAAGAGACTAATATCAGACATTTGTACACTTTTATTTTTGATATAACATTTAACAAGTGGTTTCTAAATCACCCAGGGTACCTATGCAAAAGAGTCAATAAGAAACAAACTTATTAACAAAAATATTAAGATACCAGGTAGCTCAAAGCACAGTGAATTGATAACATTCAAATTCCGAAACCAGTACATGATTGTATTAGTAATTGAAACCTTCCCACCTTTACCATGAAATTATAAAATTTGACCTCAAAGCAACTCATGTCACTTTTAATGTTAAAGACAAAACAATCCCTTTTTATACTTGTACTCCGCAGGATTCTAGGTGTTTTAAGGTCTGTTTCCCAACCCCCTAACATGCAGCACAGTCAATGTGGCAGAATAGGAACAGAACTGTAGCAAACTCCTCTCCTAGTTTAATGTAGGGAATGCTCTAAAACACTATAAAAGTTGGGTGCAGCCGGTGACCCCTTGATGCAGGGTTCTTATTCCTGGCCCCTCTGTGCATCGGCAGAGCACGTATAAAGACCCCCTGCTCCCCTTCTTCTCTTTTCCGGACCCCATGTGTCTGCAATTACAAGGCAACTGGACACACCTATGCTGGTCACCGCCGGAATATAGAATGGAGCTTAAAAGGGTTTTCAAATGTAGCTAAGTAATTTTTAGTTTCTACCCTGCCACAGGTTGTGGAAAAGCATAGTATCTTTTTACATCTCACAGCTTTTGCGCTGGAATAAAAAGGAGCTTTAAACTACCCAAAAGTTAAAATTGCAGGCTGGCTTGCTTTGATTTAATTCCCCAAACCAGGTGTAAGCTTTTAGTGTTTTAGAAACATCCCGTATTAGTTTAACAGAGAGAGGACCTAATTTTATACTGCATACGTAGCATTTTACTTGGTTTGGTCAGCACAAATAACTAACCCTATGAATAATATGCCTGAAGTCCTAACTGTTCATCTATTTCCATACCTAAATACATCTTTTTTTAAAAAAATGGATGGGGAAAATGGATATAAAAACAACTAAACTTTGTGGTTATTCTGCTAGTTTTCATTATTCTATAAAAGAGACTTTAACTGAACAGGGGTTTCATGACGCTTGCACTATAATTAATTTGCTACCATTAACTCCCAGTAATGATGTATAGTGGATAAGCTGCTGAGACATTTACTTCCAAGACATTTGCCCCCTTAAAATTTAACTTCATGTTAAAGTTATGCATGGTTAAGATGTATGTTTCATAGAGCCAAACTGTACACGTGGCACTAGCTTTCCTTAGGCAAACTTATTTGGGGTGTAAATTTCATTGAACTCTATGGGACTTCTCAGTGAACTTGCATAGGATCAGCCAGTAAGTGATATAAATTCTTCAAAAGCCTTGCGCTTCTGAAGGTCCTTTCTACTACCTTATTACTCAAGCTGCCATACATAGTTCTCTTTCCCTAAGCAACCATCTTTACCTCTTTGTCAGCTGCTTTGATGGTTTTCTAAAGTGCACTCGCGATTAACATGTTATCAGAAACCAAATTAATAGCTTGCATTAAAAAAACTCGCTTAGACCAAATTAGCCCCCAATGAAATAAAATTTATAGAGAACTATACCACACAGTCCCAGAATTTACGGACAGTTGAAAGGAAAACGATGGCACTTTTTAAAAAGCAGATGACAGCTTTGATATGGGTCCAAAATACGGCATTTAAATGCACTAAATTGAAGCTAGCATTTGTGTTACTTCACTGGTTAGCTAGAGTAACATTAGCAGCTCGACCACATGGGAAGAGTCTAGGCTGCCTTCACTCCAACATCTGCTTTCAGGAAATTAGGTTTCTCAAATTTGCTGGAGTAATAATGCAAGAACTTACCGTATTTTTTGCTCTATAACACGCACCCGACCATAACACGCACATAGTTTTTAGAGGAGGAAAACAAGAAAAAAAATATTCTAAATGAAACAGTGGATGTATGATTTTTGTGGTTCATGCTGTGGCCACAGACATGTGATCTGATGGTGAATTTGGGGTGACCCAGTGCAAAAATCCTGAGGATCCATGTGGATCCGTGCTTTGTAACCAGGCTCTCTGTCCCTCTCTTCTCCCCACTCAGCAACTCTTCTCCCGCTTTGCTGTTTCAAAGCGAGCCACGGAGGAGGGAAGGAAGGGGAACCATGGATCCTCTGCTCACGACTGCAGCAGATGCCCCCGCCATCCGTAGGCATTCGCTCCATAACACGCACAGACATTTCCCCTTACTTTCTAGGAGGAAAAAAGTGAGTGTTATGGAGCAAAAAATACGGTAAGTCTTTGGTGCTTATCCTCTGTTCTGCATTAAAACAGAAGTGCAATGCCAACAGTTCAAACACAGCAAAAGGTTTTTAAAATGTGACTTGCTTTACCCTAAATGCTATTTGTTACAGCAAAAGAATTACCACTAGCTAAAATGCCAATTTTTTTCTGCATAGTATCAATAGCCCAAATTGTTCCTGCTGATTTGCAGTAAGATGTAATTCAGAAACGGCAAAACTGAAATGGTAAGAAACAGTCTGCATAAACAAAACAAGAAAGGTTCCAAGTGCAATCTTTCATACATAACATTAATTTACAATGGAAATATGAACATACCATAAAAGGTGTTTCGTAAGGGTTTTTATTTATAATAATCATTTGTAAATGAAAAAATGCATTGTATTTGAGAAAGGGACAAAGGAGGGATAAAACAGACATCCTACAAGCAACCTTAATATACTAGTCCCCTGCAATTTCAGAAAAATAGTGGTGGCAGGGGTGGGGAGGAAAAGTATAAGGGATATACTCTCTGCCTACTGTGCTCTTTCATGGGACGGCTTTCACATTTAAAACATTCCCAGCAATATATTTTGAAATGTGGTTTAGTGTGAACACTAAGAGAGAATCTAGTCTAAAGTGCCAAACTATTCTGACAAGTGCAAAATTCTTGCTGTTACTGGAATAGTCACAATCCTGCCATGCTCTGCTCTAGCTTAGCGCTAGTGCAGTATGAAAGATTACAAGGGGCAGGATCAAGAATATGTGTGTACTTTTAGTCATTATCCACAATCCCTCTTAATGGACTTGCTTCATAAAAGTAGTTAATGCAGATGCTCAGATACCGTGACATCATCTGAAGTGAAGAGGAGGAGGATAGCCATCTCTCTTAACTGTCATTAAATGTTTCAGAAAACATCCATGCAACTGTCAAAAGAGAGCTAGCTGTGAATGCAAGCATTCTCCCCCTCTCTCTGCAACAAACTGGTAATTAACCAGAGATATTTAAAAAGTTAAGATTAAAAATTAGCCTTTACACTCCTGGTAAACATATACGTTCAAGTGTGTGAGTATAAATACATTTTAATATAGAAGTATTTAAATTGGACAGTGCAAAGAAAATGTCCCACAGGTTAAAAAGATGAGCAAGGAATGAGGCACCTGACAGCTTCAAGCTTTGCCCCAAAATACATATTATATACTTTCTTTTACACAAATGCTAAGACAGGTATATGTGGTCAATTTTCCCCACCCATATATGTACCCTAGATTCATTTATTCCCACTTTCCTTTATAGAGAGGCAACTGCCTTCAAAGCCACTCAGGGTAGGAACCCATCATTGTGGGGAGAACATTGTATGTACAGTTTGAGAATTATTTAAAGTAGTTATTCTATAAAAATGAGAAAAATACTATGCTTTACAATAGCCACAACAGCTATATTCTTGCTACAGTCCAAGACAGTGATTGTTTTCTAAGAAGAAGATGGGCGTTTAAACTAAAGCTAAGGTTTGGTCTTTTGACCCAAGGGAAAAGAATTACAATTCAAAATGTACAAAATGTACATATACATGCAGCAAGTAGAGATCTCTCTTTTAAACTGATGGATCCATTCATTAAGAAACCAGTGTGCTCTTGGGCTAGAAGACAAATAAAACATTCCAACATTTCAAGTTTTAAAAAGCAAGACACCAATTAAAACGCCAGTCTCCGTTGTCGTTCTAAACAATGATGCACAGGAAGGTTAAACTGTCAATTCAAAAGCCAATGACTTTGCACTAGCATATTTGCACTTAATTATTGGGGCTGGTATAGACATCGGACTGTCACAGAAGAGAGTGCTACATGTATTCCTGAATTGGACGCCAACAGCTATAGCTGAATCCAAATCAACACATTCACCATTTTGTCCCTTTCCTCTGCTCTCTGTTTGTGGAGCTGCTACATGGCATCATCTTTGCGGAGTTTATATGACAGGCGCCCCAAAGTATTTCCTGCACCACTCAACGCTGACGCTGGGCGGGGCGTCGATCTTCTGCATCTTTTCAAGCACCTCGGCTGGAAGGCTTTTATAGGCAGCTCTGTACTCATTGTCAAAGGCCTCTGCAAAGAACGAAAGCAGCGTTTCAGTCAAGGGAGACGGAGAAGTTGTACAGACCTTTTGCTAAAGCTTTTCAACACACTGCAAAACATCTCTTTCCATGCAGCAGAAAGCCATTCACAATTGAAATGGAAGGAGATTCTCTTAGGTAAAGATAGAATGCCTGGGCCTTTTTGAGTTGCTAGTCTTCAAACACACAAAATATGAATGCACTGTCCATTCTGATTCATCCATTAATCCTTTCAAATGTAAGCTAGAAAAGCTAAATCTTGTTTTTAAGAGCACCAAAGATATAGCAATTATTACAAGTTAGAAGAAACAATATTAAAGATTAGCTATGCTTTGCTTTTCCAGGTGAACTGATAATTTAAAAAGAAATGTATTTGAAGAGTTAGTTTCTGGTTACAAGAATAATGACATCCAATACCATTCATAAAACACACACACACACACATGCTTACGTGTCTTACCTATGTCAATATTCTCTCTCCCAAGGGAGACCAGGGACAGGAAAAGAATTTCTCTGTAAAAGCTCCTGCAAAATGCATGTTTAGAAATTAGACAAGTTCAGTCTTCCCTTTAGCCTATTCCAACCACATGCTGCCTTGTAAGTTACACTACCTTACATGGAACTAGAGTTCTCACAGGTGAAAAATGTCACTGAGAGTGTGTTTCTTAGGTCAAACAGTCACAAGTTTTCCTGGGGAAAAAAGGCTTTACTGTTCATTAACGGCAGCCCCATCTGCATTGTCTTAAGAAATCCAACACTCGTCAGCTGCTTTCTGGGTAATGCAAATCACAAGGAAGGTGTTCTCGAAAGGCTCTAGATGTCAGTGTGACCTTTCATTATATAGTTGCCTCTTTGCAAGAGCAAAACAGTAAAATTTCACACCAAACTTCCATATTGATATACTTATTTCTGCATGCATATTTGCCGTCTCTGCAGTGATATTTGTCTCCATTGATTCCTGTAGAAGCAACTGCATGCACCTTAATGCAGGTTAACTTCCCCCAGATAGCTGAATTCTATGCACAGTGCGAAGTATGCAAGGAACTTGAAAATCGCCACTACTTTTCCTCCCCATATTTTTGTGGAGTCAGTGGCATTTCCCCTTTACCTTTGTCGTTTCCTATCTTGCTTAGTTTTCTGCACGAGAAGATTGATGGGTTTCACAACATCATTGTGCTGAATACTCAGTTTGATGTTCTCAGCTAAAGCGATTGTTGCTTGTTGCTCTTCTGAAACTGCAGAAGGTTTCTTTTCTGTAGAATCTAGAGGGGGGGGGAATCAACAAATTATGACTAAGAAAGGTGAAAAGCCATCACTAAGGGATGCGGGTGGCGCTGTGGGTTAACCCACAGAGCCTAGGACTTGCTGATCGAAAGGTCAGCGGTTCGAATCCCCGCAATGGGGTGAGCTCCCGTTCTGGGTCCCAGCTCCTGCCAACCTAGCAGTTTGAAAGCACCCCAAAGTGCAAGTAGATAAATAGGGACCGCTCTCCAGTGGGAAGGTAAACGGCGTTTCCGTGTGCTGCGCTGGTTCGCCAGAAGCGGCTTAGTCACGCTGGCCACGTGACCCGGAAGCTGTCTGCAGACAAGCGCCGGCTCCCGGCCTCTTGAGCGAGATGAGCGCGCAACCCTAGAGTCGGTCACGACTGGACCTGTTGGTCAGGGGTACCTTTACCTTTTAAATGTCAGAAGAAAACTACAAGCAACAGAGAGGAAGGTAGAGGAAAGAAAGAGACTAGAAAGGGGAAGATGGGAGAAAGAAAAGATGGGGAATGAAGGAAGAAATACAGGGCAAAGGAGGAGAGGGGTGGAAGTTTTGGCAACTGGAAGAGGAAAGGAGAAGCAGCTTTCAGGCTAGGGATTACAGCTGCACATAGAAGGTCCCTGATAGGAAATACAGTGGTATCTGCTTGCAGCCGGGATCCGTTCCAGAGCTCCGGTCAGGTCCCAAGGTTTCCGCAACTGGAGGGACCACTTCTGTGCATGCAATCCATCAAGTAAACATTAGATGATCACCAGGGCTAGCTGGCTAAATTAGTCCTATTTAGGCCAGCATGGAGACCAGGGGAGAATAAGCTGTGGGATCCCAGAGCGGGTAATCTTCATAACAATGGAAGGGAAGGAAGGGGAATAAAAGATCAGGCTAGGCTCAAGTTGAAAGCCAGGCAGAATAGTTCTGTCTTACAGGCCCTGCGGAAGGAAGTTAAATCCTGCAGGGCCCTGGTCTCATTGGACAGAGCATTCCACCAGGTCGGAGCCATCACTGAGAAGGCCCTGGGCCCTGGTGGAGGATAATCTAACTTCCTTAGGGCCCGGGACCTTTAAACTATGATTATTCAAGGACCTTAAGGTCCTCTGCGGGGCAGACCAGGAGGTATGTCACCCCTTTCCTACAGAGCCAGCAGCCTCACCCTTTTTTGAACACCCTCCCTTGTGGAGTGTTCCCCCAGCCTCCTCTCCCTTCTCCTTGGGAGTCTTCCAGGCAGCTTCTGCCGCCATCCCTGGTCTCTGAGCTGCCCCAGACCCCACTCCAGAGAGAGGTGCCTCTCAGAGGCACCATTTGCCTATGGAGCTTATAGCCAGGGCTGCTGCAATAGCAGCTGTGCAAGCCTTTGGGAGGCAGAGACATGAGAGGGCATCAGAGGTAGGAAAGAGGGACAGAGGCCAGTGTTGCCCGCAGCACCTCAGACCATCATTCAAGGCACTGGTTGAAAATCACTGGCCTATTGCATTAGTAGATTGTACTAGCAACAAGCTAGTATCCAAGTTGTATCCAAGCTTTTCATCCACCAAGGCTGCGGGTACTTGGTCCGAGCGCTGACCCATCAAGGAACACGGGCAGTCATTTTGGGGAAGATGGGCAAATATCGATGACCATCGAGTACAGGTGAAGAGTCTTATTCTCAAAACAGGTTTTGAAATGTACACTTTTACTCACTGAAGTTTCTCCAAGATAGGTACAGAGGTTCCCCAGGCTCTTGGTGAAGATTGATATTGTCCCACAGAAGTTGGATAAACACTAGCTTGCTGTCTTGAGACAAATTTGACAGAGGAAGCTAAAAGAGAGGAAACACGCTTTCTTATCACTTCGCCACAGACTGAGCTCTCTTGCCAGCAGTTTTGCAATGGCGGGTGCACAAGGTTAATTTCACCCTTTGCTGGCGGAGTTCTCTAGCGAAGGAACATTTGTCTAGAGCACATGGCCTCCTCCCATTTAAACAAAGCCAATTTCAGAAACAGGAAAGGATTTGCATCATATCCACAATATCAATCCACAATGGTTTTGAAAAAGCCATCGGCTGATGAACATTTATGAAAAGAACACAGTGTTCCCACAGAAACAAGTCTCCATCTTAAGTAACTGCATTTCTAAACTGAAATGACTTATTTATGTACCCCATAGCTGAAGCTGGTTTTCTACATGGTCTGTTCCACATCTTCTAAACACATTCCCCAAGCAAATCACGATCTTCTCTCCAACAAACCTATGCTATTTCCTAAATGATCAAGCCGTTTGTGCCTAACTTTGTCTGAGTTGCACTTTAACTAACTATCTCCCCTGCTATCTTTTGAAATAGAACAATTGCTTTTTAGGGGGTCGCCTTTTCTATCAGCAGCATGCACTAAAATGCACTCCCTCAACAGACTTTGAACACCCGAAATAGATGACTAGCCTCTATTCAATATTGTCAGTATTTGTTTCTGTCACCAAGGCAAATAGAGGCAGGATACCAAGGCAAAACAAACCAACAGGTTACCCTCTTTTAAGGTTTGCAAGGGCAAAGCAAAACAAACATCACCAGGTGCACCTGCCGTGTTGGAAGTACCTGTGCAGAACCTCACCTGCACGCCTTCATTGCAGTGCTCTGATGTTAGAATGAGTCCTGGCAAGTTGCTTGGGAGGTCCAGGCGTCGGAAATACCACACCAGGTTCCAGAAAATGATGGGGTGTTGATTGATGAACGTGGAGGTGTGAATCACTTGTTCTCCCTCGTTCTCCAGCAAAGATTCCAGCTCTTTCCTTAGTACCAGGGGGCTCAAATATGGGACGGACACAGGTAAAGGATTGGCCCTTTTGGCTAAGGGATCCTGAAAAACATTCAACAATCATTCATCCGTCAAACAATGCTGGGTGGCTTCTCTCGCCAACGAAACACCATGAGGTGTCCCTGAGTCACATTACTCGAGAGCAAGTTGCACAAAATAATGCAGCCTCCCTTAATGCAACCAAGATGATCGAGGGTATGGAAACGAAGACTTAGGAAGAATAGTTGAGGGAGCTGGGGGGTGTTTAGCTTGGAAAAGAGAGTGAGAGGAGGTATGACAACCATCTTCAAATATCTCAAGGGGTGTAACATGGAAGAGGGACTGAGCTTGTTGTCTCCTGCTCTAGAGGGTAGGACTCGAACCCATGGCTTCAAGTTACCAGAAAGGAGATTCCGACTAAAGAGCAGTTCGACAGTAGAATAGTCTCCCACGAGAGGTGGTGGACTCTCCTTCTTTGGAGGTTTTTAAGCAGAGGTTGAATGGTCACCTGTCATGGATGCTTTAGCTGAGATTCCTGTATTGCAAGGGGTTGGACTAGATAGCCCTTAGGGGTACCTTAGAACTCGATTCTGTTATTGAACCATCCTGACTTGACTGGGGCTGAAGGGAGTTGTAATCCAAAACAGTTAAGGGCACCAGGCTGGGGAAGTTTGCAGTAATGCAAACTCGAGTCTAAAACAACACACTGCTACAGTTCCACAGCTTTCTTGTATAACAAAAGTTGCTGAAACACATCACCCTTAGAACATTTGGAATGTTTGCATTGCGACAGGGATTAAAACAAACTATACAAGGAAGCACCTCTTCACCCCTTACTGGTTTACTTTAAAGGTAAAGGGATCCCTGACCATTAGGTCCAGTCGTGGCCGACTCTGGGGTTGTGGCGCTCATCTCGCTTTACTGGCCGAGGGAGCCGGCGTACAGCTTCTGGCTCATGTGTCCAGCATGACTAAGCCGCTTCTGGCGAACCAGAGCAGCACACGGAAACGCCGTTTACCTTCCCGCCAGAGCGGTAACTATTTATCTACTTGCACTTTGACGTGCTTTCGAACTGCTAGGTTGGCAGGAGCAGGGACCGAGCAACAGGAGCTCACCCCGTCGCGGGGACTCGAACCGCCGACCTTCTGATCGGCAAGCCCAAGAAGCTCTGTGGTTTAACCCACAGCACCACCCGCGTTTACTGTACACAAGATCAAAGTTCCTGGAGAATCTCTTCCTGCCCATCCAAACGAGGATGATAATGTTCAAGATGCTCTGTAGCTAGCAAAGGATCTCAAAGCACATGCAGTCACTCGCTACCAACAAATCAGCTTAACAAGCAGTTATTGCTGACGACTTACCGCAGCCTCTTGCAAGCTGTTGGGAAGGCTGACGGTTGAGATGCCATGAGCCGGCCTTTGCAAGAGATCAATATTTTGCAGCGGACCACCAACGCTATGGCTCCGAGTCAGAGAACCTCCTCGTTGCGAGGCGTTGCTTGTAGCAGAGGGCTTGGGGGGGTTGAGGTCCCTGTCCCCTCCTCCTGCGACGCCAGTGCTTAAAACGAAAGGGTGGAATTCAACGTCACGCTATGATGGAAGTTTCCTAGGTGCATGCACCCCCTCTCCTCTCCCTGTGTTCTCCCCCAAACCCCCATTCAATTTGGGGGAGGGCACACAATGGGGAGAAGAAGGGGGTAAGCCCCATGGTGCAGGCAGAAGTCCTTCAGCAAGCACCGCCCATTAGGTGAATCCCACCCTCAGCATTTGGTCATTGCTAGGTCGGTTTTTTCTCCTGGGGAGGGAGACACCACTTCTTTTTTTAATTGGTTTTCACATATTACAATACAGATGTACCAAATCCAACACCATTTCTTCCCCATCCCCCTATACATTTACATTTCCTCAATCCATCGTATTATTCTTTTCTCCTTCCTCCCACTTCCCTCCGCCCCCACTCAATTTCCTCCACATTATACAATTTACAATAATTTTGCATTCTACAATCTTCTCAAATCATCTATATATTCTTACTATCTTCCCTTACTAATTTTTCTTCCATCGAGTACTTCACATTTTAATCTAGGCATATTAGCGTATCTTTTTTTGATAGCAAATGCCTCCAGCGGTGATATCCACCAAGGTGTCTGTGGTTCCGGATGTAATCTATATTTGTTCCAAACTTTAAATAATGCACCTCTTAATATATGACTTGTAAATTCTTTATTGACTTTTACTTTCTGATAATTAAGATATGCATGCCATCCGTATCTATTATTAAAACTTCCAAGATCCAATATATTAGTTTTTTCCAATCTAATCCAATCTCTTACCCAAATTAAACATTCTGCTTCATAATATAATTTTAAATTTGGCAATGCTAATCCAGGGGAGGGAGACACTTCTTTGTACTTCTGCAAACCCTGGGATCGCCACGAGTGTGCTGATACCTCCCTCTCATCCCTTGGTCACCCAGTTTGGGCTAAAAGCTGAGTTTGCTATTAGAGGGAAGGATTTCTATCAGACTTCAATGCACAGAGCGCTTTGATAACTATTCCATCTGCAGAAGTGTCCAGGTGGAAGATTACTTCCCCACCCAGCCTCCGAGAAACCCCTCTTGGAACGGGATGCGGGATGGCACAGAGGGAAACCACGGAAAACCTTCCTTAGCAAAGGCCTTTGGGGAAAACTCAGGAAGGCTACTGGAAGGAAGAGGGGGAACAAAGTCCTGGAACTAAACCTTTTGTATACTGCCACTGCAATTTCGTAAAGGGCATTTGGACTCATCTCATTCTACCGTAAATGAAGCCAGCCGAGTGCAGCAGTCTACTCACACTGATATAATAATAATATACAGTCATACCTCTTGTTACGTTTGCTTCAGGTAAAATCTTTTCAGGTTGTGTCCCGCAGCGACCCGGAAGTACTGCAAAGGGTTACTTCCGGGTTTCGCCGCTCATGCATGCGCAGACGCTCAAAATGACGTCACGTGCATGCACAGAAGCGGCAAATCGCAACCCATGCATGCGCAGACGCAGGTTGCATTCTGCTCATGTTGCGAACGGGGCTCCGGAATGGATCCCGTTTGCAACCAGAGGTACCACTGTAATAATTTATTACTTATACCCCGTCCATCCGGCCAGGCCTCCCTAGCCTCTCTGGGCGGCTTCCAACAGAGTATTAAAAACACAATAAAACACCAAATATTTTAAACCTCCCCAAACAGGGCTGCCTTCAGATGTCTTCTAAAAGTCAGCTGGTTGTTTATTTCCTTGACATCTGATGGGAGGGCGTTCCACAGGGCAGGCACCACTACTGAGAAGGCCCTCAGCCTGGTTCCCTGCAACCTCACTTCTTGCAGGGAAGGAACCAGCAGAAGGCCCTTGGAGCTGGACCTCAGTGTCCAGGCTGAACGATGGGAGTGGAGACGCTCCTTCAGGTATATTGGAATATTGTGAATCTCCTTGACATCTGACAGGAGGCGGGTGTCACCACCGAGAAGGCCCTCTGCCTGGTTCCCTGTAACCTCACTTCTTGCAGGGAGGGAACCGCCAGAAGACCCTTGGAGCTGGACCTCAGTGTCCAAGCGGAACAATGGGGGTGGAGACGCTCCTTCGGGTATACTTGCCTTGGTCTCTGCACTTAACAAACAAGGATCTCTTAAGTACCACCAGATTGTCCACTAGATTTGAGTACACACTGTTCTTCCAAACATTTTTTGAAACAAAGCTTCAAAGCAAAGCAAAGGCCGCATGAATTCCCCCAGGAACTAAGAACTGCCTTGCCTTTCTCTCTTTCGGTACCTTTGCTTCGCTGCGGTGCTGTTTTCTTCAGCGATGGTCTGGTTCATATCTGAAGATTCGGCAAAACTGATCAGATCAGTAGCGGGGCTTGAAACAGCCTTTGGCTCCAGAGAATCCGTGGTTAATGGAATGTTGCTGCTGTGCAAACTATCGCCAGAGGTACTCGGTTTCAAAAGCAAGCTAATAAGGAAACAGGAGCAAAAAACCAAAGCCAATGAAAAAGATTGGAATGCAAAATGTCCTATTTTGGGGGTACATTAACTACAGTCAGAATTCACAATTGGCTTCAGCAATTAACTGTTATAGACCAGAAATTGATATAGACATTACATTTTTGTTTTAAATAAAAATAAAATAAATAAATAAATAAATGAGAGCCACCCACCAATTCATTATCATGTAAAAGATTCTCAGGCAATAAAATTGTTTTAAATGAAAGAAAAAACCTGCACACACTTATTTTGCTGTGCGAAGAGAAAGAGAAGCCAGAAATATAGCCAAAGGACGGTTCAGGTGTCAAAGGAAGTAAAGAATGTCCCTTATCTCAACAGCTACCATTTAAATCTACCACAAGCTGCATATGATGGAACGTGGAAATATCTACGCAGCACTTAATAGGCCAAGGATTCACGCAGCGGCAAATGAACCAACCTTGCAAGACCACGCAGGTCTTTAAATTCCACATTAAGAAGAGGTAAGAAAGTGCTTTTGCAAAATGGGCATGTAGTATTCAGATTAGAGTCATCCGCTGTCCATCCCGCCATGATTTCTTCGTCATAAACTAGAGCTCCACATACACGACACTGAGAACAACTTGACATTAAGACCTAACAAAACAACAACAACAACTAATTACAATCGTTATGGGTTTTATGTATCAGAGGCTGTACGTGTGAACAGAACAGACGGCCATTTGCATAATGGGACTTCTGGAGCAGATTCTGAGAGTACAAGGTCAGCTTACAGGGAGAACGAGAGGAAGCAGAATCCCGTTATGAAAGTGGAAATCCGCTTACAAATATTTAGAACTCAGAGCCCTTGGGTTTTTTTAAAGTTCCTTCAAAACTTCTCCTAATTAACACATCTCAGTAGATCAATAATCCTTATTCTCGTGACATATTTTGTTAACTGTTATTGCACAAGGGGTATGCAATTGCCTTGACCGTGATCCTTTGAGCATTTGTGTGTGGACGGACTATATACAGGCTGCGTCTGAAAAGGCAATGGATTCCGTTTAGGCTGATCTGAAGAACGAAAGGCATTTCAAGTCATCACATAACTTCAAAGTGAATATTCTCAAGTGGAACTTTAAAGAGAAATTGTTGCAGGTTTTAAAATAGTTGACTTGATTATTTTTTTAAATAAAATAAACTTGAAATGCTTGTTTTCAATTCATTTTACATATTGATGAACAAGATCTGGTTCCACCAAGTACTGATAGAATGAAATGTCTCCAACATCCCTCAAAATAAATCTAGCAGAAGATCAACTATTTTTACCTCCATGGCACAATTTTGGAAGATGCTGGACAAACTGGTGTTGTGGGAAGAGCCATGTTCTGACTTTTCCGAATCCAGACCTTTCATACTTCTTGGAATCTGAACTTCACCTGCACAACACAAACGGAATGGGGACACGTTCAAGGCTGAAGGTAAGGCAACAGAGGAAAATGTGAAGACAGCTTGAGAAACATAGGAACAACCGATTTTGGCATGCGGATAAGCCTAAACACGTATTTTACTAGGGAAATATATATATATATTTAGTGGTACCTTGGTTTTCGAATGTAATCTATTCCCGAAGACCATTTGACTTCCGAAACGTTCAAAAAACGAAGCACGCATTTCCGGAAGCATTTACTTACGGAAAACTCAATACGGAAGCACATTCGACTTCTGAAAAGTGTTCGAAAATCGAAGCATTGACTTTCGGGTTTTCAGCGTTCGAAAACTGAAATGTTCGACTTCTAAGACATTTGAAAACCGAGGTACCACTGTACAGTCATACCTTGGGTCGAAGTCGCTTCAGGTTGAGCGTTTTCAGGTTATGCTCCGCGGCGACCCGGAAGTAATGGAACGCGTTACTTCTGGGTTTCGCCGCTCACGCATGCGCAGACAATCAAAACGACGTCACGCACATGCACAGAAGCGGCAAATTGCGACCCGCACACGTTGCGTTCAGCTCTGGATGTGAACGGGGCTCTGAAACAGATCCCGTTCGCATCCAGAGGTACCACTGTATAGTCTTGATACATCTGTGCTTTGGAGGATGGATGGCGGCTAACAGATTGAGGGTGAATCCTGATAAGACAGAAGTACTGTTTTGGGGGGACAGGAGGCAGGCTGGTGTGGAGGACTCCCTGGTCCTGAATGGGGTCACTGTGCCCCTGAAGGACCAGGTACACAGCCTGGGAGTCATTTTGGACTCATGGAGGCGCAGGTCAATTCTGAGTCCAGGGCAGCTCTATACCAGCAGGATTCAAGCTCATATATTTACCTCCTGGTTTCCTCGATGTTGAATGCCACAAACACCTAACCCAGGAGTTTCTGGAATGGGGCTCTTCTAAACCTGCAAATTACCTGGCAACTAGAAATTTTCAGCACCTTGATCTCAAGTGTCAGACAGCCCATCCTAGCTGCGAGGGGAGGAGAATACCTGCTTGGAAATGCTGTCTCCCTACGTCGCCACTGCTGTTGCTGCTTCCAAGACTGGTGGTGCTCTGGGCAAGTTCACTGGTGGCAAGCCCTGCGATTCCCATTTTGGGCGGCTGATTGACACCTAGAATATGATCTTCAAAGCCAGCAGCAAAGGTGAAGTCAGGTCGGCTGGTTTCTTCCTTCAGATGAAAGGGGGGGGGGAGAAATGACAGACAAGTTCAATATCTCTTATCAATGACAACCCACGTTGCTTCTCTGACATTCAGTTATCACTCTACGATATACGATACGATATACGATATCTTTATTGTCATTGTCCCATACAGAACAATGAAATTGAAAAACTACATAAATCATTCAAAAACCCCTAAAAACTCTGAAACCCCATTTTAAAATAAACTATACTATAAAATACACTATACTATAGAGACCCCTTATGCTGTGTTTAGAACCAGAATTGCATTTGCGTAGAAACTGTTTCTCAGGTGGCTAGTCCTGGCCTTTATAACCCTATACCTTCTTCCAGAAGGCAGAAGCTGAAAGAGATCATTTCCGGGGTGCGTACTATCCTGTGCTATCTCTGCCGATTTCTTATGGCAGCTGGCAGCATAGATTTGATCTAAGGTGGGAAGAGTGCACCCAATTATTCTCTCTGCAGTCTTTACAATACTGGATAGCATTGTTTTTTCCCGTGGCCGTGCAGCTCCCAAACCACACACAGAAAAAAAAGCAAGGTAGTGCACTTGTATTTCTAGTGTAATTGTCTCCTAAATGCCTAGCATTTGCAGCCAATCATTGCAGACAGAAGACGAAGAACAGCTAGCAGAAAAGGATTGCCAGAAGGAATTTGGAGGCACATAGCTATGAGGGAACAGAACTGGGAAACATAACTTTGCTTGAGGGGGGGAAACGGCCATAATATATAGACAGAATATGCAGCCAGGCTCCAATGACCTTCTTTAGTTGTGTCTATGGGTTTGAGAACAGCTGGTGGAATTCTGGGCCATTTCCCCATCCCTCTGTACAGCAGGCTGTTCACAGAAAAAACTGTTTTTGAAATTCCTTGCCATTTCGAAAAGACCTCACAGTGTAAGGGGCTCTTTTTTGAAACCTCAAATCCAAAGTTCCCTCCTCTGGGGAAGGCGCTGACCTTCCAATCAGCAAGCCCAAGAGGAATGGCAAACTAAGCTGATGGAATATGCCAAAATGGCAAAACTGACAGGAAAGCTCAGGAACCAAGAAGACAAAAACTAAAAAAATTGGGGAAATTCATAATATATCTAGGAGATCATTGCAAGCAGATGAAAACATCAGCAGGATTTTAAACTCACTTGGAATGTAACGAACGTTTTGGATAATATGGATTGATATAAAATATAGACCTTGGAATGATATACAGTTTCAAATATTGACAACAGGACCCATGAAGGGGATGGGGGTGGGTCTTGAGATTCAGAGGATCTCTATATATGGATATGTATCTGGATTGTTATATTTGTAAACCAAATAAAAATGGTTTTTTAAAAAAATATAAAATAAAATAAACAAATTCAAACTTACCTCATCGTCTGAATAGCTGTATGCTGAGGACACAGCACCCCACACTTTGCTGGCGACATGAGCCGCTTGTTTCATTCCAGACTTCAGGACGTCCATTTTAGGTCCCGATAATATGTGGTCTAGCTTCAGACCGGACAGAGTTGTGACGACCGCGCCCAACGACGCCTGCGGCGAAGTTTTGCCCAAGCCCGTCAAAGATGTCGACCGTTCTTTTTGGCTACGCGAAAGGGCCAGTTGTTTCGGTCTCCCGGTGAACGTTTTGGACCTGGAGACGGCGGGGCTCTTCCGGCTCGCGTTCGGAACCTGGGCTGGCGGAGCGGAATCGGAGGGCAAGCTCGACCTCCTCTCGAGAGAAGGGCCCAAGAGAGATGAGGAGGCTGCCTCTTGACTGATGCTGTCCGGCCTGTGGAGCTCCATGCTGGAAGATTTGCTGCCAAGGGGACTTTTCAGGTTCATGTAGCTTTCGATCTCATCGGCCAGGTTGCGAGCCACGACCGGTGACATCAACTTTTCTTCCTCTTTGGCGGGTTTGGGCTCTGCGGTCTCGGTTGCCAGCAAAGACAGAGGGTCCAGGCCCACCTGAACGTCCTCTCGCTCAACAGGCCTGGCCACGCCATATAAACTACTTCTCTTGTTCACTGCGTCTTTGGGTTCCGCCTGCTCTGTTTGGGGCTGCGCGGTTTCAAGAGGTTTGGGGTTGGCGATCTCCGCTTTGGCCGTGCTGTCATCATGCCCATTTTCAAGCTGTTCCTGTCCTTCCTCGGGCTCCTCCAGAACAGGGGACGACCTAGACTCTGATTCCCAAATATTTTCGCTCGCACGAGTCCTAGTTGTGTCTGTGGCAGAGAAGAACAGCCCGCCACCTGCGGTGTCAAAGCTGTGGGGTTTGCTCACATGGGGCAGCGGTGATGTTTTGGTCCCGGACAGAGCCGCCGTAAGAATCTTTGCATCCGCGCCCATCATGATGGCTACGTCGCTGGTATTCAGATCCAGGCTGCTCTTCTTCCGCAACATGCCTGCCCTGCTTTCGGAGCTGAAGCTACAGCTCCTTTCTGAAAAAAGCTTTTGCTTTTTATTCCCTTTCTCGCTGGTTCTCTTGGGAGAAGTGTTGCTGTCAAACACGGAATCTTCAACGGTATCCTGAGCTATGAAAAGAGGACTGGATCCCGTTCCTTTAAACATACAAAGAACATGAGCATGAATAAAATGATGCATCGATCCAGGAAATGCAAAAATGGTGAATGCATAATGCATGAAAAGCACAGGAGAATACAAAAGAGGGACCACAAAAAACATAAAAGCAAAATAATTTGATGAGCTGGCAGGCAAAACTACACATTACATTCAACATGCTTTTCCAAGAAGCATATTAAAGTTGGACACTTTCAAAATAAAAACAGCTACAGTCCTAAACCTCTCGCTGGGCAAGGCTACTGGAAAGTTCAGAAGGGACCTACCTGCCAAACTAGTATTTTTGTAATGCAGGGCTTAATTCTGTACAAAAGTTGCTAGAGATTTATTTCTCTCCCTCCCCCACTGCAAGAAATCCCAGATGTCTGGCGAAACATCTCTCCGAGAGAAAAGGCATTCTGCATATACTCACAAGCGCTGGTTTTTATTATTCCTATACACATTCCAGCACCTGACACATCAAAGACGTTTTCTTGGGCAGGATCAGGCTTGCCTAATGGGCCATCCGTTTTATAGCTACAATAACCAAAGTGTGTTCACTAACTCACCGCTGCTGCTCTTCCTGCCGGTGCCATCAAAAACACAAGAGGGAATCTTGACGATGCTACTTGACGGGTGCAAAGATACTTCAACCAGACTGTGTGGTTCTGCATGATGATGTGGCTTTTCAACGGACTCACCGGCAACACAAAATTCTTCAAAAGGGAAGGGAGAGAGGGCTAAGAGTTAAATGCTCTGTCAGTAAAACAGAAGCTCAAAACCAGTGCATTGCACCAAAGAAGTATCATTTCTACCATTTTATAAAATGGATTTTAGGCCAGGCCAATTTTTTTCCGGCATTTATACTTAGCAAAAAAATTAAAGCACTTTGAGGTGTTTTGTTTTTTACAACCAAGCAGTGCATAACTTTAATCAAACAAAACAGACTTTAATTCCATACACTCTCACACACAAAAGGTAACATTTTAAGCAGAAAAAAACAGGGAATAGTGGCTGCAAATGAAATTGATGACAGCACCCTAAAACAGCTCAAAGACTTCCCTGAAAAGCCACGTTTTGGCTACAGACTAAAAAGGCCAGCGATGAGGAGATGCAAGACCTCTTTGGAGAGGGTGTTCCGCAATTTAGGACAATTTAGCAACCTCACCCTCAGTATTTCACATAGCAGACAGATTGTTGATAGTCACTTAGTCAGGACTAGCAGCCCTGGGTACCGACCTCAGCCCACATTCCAGCAAGCGGACCCACTGCCAAACTCACCCAGCCCCAGCCCCTGCTGCTTCTCCTTGTTGTTGCTACCTGTTTCCTCATCCCCTCCAGGTGAGTGAGCAGTGGCAAGAGTGAGCACTTTCCCCTATGCTCCTTTCTGCCCTGAAATTCCCAGCTCTCGATGCACAAGGGTCTCCGACAGCTACATTGCACAGAGAGCGTCAACAATGAAAGAGAAGGCTCAAATCAGCTGGACTTCTCCTGGCTATGTACAGTGGTACCTTGGGTTACATACGCTTCAGGTTACATACACTTCAGGTTACAGACTCCGCTAACCCAGAAATAGTACCTCGGGTTAAGAACTTTGCTTCAAGATGAGAACAGAAATCGTGCTCCGGTGGCGCGGCAGCAGCAGGAGGCCCCATTAGCGAAAGTGGTGCTTCATGTTAAGAACAGTTTCAGGTTAAGAATGGACCTCTGGAACAAATTAAGTACTTAACCCGAGGTACCACTGTACTGCTATTAAAAAGCACAGCCTAGCGAACTCTAGCTGCGCTTTATTAATTGTTTGTTTCTCCAGCCTTTTTATTCTGAAAGATTCAGGTGGAGGCTGTAAACATACTGAACGTGTGCTTTCCCTAGCAAGATCAAAAACACACAAGGTCCGTTTGCTTTACTTAATAAAGCATCACTAAAGTGAATAAAATTGTCAACGCCATACCTCCAATTAAGTCATCGCCTTTGGCAACAAGTGCTTTTTCTACAAGCGTATCTGTTGTATGAAGACTGTCTGCATCATCCTTTACAAGTTCATCTTTAGAACCATAACCCTGATCGGACTGAGCACCTGCAGGGAGGAAAAATGCAACAGACCTTCTAGCAAATTATTTCCCAATCAGCAAGCCCACATTTGATGTTTTACATTACTGGGAGAGGGGTGGGGGGACTCTTGGTGCCTTGCACACAAAAATTACCCTCACATAATATTTGGAGTGCGAAGGGGAAAGAGCAGCAGCAGAGACAGAATGAAAAGGTTTGTTTGATCTGCAGAGCGAATTTTCAGCAGGACGTTATTGAAGCTGACTCTCCCCAGAGGAATAAGGACCATTAACGGGTCATTATAAGGGACGCGGGTGGCGCTGTGGGTAAAACCTCAGTGCCTAGGACTCGCCGATCGTCAGGTCGGCGGTTCGAATCCCCGCGGCGGGGTGTGCTCCCGTTGCTCAGTCCCAGCGCCTGCCAACCTAGCAGTTCAAAAGCACCCCCGGGTGCAAGTAGATAAATAGGGACCGCTTACTAGCGGGAAGGTAAATGGCGTTTCCGTGTGCTGCGCTGGCTCGCCAGATGCAGCTTCGTCACGCTGGCCACGTGACCCGGAAGTGTCTTCGGACAGCGCTGGCCCCCGGCCTCTTAAGTGAGATGGGCGCACAACCCTAGAGTCGGACACGACTGGCCCGTATGGGCAGGGGTACCTTTACCTTTACCTTTATAAGGTAAAAAAGACCCCTGGATGGTTAAGTCCAATCAAAGACAACTATGGGGTGCGGCGCTCATCTCGCTTTCAGGCTGAGGGAGCCGGCGTTTGTCTGCAAACAACTTTCCGGGTCACGTGGCCAGCAGGACTAAACTGCTTCTGGCGCAATGGGACACCGTAACGGAAACCAGAGCGCATGGAAGCACAGTTTACCTTCCCGCCACGGTGGTACCTATTTATCTACTTGCACTGTTGTGCTTTCAAACTGCTAGGTTGGCAGGAGCTGGGACAGAGCAACGGGAGGTCACCCCGTCGTGCAGATTTGAACTGCCGACCTTCCGATGGGTAAGCCCAAGAGGCTCAATGGTTTAGACCACAGCACCACCCACGTCCATTATAAGAGAACAAGGGAGATGTTCATGGTGAGTTCCAGCACCTTTTTCTAGAAAAACAGCACTGACCACATACCCCACAATAAAATGCATTAGTCTGCTCTTCTCTGGGATAGAAGCTAGTTAACCCACTGCTGTTAGCTACTTGCCCATTACACATACAGTGGTACCTCGGGTTACATACGCTTCAGGTTACAGACTCCGTTAACCCAGAAATATTGCTTCAGGTTAAGAACTTTGCTTCAGGATGAGAACAGAAATTGTGCTCCAGCGGCACGGCAGCAGCAGGAGGCCCCATTAGCTTCAGGTTAAGAACAGTTTCAGGTTAAGAACAGTTTCAGGTTAAGTATGGACCTCCGGAACGAATTAAGTACTTAACCCGAAGTACCACTGTATACAGGGCCACAATCCTACTGAATTAACCAGTCAGACCTCTGCTGTGCCTTGGGGTCTAGGCCTCTCGCAGCACAGAAACCTCCAGCTTCTCATTCGTGCTGTTGATCTTCCTTTGAGGGTCAGCAGAATGAGGGATCTCAGCGGCTGCCAATCCCAGCAGCTGCCCAACGGTCACAGAGCCTAAGAAAACCCAGTATCTCTCTGCTATAGCCCCCTCGTTAAGTCCATTAGGTGCACGAAGATGGTCAGAAGCAGAAAAGCATGCAACATGGATTTGTGCCAAGTACCAAACAGAAGTTCTGCAGCACATCTCCTTATAGGATAGCTTGCTTAACGGCAAACGGGTTTTTGCTTATTGCCAGGGGAGCTTTCTGGCATTGTGCCCAAGCTCCGATTAACCGATTAATGGAAAGTGCCTAACTTCGTTCTTACAAGTAAGTGTGCCACACCAACTGGTCATTATTTACAATATCAGGTTAAGGGGAAAAACCCCTCTAACTACTCCTTGCGCATCAAGTGACAAAAGAACCCCATTAATAAATGGGAAAATTTACCTGGAGTGGTTAACATTCAAGGGCAGAATTAGTGCACATTTGCCTCCAAGGCTTCGCGCCATGCAAGTCTGCACCCCACACCGAGGACAAATGCGGCACCAAGGGACAGCACAGAGCAAGAAGCAGAGCAAGAGAGATCAGAGAGAAGGAATGTTTAGTCGTCTACAAGGCAAAAACAGCCAAGCCATCTACACAGGAAAGAGAGACTCAAAATGCTTTAAAAAGGAAAGATGTCAGAAAGTTTAGTCCAGAAAGTGAGAGAAGAGGAAAAACATGGACAGGCTATGAGGAAGATCTGTGTGTGGCGATGCCTTCAGTTTTTGCCTTTATTTAAAATGCATAACATCTATAATTTGAAAGGCTGAGTGAGAGGGGGAAGAAAACATTTAAGGAGTAATCATAAAAAATACACTACACAGAGCTAAGCAAAAACCAAAGAAAACCCTAAATGCACATTCGTATCTGGACACCAAATGTTGGTTACAATCTATAATGTTTCTACCTGATGCAAGTTATTGCTGCTTTGGCTGAAACACTATATTCCACATTGAGTATGCAGCTGCTTCTTAGCAATTTCCCCTTTTCCCTCCCCGAAACGTAAGCCAAGTTCAAATATACCGTACATTTTTATATACATATAACACAATGCTTTTCCTGCCAACGGGTTGTTTGCCAATTTGTAATTTGAACAGCATGCTCTATTCTTATCAACAGATTACGTGTATGTACAAGAATTTGCCTTATCCACTGCCTTCTAAAGACCAAATTGCTCTAGGGTGGCCAAATTCAATTTCCAAGCTGACACAAAGCTACATTTCCTTATTATTAATCAACAGCACTGTGTTATGTCGCCCCCCCACTCTTTCCCATTAATATTGTCCCCTGTTATTCCTCCTTTAGGACCCACATCATGAGATGCGGAATAACGCCAGTGAGATACTTCTATGTCTGAACCCATGTAGAAACATGCACTCAGCCTGTGATTGACACATGCCATTCGTTTCCCGATGATCACCCCTTGAACTGTGTCCTGATGGATTCGGCTGTTCAACTCTCAAAATGTCACGGTACACAATTTCTTGCAAACAGAGAGAACGACGCGAAGGAAATTCAAGTCAGCAATGTATTAGGACAGTGGTTCCCAATGAGCTAAGGACTGCAGACCCCCTGTTTTTCAAAAGCCAAAAGTAGGACCCCCGCTTTTGAAAATGTTGATACCTCTGTGGTAGTTTTTGTTATGTGGATGGTGCCGCAGGACCCCCCCCGCCCCCGGTTGGGTCGCACGGAACCCTCTGGGGTCCACGGACCACCAATTGGGAACCACTGTACCAGGAGGAGGGTGTGCAGTTAGTGAAACCCAACGTATCTAGTACCTGTGCTAGCGTGATTAGCAATGGAATCAAGCCTGACTAAGTCTCTGACGAAGAAGGTGTGCTCCCCACTGTTAGCATCATTAGAACTAGTCACACTATCATGGCTCACCGTGTCCCCATCACTTCCACCCGTGTGCATCTGAGGAGCTGAAGACAGGAAGAACAGTGAATTAGATACAAAAGACATGAATATTTTAAAAAAGAAAAGACACAGCGGCTGGCTGCATTCAGAGAATGCGCTAGATCAGGATTCGCCAACTTCGGCCCTCCAGATGTTTTTGGCCTACAACTCCCATGATCCCTAGCTAGCAGGACCAGTGGTCAGGGATGATGGGAATTGTAGTCTCAAAACATCTGGAGGGCTGAGGTTGAGGACCATCAAGAATAGCTCTCTCCTCCTCCATCCCTCCAGTGCACCAGCAAAGAGATCGGAAGCTTACGTTTCAGCTTCGTATTCGCTTTCTTTTAGGTAAAGCGTAAAGGGACCCCTGACCATTAGGTCCAGTCGTGATCGACTCTGGGGTTGCGGCACTCATCTCGCTTTATTGGCCGAGGGAACCAGCGTACAGCTTCCGGGTCATGTGGCCAGCATGACTAAGCCGCTTCTGGCGAACCAGAACAGCACACGGAAACGCCGTTTACCTTCCCGCCGGAGTGGTACCTATTTATCTACTTGCACTTTGACGTGCTTTCAAACTGCTAGGTTGGCATGAGCAGGGACTGAGCAACGGGAGCTCACCCCGTCGTGGGGATGCGAACCACCAACCTTCTGATCAGCAAGTCCTAGGCTCTGTGGTTTAACCCACAGCGCCACCCGCGTCCCTATCGCTTTCTTTTAGCACGCATTTAATTACAGTGGAACCTCAGTTCTCAAACGTCTCTGTTGACAAACGTTTTGGAACCCGAACACCGAAAACTCGGAAGTAACTGCTTTGGTTTTCCAACGATTTTCAGAAGCCGAACGTGCTACGTGGCTTCCGTTTAGAATTCCCCTATTGAATTGAGGCTTCCGCTTTCGGTTTTCGAGCTTTTCAGAAGTCGAACGGTCTTCCGGAATGGATTACGTTCGAAAACCGAGGTCCCACAGTACTTTTATGAATCGCTCGCCCATAAAACGCCCTTGAGCGATTTCACAAAAATAAGAAAAAACAAAATTATATTCGTATAAAGCATATGTAAATTTAAAAAAAAACGAGAATCAAAATCTCTAGCAATGCCATCACATCATAAACTGTGGATCATCTTATTTGTGGTTAATGAAAACAAGCTGAAATGGTCTTGCTCTACCAACCAGAATTGAAATTAACCACAAATTGCCCAGGATCAGAGGACATGGAAAGCTGTCGTTAATCAGAAACAGAAGCAAAAACTTCCCAACTTGTTTCTTGACAAACCATTGTCCAGAATCTGAATACCTGTGGGTAGTCTCACAATGGGTGGGGAAAGGTGCCTTTTTCCCACGCTTTCCAACAAGATACAGCTTGATGCTTCTCAAATTATGTTACATGGATCTTTGATGAAATCCCCTGATGCTACTTTAAAGCCAACGAGAGAGCTCTTTATGCCCAGATTCTGCAGAAGCTGATCTGTACGATTACCTGGTATTGAAATAGCCTGCGAACACTGTGTTGACTTTCTGAGACATTGCCTAAATTGTGCCATGCTGTGCACCACATTTCGCAACTTCGTCCAGAGAAATATACCACTGCGATTGCTGCTAGGCCACGGGCTCTCCAAAACTGCCTGGAAAAGTGAGATGATTAAGCAAATGTTTCCCGTGGTCAAAATGCTCTAACAAACTCAAATAACTCACATTTATCTACTGCAATCTCAGGGACACTGCTATATTCATCATCAAACCTTTTATTTGCATCACATAAAGGTAAAGGTAAAGGGACCCCTGACCATTAGGTCCAGTCGTAGCCGACTCTGGGGTTGCGGCGCTCATCTCACTTTACTGGCTGAGGGAGCCGGCGTACAGCTTCCAGGTCATGTGGCCAGCATGACTAAGCCACTTCTGGCAAACCAGAGCAGCACACAGAAACGCCGTTTACCTTCCCGTTTACCTTCCCTCACTAACAACCTATTTATCTACTTGCACTTTGACGGGCTTTCGAACTGCTAGGTTGGCAGGAGAAGGGCCCAAGCAACGGGAGCTCACCCCGCCGTGGGGATTCGAACCGCCGACCTTCTCTGTGGTTTAACCCACAGCACCACCCGCGTCCCATATGTGGCAACACATACAAACATCCAAAACAAATCAATACAGGATTACCACTTCCCCAGTGGCAGAACATCTCTATGTGGCCTTCCTAGATATTAAGGCTGTTTCTGACACTGTTGACAGGGGGCTGTTATGGACCAAATTGGAGACAATGGGCCTAGAACCCAGATTACTTTACTTGAACAAAAAGCTTTATACAAAGAACACCTGCCGTATAAGAACAACACCAGGGAATGAAATGACAGATCCTGTCATCATAAACCGAGGAGTAAAGCAGGGCTGTGTACTTGCTCCCTCTCTTTTTAACCTCTTTCTTAACGACCTCGCTTCCTTAACGACCTCGCCCACAGCCCAAAACTCAATGCATTAAGCATTCCCACCCTACAGTGCTATATTGCACCAAAGCTGTGCTCTGGGATTCCCCCCTTTGAAACAATCTCACTAACAACTAAACCTGAGAGCTGCTGGAATTTTAACATTTATGGGACAATGCCCTGAAAAATATCCAACAGATTCGACTGATGAAGAAGTGAGATCCATTACCAGTTACAACAGATAGGTGGCTCAAGGGATTCCTTTCAAAATACGATGAGCACGTACCATTCTTTCAGAATTGGCCCTAAATAAAGTGAAAGCTGGACCATAAAGAAGGCTGATCGCCGAAGAATTGATGCTTTTGAATTATGGTGCTGGAGGAGACTCTTGAGAGTCCCATGGACTGCAAGAAGATCAAGCCTATCCATTCTGAAGGAAATCAGCCCTGAGTGCTCACTGGAAGGACAGATCCTGAAGCTGAGGCTCCAGTACTTTGGCCACCTCATGAGAAGAGAAGACTCCCCAGAAAAGACCCTGATGTTGGGAAAGATGGGAGGGCAGAAGGAGAAGGGGACGACAGAGGGTGAGATGGTTGGACAGTGTTCTCGAAGCTACCAGCATGAGTTTGACCAAACTGCGGGAGGCAGTGGAAGACAGGAGTGCCTGGCGTGCTCTGGTCCATGGGGTCACGAAGAGTCGGACACGACTAAACAACTAAACAACAACAACAGGCCTAAACAGGAAGGTTCCTCAAGGTCATCACCCAGAATAAGAGGAATCTACACGGTGTGTAAGGGCTTCCTTGATGGTGGTCTCCAGCAACCGCTCACCCCATTGCTTGCTTACCTTGTTGTAGTACCCATATGTGATGGCATTGGGTGCTATGCCAGCAATTTTCATTTCAAAGAGGGCCCTCACAGCCAGAACAGGATGGCCCCAAAGTCCACAGAGCAGCATCACAACCCTATAGCACACCTGGTAAAAGATGGAAAAGTTCATATTGTTAGAAGGAACTTTGGCGCCAGATGTGACTACCTGCAAAAGATAAAAAGGCTTCCTCTATGACTTTCTGCATGAAAAAGAAAATGAAATAATGACATTTGGATTTCAGGGCTGAAGATCACATTTGTTCATAGAAAGTGGCTTTGTTCGGTGTTATATTGGAGTGGATGAAGTGAATATTGTTTATATAGAGCAGACAGACGAAGAATTGCAAGTCCTTTACTTTCTGAATTTTATTTTTCTCTCTTTCTTTTTTCTTTTATTTTAATCCTTTATTATTTTATTCACATAATATACATTCTTTACAGCAAACAACTCCAAAATAAGCAGACAACTCAAAAATAAAATCATATGTAACAAAACCACAAGCCTCATGTTTTCATTTACACTGATCTCCTCTCCGATACTTTTACTTGATATTTCTTGCTGCTTTTGGCTTTCCTTATAGAATATTTATAAAAATTTAAATCTCTTAAATCCTATACCAATCTTTAATAATTTCAATTAATCCCTTCACCTATTCTCTCTTTCTCCCTTCCTTCCTTCCTTCCTCTCGCTCTCCCTCCCCAAATCTCCTTTCCACCCCTGCACTCAACCAGAAGCAGCGGAAGCCACGTCAGACATTCGGCTTCCCCAAAAAAGTTTGCAAACCAGAACACTTGCTTCCGGGTTTGCGGCATTCGGGAGCCAAGCCGTTCAACAACCAAGGTCCCACTGGAGAGGGTTGGTTGACAGCAGCAGAGCCGGAAGGAATGTTTATAGTTTTAAAAAGAAACTTTCAAAAATGAAGTTTAAGTTTAAAACAGATCTCCAAGCTGGTACGGCACAGGCCCTCTCATATATAGTTCTCACTCTGAAGAAGGATCCCCTTAGCCCTTTCTCAGAGTGAGGAAAGAAAAGGCAGGGAGGAGGTGGGGGGCGGAATGATAATACCAATAATAAGCCAAGCTAATAATGAGGGGTTGGGCCCGAAATTCCCCTCACCACCCATAGATGCCACCCTAAACAAAGACCACATTCTTCCTTATTCCTGTCCCAAACCTGATGTGACAGCTAGGTGGATTTTCAGTTCCTTATGCCAAGTTTCAGAAGATTATTCTGGTGGCGCTAATTCAATATTATACTTTTCTCATTAATTCCAAACTTGACACCTAAGGGTGTCACCTGCATCTGCATGGAAATACGTTCTTTATTTTTCCCTATCTAAATTTGGTTGAGGCAAGGTTTAGAGGAGGAAACTCACTAAATAATAATAATAATAATAATAATAATAATAATTATTATTATTATTATTATTATTATTTATTTGTACCCCGCCCATCTGGCTGGGTTTCCCCAGCCACTCTGGGCGGCTTCCAACAAAGATTAAAAATACATAAAAATGTCACACATTAAAAACTTCCCTGAACTCACTAAAGGAAGCGAGTGTGACGATATGTTAGAGCCAAGATTATTACATTCCCAATTACAGTCCAAGTGGAAGAGGAGACAAATAGTTTCAGAATAAGCTTTTAAAGTTTGCAGATGGTTTAAGCTGACCTGTCCAAAATAATTTCCCTTTTCTGCCTCACTGCCATCTTTTTTCATGCTTTTCTCCCCGGGGAAACTTCACTTTCTCATCTAACCATTAATTTATATTTTTATAGGTGAATCGTAATAAGAAAGTTTTGAGCAATTGGACTTTTTACAAAATTACAGGAGGGTCCGGTGAAAGAAAGACATATTCCTGAGTATGTGTGCTTGACCGTGGAGCGAGGCAAATGTTATTCTCAGAGGGAAGACAACTAGAGTTTGCCGAAACTACTTTCCCACATTTAGAGAGGAAGGGGTTGTATACAGGGAACACATCACAGTTCTGTTCTTCCAAGTCTAACTCAGAAACAGCACCACCCAAGAGTAATGGATGTTAAGGCAATTGCTGTGATTAAAAAGATCTGAAGTGCTGCTAATAACTGACAGAATTCACCACATTTTCTTCCTCTGAGCAGTTACACTGGCAGAGTAAGCTAGCAAGATTTCAAGTCACTAAATGGATTTCTGGCTTGCTTATTTAGACCATATCTGATTTCTGTATTCAGAGAAAAAAAGGAAATATCTGAAGTTCATTTAATCCAAAACTAAGGAAGCTTGAAATTTCTGGTAAAAAAGCAAAAACAAAACAGTTCTACAATACAAATATCAAGCAAAGATTAAAAATGCATTTGGATCTCTTTATGTGGTATATGTTTTTGTTTAACTTACTTCATCTAGTGGTTCCACATCAGTTTTCCTCATTTTAATAAGAACTTCATATGCCTGCTGCAGGGCTCTGACTTTGGGGTGGGAAACCCTAACATAAGCTGGGAGACAAATGAACCATAAGCTGTAGCAATGGCTGAAGAGACACTTGGCCCACTGGGAAGCATTTGCGTAGTATTTCTTGGCAAGCTTATGAGCTGCTTTTATCTCCTACAGAAAAGTAAAGCAAAACAAAAGGGGGGGAAATCACAGTGATCAGTCAGAACGTCACATCTCACAATCCTTTAACAACATGCAGTGTGAAAGACAGAAAGCAGTTCTGAAAGTATGGCTTTTCCCAGGGTTTTAGCTCTGCTTCAAATATTCAGAGCTGAACATTCAGCTATTCTCAGAGTTACTTATTTATTTTATTTCACAAGACTTATATATCAATTATTTTTTAAAAAACATCTCTCAGTTGCTTACATAAAATATATGCTTCCTCTTATATAATCTAATACATTGCTTTTAAATAAAAACCTGACCTGCTTTGTCCTCTTTGCCATAAGTGCTGGACTATTGGAAATGTTTCCTCCAGTTGAGTGCCTGCTGAAGGAAAGCTTGAGCTCTTGTGGTCTGTCAAAAAGCTTCAAGTCTAGCCTGGGGAAGGTTTTATAGCTGAAAGAGACAAGTTCAAAAGGTGTGAGCCAAGCCTGTTTGTTTGTTGAAGCACAATATATTTAGCATAAGACACCACTTCGACAACTTCCAACCAAGAATTGTGTACGGTGGATTTTAGCCATACAGTGGTACCTCGGGTTACAAACTTAATTCGTTCCGGAGATCCACTCTTAACCCGAAACCGTTCTTAACCTGAGGCGTGATTTCGCTAATGGGGCCTCCCACTGCTGCTGCCGGCACGCGATTTCCGTTCTCACCCTGGGGCAAAGTTCGTAACCCGAAGGTACTACTCCAGGTTAGTGGAGTTTGTAACCCGAAGCGTTTGTAACCCGAAGCATTTGTAATCTGAGGTACCACTCCTAGAAATACAGAGGGATGAATGCAGCTGAACGTTAAATGCAAGGTATAAAATTAAACTTGAAAATATACCACAGTGATTAGTAAAACTGCTTTGGGGCAGGTGGGGACTCTACCAATAAGATCAAATATGTCATTAGCATTTTAATTACAGTGGTACCTCGGGTTAAGAACTTAATTCATTCCAGAGGTCTGTTTTTAACCTGAAACTGTTCTTAACCTGAGGTACCACTTCAGCTAATGGGGCCTCCCACCGCCGCCGCACGATTTCTGTTCTCTTCCTGAAGCAAAGTTCTTAACCCGAGGTACTATTTCTGGGTTAGCAGAGTCTGTAACCTGAAGCGTATGTAACCCGAGGTACCACTGTAGTAGAAATGGCAAGAATCTGTTTTGTACACGTGTACATGTACGCACGCAGACACTCGTAACACGCACAGAGTCAAGCCAATATTGTCCACCCTAACATTGAGTGACTCTCCAACACTTCCTTTTCAGTCCTGGTACCTGAGACTCTCAACCGGAAAATGCTAGGGACTGAATCTACTGAATTTGCATGTGTGCTACCACTGAGCTACAGCCGTTCTCAGTCTCACTTGGAGCCCTGTGAGATCTCACCACAAAACATTAAATTGATACGACAACCAGACCAGTTCTCTGTATGATTTGTAACCATTTTGGATTCCCCTTCAGAAGGCATCTGGATGATGTTGGGATGAAGGCTCTCAACAGGAACAGGGGAATGCCCAAAGACTTGGGATATTCCCGATGGAATTTCATTTTCACCCTCTTCTTGTATCGCAAGCTGCTTTTGAATTCTCCTTCCAGTTTTCAAAAGAGCTTTGGCAAGCAGCTGGGGGTGGCCAAGAACAGGCTAAAATAATCTTTTTGAGAAGAGCTGCTCCTAGCTTCTCTCATGCATACAGAATGAGTTGCATAGTTCTTTGGATCGAAACCATAATGTTTTGAATAATAGCTTATATTTAGATACAGGTAGGTAGCCGTGTTGGTCTGACGCAGTCGAAATAAATTAAAAAATTAAAAAATTGTCCAGTAGTACCTTAGAGACCAACTTGAGCACCATTGAGCTGCATGAAATGGAAGTCCATCAACCTCACAAAGAAACTTGCACAGGTACAGACCGATATCAACTTTCTGACTAAATGTAAGAACCTGGACATTATAACTAAGGGTCTTAGAATTAAGAACCCTCTACAATCCATCTATCCTACTGAATATGCAAAGAAGCTATGCCACACTTTCTCTAAGCTGCTCAAACATCTGATCAGTGTTAAAATACCCAGAACAAACTTAGTTAGTCTCTAAGGTGCTACTGCACCTTAGGTGTAGTACTCTAAGGTGCTACCTGCTTGGACTACTGCAATGCGCTCTCTGTGGGGCTACCTTTGAAGGTGACCCAGAAACTGCAACTAATCCAGAATGCAGCAGCTAGACAGGGGACTGGGAGCGGCCGCCGAGACCACATAACACCAGTCTTGAAAGACCTACATTGGCTCCCAGTACGTTTCCGAGCACAATTCAAAGTGTTGGTGTTGACCTTTAAAGCCCTAAATGTCCTCGGCCCAGTAAACCTGAAGGAGCATCTCCATCCCCATCGTCCAGCATGGACACTGAGGTCCAGCGCCTAGGACCTTCTGGTGGTTCCCTCACCGCAAGAAGTGAAGTGACAGGGAACCAGGCAGAGGGCCTTCTTGATGGTGGCACCTGTCCTGTGGAACGCCCTCCCATCAGATGTCAAAGAGATAAACAACTACCTGACATTTAGAAGACATCTGAAGGCAACCCTGTTCAGGGAAGTTTTTAATGTGTGACATTTTGATGTATTTTTAATCTTTGTTGGAAGCCGCCCAGAGTGGCTGGGGAAACCCAGCCAGATGGGTGGGGTACAAATAATAATTTATCATTATTATTATTATTAATACAAGACAATTTTTAAGCTTATATTTAGAATGCTAGGCTATGCAATACTGTACTACCAAGATACCTTTCTTTCACAAGACAAAATAACTTCCAGACATTGGGAATATCCATGCCGTAGCACATTGTTAATGAAACTGGGTAGAAAAAAAGCAAGAAATGCCAACGACCATCGATGCAACATTATCAGAATTCAGAATAGACCAAGACCAAGGTAGCAATGTAATTTTTAAAGCAGGAAGGCTAATATAAAAGGTTGAAGTGTGCCGGAAAAATCTTTATAAATAGGATGAAGACAAAAATGTATCCAGGCTGCCTTACCTGTATTTAGGTAGCCTATCCTGTCCGTCATCAGGGGGAGGCTCAGGTGGCATGATAAACACCGTGTGTTCACTCTTCTGCGACTCATCAAGTTCAATCAATCGGGTATCCTCTGTGGAATCCGTATCAACCTGCAAATACATTGAATTGAAATTGCACGTGATGATGCCAGTTTAATGCCTTGCCTTGCGTCTCTAAGTACAGGAAGCAGCACCATGAAAAAATGTATAGACAAATGCCAGTTCTATTTATTGATTTATTATTTATACTTATTGTCTGGCCCTCACCAAATGGCCCCAGGGCAAGTTACAAAAATGTCCAATGAAAAAAACCAACGCATGGCCAGTTTACAAGACACACATTTTGCAGCTATCGTACACTCTGTACTGGCCTATCAAAAATTCTAAGGCATATAATTAAACAACCACGATTCCCACGATATTGTCCAGACATGCGAAATACAAGAAAACTCTTAAAATGTTCCTATAGGAAGTAAATAAATACCTTTTCTCCTTTTTCTGATCCTTTCTCTGGAAAAAGCTAGAAAAGGCGATAAAAATTAGAAAAGAATATATTAAAAACTCCAAAACTGAGTATAATATTTTTGTCCATACTCCTTGCCTAAGAACAGCTGCTATTGGATATTAAATACAGAAAGTTCCCAAAGGAGAAGTAGGCATACTTTTCAGTGTACTGGAGATTCATATACCGATGGGATCTTCTAGCCTGGACTAGTAAGCTGAGTGAGAGACAAATCACACAGGCCGATGGATAACTCCCTCTGCCATTATAAAAGAGAGTTTGAGCTAGAGATGTGCCATTCAAAACAAGCTCCAAGAGCTCTATATCCACATGACTACAATTATTGCCATGTCCATTCTATTACATGGGCTTCTCCATTAAGGCTGATATATGTAGATACTGCGCTGCTATTTAGCCACACACATTCCCTGTATAAAACTACAATAAGCAACTCAACTCAAGCTGTTTCAGGGGGTGAAATTTCATTCCTGACACATCAAAGAAGGAGAGACTCAGGAGCATGGGTAGGCAAACTAAGGCCCGGGGGCCGGATCCGGCCCAATGGCCTTCTAAATCCGGCCCGTGGACGGTCCGGCAATCAGCGTGTTTTTACATGAGCAGAATGTGTCCTTTGATTTAAAATGCATCTCTGGGTTATTTGTGGGGCATAGGAATTTGTCCATTATTATTTTTTCAAAATATAGTCCGGCCCCTAATAACAACAACAACAATAATAATAAAAAATTATTTATACCCCACCCATCTGGCTAGGCTTCCCCGGCCACTCTGGGCGGCTTCCAACAAAATATTAAAATACCATAATACATCAAACATTAAAAGCTTCCCTAAACAGGGCTGCCTTCAGATGTATTCTAAAAGTCTGGTAGTTGTTGTTCTCTTTGACATCTGGTGGGAGGGCGTTCCACAGGGTGGGTGCCACTACCGAGAAGGCTCTCTGCCTGGTTCCCTGTAACCCCACAAGGTCTGAGGGACAGTGGACCGGCCTCCTGCTGAAAAAGTTTGCTGATCCCGGCTCAGGAGCATTTAGCAAAGAGAATCAAAAGCCTAACACTATCACATTTCGCTAGACAAAAAAGAGAAAGAAGTTTTTACCTTTTCTACGCAGTCGTCAAAGAATGCCAGTCCAGTATCTTTGTCACTCACAAAACTGCATTCTACAATGAAGCTGCTAAATATCTGCGTCTTTGTTAAAACGGTGTAGAATTTTGTGTAGGCACGGTCCCTACTTTTTAAAAACCCTAGTTAAGAAATAAGACAATTTGCTAGAGATAAAAGGTTCACAATTAACTTATTTGCATATTGAGCTTCTTATTTTAGCAACTTGCCATTTCCTCATTTTATTATAAGTGTTTGCTGCTCATATTTCTTTATATCATTATATGCCACTCGGTTAATAATGTCCTCCGGGTGGTTAACGGTCAAAAGTTAAAAACTATAAAAAAGCAACCCACAAGAACCCCAGAAGTTAAACAAAGCAAGACCAACTACAGCATAGAAAACAAAACACACATGAACAAAAAGGGTTAAGCACGCTTGGAGATCTTAACATTCCTAGGAAAATAAGAGTCTTCATGAGATGCGCTGAACATAGGCACCAAGCCTGTGTTGTAAGAATTCTAAGGTCCCAATATAAAATAAACGTTCATAAATGTACAAGGCAAACACATACATAAGTATATGAACTACGTGTCTGAAATAGTACAGGAGAGCAATCCTGAAGCCATTTTGACTCTTCCAAATTGACCTCCATATAGTTCTCTGCAAGGAGGGAGGCAAATGGGGAAAGCCTTCCCCTTGTCTCTCTGCTTACAAATCCTGTCTTCTTGGGGGGGGGAGGGGAAAACAGAACCAAAACCAAAAGGAGAAAGATGAATTGCCTAGTAATCTTATTCAAATTTAACCTGCCCATTTCCTTTGAGAAGCTTCTACGACAACAGCATTTTTGTGCTGTCAGTTTTCTGTTGCCACAATGAAAATTAGTATTTTGTAAAAAATTGCAATTTTGACAAAATAAGCTGAGGACAATAAGCTCTGGGAAGGATGGGGGAAGGGTGGGAACCCTTAAAATTCAAACCTTGAGAGACCATTGAGTGTAACCCTATATGATATTTATATATTCTAGGCTTGGTGCATTTGAGAAACCAACAAACATAAATAGGTTTTCCCATTAATTTCAACAGGGCTTGCGCAAGAAGATTCCAGCACACTCTGGTGCTGTGAAGACTTTAAACTCTACTGCTCTCCAACTCTGAAGTCCAATAACATGCACAGTGCAGCCCTGTGGATATACAGAGGACGTCTGCGAGACACAAGCTGAGAATGGCCCTGTTACTACTGCTAGCACTACATTTCAACCAGTGCCCACGTTCTTCTCAAAACTCACCTTGGTTGTCAAACAAGGAATCTGTAGCAGTAGCTTTATTTGAAGGTGCCTCGGTGATCGGTTTAAGAAATGTCCTGTACCCTTTTAAAATAGATGCCATGAAGCGTAGAAAGGCTTCCTGAATCTCCGTTTCGAATTGCGTGTTCTTTTTGTGCCACGAGAAATCTGCCTCTATAGGGGTCATCTCGACCGCAGAGCCTTCTTGTGTCTTTCTGTGAACTGTTGGAAGGAGGCAAGCTGAATTAAATGGGGGTTTTTTTCCAGCTCCACAGGTGTGGTTTATTTAAATATTAAAAAGGCTAACCATCAAGGAATGCTTAGACAGAGGGGAATTAAGAGTGAGTGCAATTTACAGCGTTTGGAACCTAAAACCTCTATGGGCTTTGACTTTCAACTTTACCATTCGCCGTAACATCTTAGCTTCAAGCTATTATGTCATACCCTTTTATCAGCAGATCTGTGAAAGCTGAAATAAAAGTGTATGCTAAGTCAGTGAGGTTACTGAAACTCGCATTATGCTTGGCACTATGCGTTAAAAATATAGCCTTCAGTAAACAGCAAAATGTGTTTGTCTTTCCTAAACACACAGTAAAGGAAATCTCCTTTGCAACCACCACCCTGGCACTTTCTACCCGTCACAGGAAAATGTGATGTGTGCAAAGAGTTTTAGCTGAAACGCACCATGGCTTTTTTCCATGTGTGTGGAAGCAAGCAGTTTCACTGCAGATAGAAACAACAGCTCTTGATAAGAACCAAGAAGAGGACCAAAAAAGGAAGATAAGAAGTTCCCCTACTGATTCTGCAGGGTAAGTACACGGGCAGTAGTAATTTAGGTAAAAGGTAAAGGGACCCCTGACCATTAGGTCCAGTCATGGCCGACTCTGGGGTTGCGGTGCTCATCTCGCTTTATTGGCCGAGGGAGCCGGTGTACAGCCAGCATGACTAAGCTGCTTCTGGCGAACCAGAGCAGCGCACGGAAACGCCGTTTACCTTCCCACTGGAGTGGTACCTATTTATCTACTTGCACTTCGACGTGCTTTTGAACTGCTAGGTTGGCAGGAGCAGGGACCGAGCAACGGGCCGACCTTCTGATCGGCAAGTCCTAGGCTCTGTGGTTTAACCCACAGCGCCACCCACGTCCCAGTAGTAATTGAACCCCTTCTATAATTCAACCCCTTCTATATTACCAGCCGAGTTCACACTTCCCATCAAAGCATAGTTTAAAAAAATAATATCATTACTAGCATGTTTTTGCATGCTACTCAAATAGTCCTGCTTTGTTCCTGCTTTTGGCACCAGGGAGAAAACAAACCAGATTCACTTCCACGCAAACCAGAGCCCATGGTTTGTTTCCTCCTAGGAATAAACATCAAATTCCAAATAAACCACAAATCCTGGCTCACAAATAAAGGGAAGCTAGTCTCTGGTAGGGCTTGGCGATAAACAGTAGAACCTCGGTTTTTGAGAGTAATCCGTTCTGGAAGACCGTTCCGAGTTCTGAAAAGTTCAAAACCCGAAAACTCAATAGCCGACAGCTAGGCCTCAGGACCTTGCACTCAGCAGAAGTCACGCGGCATGTTCGACTTCCGAGGTGTGTTCGAAAACCGAAATGTTCGTCAGTGGAGAGGTTAAAAAACCGAGGTATCACTGTATTGATATATCGTCCAAAATCGGTTTGAAGTTCACATTGTGATAATTGTTTCATCGTATTTGAGCTGGCAATATATCGCGAATCACAATGTGTGTAAGGACTAGGCGATATCTGGTTTTCAACATTGTGATAACTCACTAGCTCAACCTCACAATATCACCAGCTAAACATTGCAATCTGCCACAATGTATGAAATTAAGGATGGAACTATAGAGAGGCGAACAGGACAATGTTGGGGCAACTGCTACTACTTAGGGGTCTAAAACAGATAAATGATTGAGTGGGTGGTTGCTGAACAACTCCAGGCATGCCTGGAGGATGCGGACCATTTGGATCCCTTCCAATCGGGATTCAGGCCTCATCATGGGACTGAAACTGCCTTGGTTGTGCTGGTTGATGATCTCTGGTGGGCTAGGGACAAAGGTGAGATCTGTTTCCTAGTTCTGCTGGATCTCTCAGCGGCCTTTGACACCATCGACCGTAACATCCTTCTGGACCATCTAGAGGGGCTGGGGGCACTGTTATACAGTGGTTCTGCTCCTTCCTCCTGGGCTGTGTCCAGAAAGTGGTGGGGGGGGGATGAGTGTTCAGACCCCTGGGCCCTCTTGGGTATCCCATAAGGGAAAAGGAGCAGCTTTTTTTTGTTATAACACCACCATTATAATTAACGTATTTTTTGCTCTATAAGACTCACTTTTCCCCTCCTAAAAAGTAAGGGGAAATGTGTGTGCGTCTTATGGAGTGAATGCAGGCTGCGCAGCTATCACAGAAGCCAGAACAGCAAGAGGGATTGCTCCTTTCACTGTGCAGCGATCCCTCTTGCTGTTCGGGCTTCTGAGATTCAGAATATTATTTTTCTTGCTTTCCTCCTCCAAAAACTAGGTGCGTCTTGTGGTCTGGTGCGTCTTATAGAGCGAAAAATACGGTATCTTCTTTTGCTTAAATCAACTTTATTCTCCTTCTACACCATGGTTTACCTAATGCCAGTTGTGGATGCAATTTCTTTAAGGTGCTGAGAAGGCTTTTGCATGGCTTCTTAGGAAGCTGCTTCCAGTTCATGCTCTTCTTATCATCTGATCTACATGATTGAGAAAACACACACATACACACACAAATCAAAACAGATATATGTTTCAAGGTCGAAAATGTATTGCTTTATTCTAGCATTTCTTAACGCCCAAGAAGAAAGGAAATTATAACGCTCCCACACTCCAAAGCACCTTTTGTTTTTTTGAAGTGAAACATCTGGTAGCAGCTATTGGGTTTCGTGAAAAAGCGATAGAGCTCTCTTAACTGAATTTGGATCTAATCCCAGAACACACAAATTTTATTTAAGTTTGATTTAGGCAGTATTCCAACACGGAGTTCCCTATCCTATTTCAGTGTCTGCATTTTTAAAGACAGTTTTCCACATTTTAACTGATTTCCCCCTCCAGTTGGGGAAGGAGGGAATTGCTCAGGTACAATTAAATTTGGCAGGCATACAATTTTGTACCTTCATCGGATTTTTAATTTTAATGAGACTTGAACATGCACGGCAAAAGATTCAAGGGTTTTCATTTTTCAGATATGGCTTTAAACTATTATACCTGCAAGAGATGCAAATATTCAAAGCCACGATGAATCACTATGCTGTTATTTCTCTGAGATGAAGGCCGGTGTCAGAAAGAAGCAAGCATTTTTTTTATTTTTTTTTTGCAGACTGGGAACAGACTGTCAATCAAAAATAAATAATTTGATCCAGGAGTGGGGAACTTTTAGTCCTCCAGATGTTGATGGACCACAACTCCCAACATCCCACACCACTGGCCATTCTGGCAGGACTGATGGGAGTTGGAGTCTATTTGCATCTGGAAGGAAGGTGAAATAATTGCTGGAATCTGTTGTGTCCATCAGCATGCCATCATTTCACACAAAGCCTACGCTATGAATGCAAATGTGGGAACCGCTCCTTTATACGCAAGATCAAGGGCAGGAACTAAATAATTAGTGTTTGTGAAACACGCACAGCTGCAGTATAGCGCTTCACAGTTTCTCTGCTGCTTAAAATGAGGCCTGTGTCTTCTGCAAGGGAAGCTACATCAAGAATGCAGAAATATAATTCTGGCTGTGTGCAGCTCATTAACATATGCCCATAATCCTTTTTGGGATCGTGACCAAGACTGGGATTGGGCATCAGCAAGTACCTGACTGGCAAAAATAAACTCAGCTTTTTATATTCCTCCTGGTGCTTGAGAGGAAGCTTTTGGAACATTTAGGAGAAATAAAACTGCACTTCAGAAAACAAAAGAAAACCACAGTGCGTGACATTTAAAAATGGGGGGGGGACGGGATATGGGATTTGTGGATTAATACTTAATGTCATGTGTTACCATTGCTAAGGCCAACAGTTAAATGTAGAGGTATATGCAGATATAGAGGCTAGATTATTCACAGCTGCATTCAGTTCTTAAAATGGGTGAGATGGAGAGAAAACACTACAAGAATGATATCAGTGCTTTTAGAAGAATACTTGCTTCTCCCTGACACAGATATGCATTTAGGGGAACCCTGCAATTAAACAGCAGGCAGTCTTCAGCAGCAACAAAAACTAATATGAGGGGGGAAAATGACCTATCAACCCGCCCAATATCTGCACACAAACAGCTTCTCATTGTCACTTCTGTTAATAGACTCTGAAAGCAACTGAAGTCAGACAATGAAGAGGACCGTCTGATGAATGAAAGCTATTCAACATTTTTCTGGCACTCAGTAATGCCTCCATCACTATGGTATAGTTGGTAGCACCAGAGTCACACACAAGACCTGCTTATCTGTGACAAGTGTCTTATCTGTGCCAGCGCTTTGCTTTTCTGAGAAGTGCTATTCTTCCTTTTCCTCAACGCAAGGTCATCTTGGCAACTGTTCCTGGGTAATTCTGCGGTGACCAATGTAAGATCTGTATGCTTCTTTACATAATACTTTGTGTTTTAGTTAATGTCATCTAGCTCCAATTAACATTAAGCTATTTGTTTGGCGACTGACTTGATCCTTGCTGCAAAAATGATCAAGAAGTACGCCACTAGTAGTTTAAAGGCTTTATTTTAACTGTGTTTTAAAAGGTGCAAACAACAGTTTTGCAATCTGAACAATTTATCTGTAATTTGGATAAGTGTTTTCTCTAAAGGCATGGATATGTATTTTTCTAGAAAGAGCTAATGTTTCACGGGCAAGTGTCAAACTTAACATTTATTGCAAACTGTGGGGAAAAGGTTTTCTAGCAAATGACCTGTGACCAACATAACATGTGACACGCAGAGATGGCTAGACTGACTGGAGAAATCAGAAATCAGGAGGATCAAAACTTCCATAGAGAATGGGACAAAAAGGTTGTATTTAAAAGAACCCTGTGAACACTTGAACTCTTTGGCAGGTTTTGAATAACCCTTGAAATGTTACAAAGACTTTGGATATTTTGGAGGACTCTAATTCGGATGAACTATAATATGCAGTTGATTAAGATATTTAAAGGACCCACAGAGGGGAGGAGGGAGGTCCTAAGATTCAGAAGAATCTTGTTTTATGTTTAATATTCCAAAACAAATTGTCAATTGTGTGATTTATTTTGTAAAATCAATAAAAAAATATTTTTTAAAAAACATAACGTGAAAATTCATTGATAGACACCCAAAAATAAAAGCTTTCAAAGGAAGACCCAAGTCCATGTGGGCAGTTGTAATGCTCACAAGAATTTACACCTGGCTATGGCAACACCCTAATGATTTGTTTCTTTGATTTGTTTCCTACTGGCTGCAGGAAGCGTCCCAGAAGTCAGTCCCCGCACAGAGCAACTGGCACAGCGCGCCAGTTTAGCTCCACGCGGGGACTGACTGAGCGGGTGGCAAGGGCCGGGGCCAGTTTAACAACCCCCTCGGGCCATATCTGGCCCATGGACCATAGTTTGCCGACCCTTGTTTTAGTACAATCACATAGGGACTTTATTCCTGGTGTTGGTGGTGTTAATTTTAAATTATGTTGCGGCTCATTTGCACTTTGTGTTCAGAACTGCCTTTGACCTTTTGCAGGATTGCACTGTTCCCTGACGCATGGCAAGAGACCTTCAGCTTCTGGGGGGGGAATTATGTCTCTCTAGGTCAGGTGTGTGGAAATTCCAGCCCATGAACCAATCTTGGCCTGCTGGACTTCCCCATGAGGCCATTTCTGGGCATGCATCCTATATTATATTTTAACAGAACTCCAGATATGAGAGTCATTCACAGGTTCCCCAGTATAAATTTGTGGACTAACAGGTTTATCATTGTGTTTGAGAAGCAGTTTAGGTCTTCTGCTTCCGATGACTTTCTGTCCTGAAAAAAACAAGGTGTTGTTTTGGGACTACCAGGCAAGCTGTATAAGAAGACCCCTGTTGGATCAGGCCAAGGGCAAGACTGCCTAGATCATTCTCACCACCTCAAGCCATGGTTTGGTGTCAGATCTAAAGCAGCCCATTGATTTGTACTAAAAGCAGCACTAACTGTAATGTGGCTTTATCGTTTTGAACACAGGTCTTGCACCAGATCAAGCGCACAGTCACAGGCAAATACATGCAACTAGAGGCTGCACTCTTGCTCCCATTACTCTGCAACCCTGCCTACCCCAATCTGTTACCAAGCCCTCTCCCTTTACACCAGGCCCAAACACCCATCCTCTCACTGCTCCTTCAGCCCCCATCCCAGCCTACCTGCTAAAACCCCCACTCTGTTTCGCCAAACCCCATCCCCCCAGTTTGCTCAGAATTCCCCCCATCCCCTTGCAACTCACTCCAATCCAAAGACCACCCAGTGGCTGCCCCAGTGGTCTCCCTTCCGCTACCCCCGAAAAAACCAACCCGGAAAAGAAATTGTGAGGACTCATATGCTACCCTCCCGAGTGCTGTTAGAACTACATTAGAGTGAACAGTTACTGTATTTTTCGCTCCATAAGACGCATTTTTTTCCTCCTAAAAAGGAAGGGGAAATGTCTGTGCATCTTATGGAGCGAATGTGTAGTCAATCGCTGGCTCCCTTTCCGGCCCCTTGCCCAGGCCTCCATTGTTGAATGTTCTGCAGATGGAGGCTGTTTGTTTCCCCAACAATATGGGACTGGCTGTTTAGATTATCTGTCTGGAAATTGTAGAAACGGCTCCCTTTCCTTTCCTAAAGAATCTGCAGAACTGTGAGTTGAACCCCATAAAAACACGATTTTTTTCCCTTTGCAAAGTAAGCTCAACAACTTTGAGCTGATCCTCAAAAACGGGGCTTTTCCCCTTTGCAAAAGAAGCTGCACAACTGTGAGCTGATCCCCCCACAAACGGGGCTTTCCCCCTTTCCTTATCTAAAAACTATCATATGGCTATGATGGCTTATGGAGCGAAAAATATGGTATTTGAATGGACTCCACTCCCATTGGCTCTGACCACTAGCTCTGCTGGCTGCGCCTTGATGGGCTCAAGTTCCCCATTTCTCGGAAGGCCAATAACAGCTCGTGGTACAGCACATGACATCTGCGCCTTCAAAGCTCCACCATGTCGTTGCTGGTCAAGCAACAACTGTGTAGCCAGAAGCAGAGGCCAGTACATTTGGACCACGAGATCACAGAATAGTAGAGATGGAAGGGACCCCAAAGGTCATATTTTCCAACCCCCTACAATGTAGGAATCTCAGCTAAAGCATCCGTGACAGATGGCCACCCAACCTTTGCTTAAAAACTTCCAAGGAAGGAGAGACCACCACCTTCCAATGCCGTCCACTAACAAATATTTGCCTTTTGGAAGCCAAGACTCGGTTTTCCAATGGTTACTAATCATTGACATGCTTTCTACTGTATCTGAGTTTTTTTCTGTTTTACAGTATTTTTCGCTTTATAAGGGACACTTTCCCCCTCCTAAAAAGTAAGGGGAAATGTGTGCGTGTGTTATGGAGTGAATGCAGGCTGCGCAGCTATCCCTGAAGCCAGAACAGGAAGAGGGATTGCTGCACAGCAATCCCTCTTGCTGTTCTGGCTTCAGGGATAGCTGTGCAAAGCTTCTTCAACAACATTTGATTCAGAATATTTCCCCCCCTTGTTTTCCTCCTCTAAAAACTAGGTGTGTCTTATGGTCGGGTGCATCTTATACAGCGAAAAATACAGTAAGTCCGGGAGCAAGAGCAGTTTGCATGAAGCCACACACAGATGGGCTTCTGAGACTCCCCTCCAAAACTCATCTTAAAAATGAAAGCGCAGCTCACTCCCTCAGTACCATTCACCAAACTACTCCCAAAACTCAGGAAAGGGCATCTACAGCTACAGTTGGGGCAGCAGGGAGCAGACGGAAACCAAAAAGCAAACAGAACGGCCTAGTATTCAACTCGAATGACTTACAGGAATCTAATGGACTTTGGATCTATTTTAAGGCCAATTCACTGGCTTGAATGGATAAAATAAATACATTCAAATTCACATTAATGCCTTAAAACACAGAGAGACATACATACACAAAAAAACAGAGGATATAAATAAAAACTGGGGGGAAAACAACCACTTACATGTACACCATGTTTGTATCTAAGTCAATGCAAACCACATCTTGTGGAGGGTCATACAGATCAAAGTATCGGGAGTCAACTCCAACTATGAATGGGACGGGAGCACTGAGCACCGTTGCCAGAGACAAAGGACAGAGGGGGATGTAGGGACACTGCCACTGAAATGGGAAAATCATCTGAAGGAAAAACGAAAACGAAACCCATGTATTAAAACATAAATAAAAAGTGATGTAACGTCAAGTCATTCTCGTAACACGGACCACCGCAGCAAGAACTGCAGCAGCAACGTTATAGAATAGCAAACTCAAAACTGTATATAAGATATCCAAATTTGTTGTTTTAATAATTGCCAGTGCTCCTGTAAGTGCAATAAACAGAAAATTTAGCTTCAAGGCAGGTTTGGTTGTATAGACAAAACAGTTAACAAACATCAAGTATCAACAAATGCACAAAAACAGTCAAGAAGCCATTTTGGCATGTATGTGGCAGAATAATTGTGATGATGATGATGACAATAATAATAATAATAATAATAATAATAATAATAATAATAATAATATAGCTCAAATAACATCATCATCATATCGCTCAAATAACAGAAGCATTTTCCCCTTTCAAAATCCTGTGATTTCTTCATGAATAGGAATAGCATTTTAGAAGTAATTCACCATTCACTTTGAGCTGAAGAAAGTAAGAAATGAGATGGTTTGGCCAAGATGCACAATTCACAGGACGAATAAAAGAAATGTTAGAGCTACAGACATGCAAAGGTAGAGGGTGGGAAAATGAAGAGAAAATCAGACATGGCTATCTCTTCTTTTTTGCAACACACAGTTTCTGAAAAGTAGAGAATGCATTTTTTAAGCATTACATTTTTTTAAAGATAAGGGGCCATGTGTCATTAACTTTGCTTAGACTATAAATGGAGAAATACTATGAAAATTGCCTTTGAAATTGTTTTTAAACACTGACTATCATATGCCTTGAAAGAGGAAGTTATATCTTCCCCTTTCAAAAGCACACTGGGATAAAGAAGAATTTGGAGCCCTAAGAGTTCAACTGCATTCTTCATTTCTCTTACCTACATCAGTGAAACTAACAACCCAGAACCGAAAAAATGATATATAGGTTTTATCCTTCAAGATCACTAGACATCATGCATGTTAAAAAAGGTCATGTTGCATTTAATTTATTTTTAATTCTCTTGAAAACAACATTTCCAAGGGTGTAATCCAGCTGGTGTTCCTTCTGCTGTTATTTCAGTTGAGGCACACATCAATAGAAGAGGAAGGGAGGCGATTTTTGCCTATTCCCTTCCCATCTCCCACAGACCCTCCAGACCAATTGTGGGGGGATAGACAAAAACTGCCTCCCTTCTGTCACCAGACAACTCCATTTAATCAAAAGCTGTTGTGTTCATGGAAAGGCACCAGTTGGATAGGTAAAGGTAAAGGGACCCCTGACCATTAGGTCCAGTCGTGGCCAACTCTGGGGTTGCAGCTCTCATCTCGCTTTATTGGCCGAGGGAGCCAGCATACAGTTTCCGGGTCATGTGGCCAGCATGACTAAGCCGCTTCTGGTGAACCAGAGCAGCACACGAAAACGGCGTTTACATTCCCGCTGGAGACGTACCTATTTATCTACTTGCACTTTGACGTGCTTTCGAACTGCTAGGTTGGCAGGAGCAGGGACTGAGCAACGGGAGCTCACCCCGTTGTGGGGATTTGAACTGCCGACCTTCTGATCGGCAAGTCCTAGGCTCTGTGGTTTAACCCACAGCGCCACCCGCGTCCCCACCACCTGTGGTATTCTATCAGTCTAAAGACTTGTTTCAAAACAATTGCCACCAACATTTTAAAAAATGAACGAACAGCTTGCAAGAATCCGGATTATGGATTCAGGACTACCTGAGCTCTCCCAATTTTGCAATTTTGCAAATATAAAAAAGCACAATCTGCAATTGTTCAGATGCTTAAACATTCCTTAACAGCAAAAAGCTGTAAAATCACTTAAGACTACTCTAGTATAAAATTCTTGCCCTCTAGGTAACTGAAGCTGAACAATCTACTTGTCCATCTGTGCCTGAGCTGTCCCCATACAAGTAGTAAAAATTACTACTGTATAGGACTTTGCGTATTTCCCCCAGAAGTAGGTTGATCTCTTCAATTGTCATGGAGAGGCAAACTAAGGCCCGGGGGCCAGATCCGACCCAATCGCCTTCTAAATCTGGCCCGCAAATGGTCCGGGAATCAGCGTGTTTTTACATGAGTAGAATGTGTGCTTTTATTTAAAATGCATCTCTGGGGTTATTTGTGGGGCATAGAAATTTGTTCTCCCCCCCAAAAAAAAAAAATATAGTCTGGCCCCTCACAAGGTCTGAGGGACAGTAGACTGGCCCCCTGCTGAAAAAGTTTGCTGACCCCTGTATTAGATGGTCAGTGCTACATTAGTTCTGAAAACAGTAGAAAGGAAGAAAGGAAGGAAAAAAGAACAGAGGGCGAGAGGAGGGAGAGAGAGAGATTCACAAAGCTGGCTAACTTTTAAAACCTTGTACGAGTCGGCAAAATGAAACATGAAAATGTGAGGCCAGCAATAGAATAGGCTGCCTACTGAAATTAAAGGGCTGCTCCAAAGTCTGCAGAAATACTGTTATTTCAGCTTTAAAGGAAAACACGGCATACTTACAGCTGCCACTGCTTCCGCTACTCCAGTCAGCACAGCTGGCCGGAGAGAGTGCAGCAGGATCTTGCCCTCCAGCAGCACAAAGAGGAGTAAAGTGGCACAGTTTTCTGGTCCAAGATTCATGAGCAGAGTGCTGAAGTTTGCTCCACTAGAATGCGATCAGAAGATTCAGAAGTGCAACATTTGTTATTTGTCATTTTAACAGCTACCAACAGAATGCATCATGCCGGACAGCGACGCAAGTCAGTTCTGTCCTTTCCCAGGGCAAGTCTCTGGTTGTGCTGTGGCAGCTCAAGTTATACCCTATGCGAGGCAAGGATGTACTGCCAGATAGACCAATTTCGCCCATCCCCACCCCAAATCATCCTGCTACACCGGGCAGTGGAAGCTTTCGTTAAAAGCACAACAGGATTGTATAGTGGAGGCTAGGGCCAGGCAATATCTGGTTTTCAACTTTGTGACATATCGCCAGCTAAACAATGTGGTACACCGCTATACCACAATATCTGAAATAAGGAGGGAGCTATGTAGGGGCATTGGCTGGCTTCACGGTTTTCCCCACATGATTTTTGCATAGCACACAAACACACACATCACAATTTGCAATATATTGCCAGGTCAAAAATTACAAAACTGCTATCACGATATGGACTTCAAACTGGTTTGGGGCAATATATCAACATATCAACCCTAGTAAGAGGCTATCCACTGGTAAAGGGAAAACCAAAATGTTCATCATCGGAGACATTCAAAAACCGAGATACCACTGTAGTGTGGGCCACTGTTGTTTACCGTAAGGGAAGCAGGAGCGAAGCACAGCAAGGCGCTCATCTCGCTTTATTGGCCGAGGGAGCCGGCGTACAACTTCCGGGTCATGTGGCCAGCATGACTAAGCCGCTTCTGGCAAACCACAGCAATGCACAGAAACACTGTTTACCTTCCCGCCGGAGTGGTACCTATTTATCTACTTGCACTTTGACATGCTTTCGGACTGCTAGGTTGGCAGGAACCGAGCAACGGGAGCTCACCCCGTTGCGGGGATTCGAACCGCCGACCTTCTGATCGGCAAGTCCTAGGCTCTGTGGTTTAACCCACAGTGCCACCCACGTCCCATGATGCACATATAGAAAGTTAATAAATAGATAAATACGGGTACACACACACAGTATCTTCAAACATTCCATTGCTTTTCAGAGTTATCAACTATCATTACCTGAGTGGCAAGGGCGTAGCAACCGGTTGTGACAGTATTAACGTATCATGCGCAGAGAGCTGGAAAAACGACAAATGCACAAATATTAGTGAGCCGGCCGAAAACTCATGTAAGCGTTCTAATCAACCATGTGTGAGGCGTGTGCGTCACATGGTACTGTGGGATTGGGAAGACCCTGGGAGGCGTCCAACACACTTGCTGTGGCAGCAGAAGGAGGAGCTTAGATTGCGGAACAGAAATTCTCCTCCTTTTCCTCTCTCTCTGTGCCCTCTAAATGGATTTTGGGGTTCCCCCAACCCTCCAGAGCAGGTTGGGGAGGGTGCAGAGCAAGAATGGCGAGAAGAAAATGGGAAAGTTATGTTGTACATATGGAAAAGGCTTGTGCTAACGGATTAAGTCTATTATATATTGATTAACTTTCGTGGATAGTTCAGTTGGTTACAGTGAGGTGCTGACAGTGCCAAGGGCTTATGTTCGATCCAGTGCCGGATATAGATATAAGCTAAACAAGCTCTAGCTTAGGGCCCCACTCTCTTGGGGGCCCCCAAAAAATTTAAAGGAAAAAACCTGGCTGGACATTTCCAAAATATAAGATAAAAAACAAATAAAATAAAACCTACATACAGTTAGAGCTTAATAATTATTTCACTATTGATATACTTCTTCTTAATTGTATTTCACTATTAATATACTTCTTCTTAATTGTATTTCAGTCAACAATTACTTTGATAAAGTACATATTTTAGATACCTTTAGATACCTATGAGGTCCATAAATTACCATATAGCATATATTCAAAACAAAAAACAGCGACAATTTGTTGTTGACAAAGGACAGCTGGACATAGAAAGGGCCCCATTACCTTCAGGAGCTGAGGGCATCATCAAACCTAAATCTGGCCCTGATTCAATCCCCATACCTGACAGTCCCTTCCAAATCTATGATTCTACATAAAACAAAGCAATTCAACATGGAAGTCCCACCAGCACTGCAATTGTAAGCAGCATTCCTAGGGCGCTCAATGTATTTCACTTACTTACCTGCACAAGAATTCTTGGTCTTTGGGGAGAAGGGAAAGGTATGTTGTGCATAAAGTGGGATATGTGCCTGTAAAGACAATTATAGATATTTGTCATCTCAAAACCATCAAGTCTGAATTTAAAGTACACTCACTATTTTAAAAAGGATTTTATTATTTTTTAAAAAATCAAATGTAAACATGCAAAATGAATTTAGTAGCCACGTTCGTAGCACAAGTGAAATTCCACACCGTTTTTAAATGATGCAAAGAGGAGCACTTATTTCAAACCACTAAAGCTAAATTCACCTTTCCAGTTCAGAGGCTTATTTAAGCTGCTAAGCGTCAGCACTTAAAGAGTTAAGCAGTTGCATAAATACTTAGGAAAGATCAAGAAATCCCGAAAGGGTCTTGCTAGATCAAGAGAACCTGCTTTCCTTTGGTAGTGTGCTTACTGAAAAGAATGAGACCACTAATAATTGTTCAGTATTCAGGTAGGTAGTTGTGTTGGTCTGACATAGTTGAAATAAAAATAAATAAAAAATAAAAAAATTGTCCAGTAGGTCTATAAGGTGCTAATGGGCAATTTTTTATTTTCATTTTATTTTTATTTCAAATTGTTCAGCATGTCACTGGGATCTGCAAGTGAAAGTCAAGTGTGGCAAGACTACTTGCTAGGAGCTTCAAAGTTCTGAAAGATGACACTCAAAGATGACAACAAGAAAGGAATCAACAAACCATCTCAGAAGACAGTGCAGATAAAAATGACCACATGCAGGGAAATAAGCAGAAAACAGGTATACTCCGGAAAGTACTTCAGGGCAGAGAGAAGAGGAAAGATGGATTTGGCAATGCTTTTGCAACTATCTGTATTTTTTAATTAAAAAGGGCACATGTGAACTCAGTTTAATAGAAATCACTAATGTTTAGCTCTCAGATTTTTAAGAAATATTTTGATGCAATAATCCTGGTCATTTTGATGTCACTATGGTACTTAAAAGGTTGCTACTTTCTTCCTATGCTATCCTTCAAATTAAAAATATGTCCCAAAATTGACTCCATATACTCACAGCTGCATGACCAAAACAGATTGCCTATCACCGTGGACGTGACTTGATGTTACGTAAGTTAAGAATCTCAAACAGCCTAAACCCACCCAAATATATTTTGCCGTGCTATTCTAATGTTTCTCGGTCTATGATCACTGCGGCCAGGGAGAAGTTTGCTGCCCCATCTAAGTATTGGCTGTCAGGTTAACAATATTATTCAGCTCCCGTACCACTAAGGAATGTGAAACTGTTAATACTAAATGTCAGTAACACATCTGTCTATGTGATCCTTAAAAAACCCAAACATACCCACTGGAAATTTCCTGATTTCACATTCAACGCACTATCAGTGTAACATCTATCAATATGATGGCAAATGATTCCAGGCATCTGAGTAACCAGCTAGGTCTGCAACTCTACCCAGAAAATCAAAACCTATATATTGTTCATTTGCATGTTTAGAATTATCCCTTGAAACAACACTTGAGACTAAGGTAAGAAAAGAGTTTTCTTCCTTCCTTAGAACATGGATTGAAGATTTATTTTTAAGTTTGTGCTTCCTGCAACAACCATCTTCGCAGCTGAAAATGTTACTGCTCAAGAGTTAAGCCTAAGAGCCGACTTAAGCATAGCTGGAAAATAGCTCTGATTTAATTAAGATTGGAGTATGACTTCCTTTGATCTCAAGCCCCTTAGTGCACAAGAAATTGTAAATGCAAGGCTTTTAACACTGTCTCTTTCGTTTCTTTCAGGAGAGCTGCAGAGTATTCCTACTGAAACCTCCATCAGCACACACATACAGAAACACACAAACTTTCTGAATAAATCACTTCGGCAAACTATTCTGCTGGCACATACCTCACTTTGACAAATAGTTTTTTATCTTTTCCTATGACCAATGTTATAACGGCGATGAATAAAATCATTCCAAAGTACCTGCAGTTGCCAGATTCTGCACAGGAGAAAGTTCTGAGATTTTAATTTAAAAATATTCAGGGTGCTTCTCCGCAGGACTTAAGAAAGGCTGTACCTGCCAGAGTCCCGACACCACAGTAATATTAAAGGCACTAAATATTTATTCTATACGTAATCAGGCAACCTTAACAAACTTGCAGTTTATTTAATGATTCTTTTAATTTTTATTTATGGTTTTCCAGAATGCAAGCGTATCTTGGATTCCGAAGTATTTGTATGTTACATTTTTGACAAGAAGAATAACGAGAACCTATTAGCCCACCTTGCCTCCTAGTTTCAGGTAACCAATGGAGAACCATTGTTCATTTGTCCATATTACATTATTATTTTGTACTATATCCTATTTCTTTTTTCAATTCAATAGTCATCTTAGAAGGTCAATCCATAACTATCTGATATCAGGAATCACAAGACAGAGAAACCAGTAGGAGAACACTTCAATCTCCCAGGACATTCTATACAAGATCTCAAAGTAGCTGTCTTATTACAAAAGAATTTCAGAAATAGACTGGAAAGTTGCTGAATTGCAACTCATTACCAAACTTAAAACCATGGAAAGACCTGGTCTGAACAGAGACATTAGATTCTTATCTCATACATGATGAAGCCATTTTTGGCCATCTCATCCATTGCTTTCCCCCCCTGTAAGACCAATTGCAGTCGTTAACAGTCGTCAACAGGTCTACCACATCTATCAGCCAATCACCCATTCCCACCACCCTTCTGAGTAATACCCCTCCCCACCCTCTCACTATATATAAAGGTCTAGAGACTTCTGTTTCAGTGTATCTGAAGAAGTGTGCATGCACACAAAAGCTCATACCAAGAACAAACTTAGTTGGTCTCTAAGGTGCTACTGGAAGGAATTTTTTAAATTTTTAAATTTTGTTATCCCTGTGTAGCTAGTGGATTCTTTGAGTGGTACTGGTTGCTTATGTAAAGAATAAAACAATGACAAATATTAATAAATTTGCCTGAGTGCTTGTTTTTGTGCAGGGGTTTTTATTTCTTTTCTTTTTTTTAGTCTGAGTTATCTTTTCCATTAAGGTTGTGTACGAAATCCTTTGCATCCATTGTTCCAGAGTAAGATTGTTTTCCAGTGGCAGGCTACTGTTTGGCAAGCTGCCACAAACAGACACGCGACCAGTTCTGTAGGTTTCAAATCTGCCTGATAATTCAGATAATTCGGACAACAACCTCTACCAGCTCCATGAAAAAATTCAATTCAAAAACTATTGGGGGACACTAGGTTGGGGAAGGCTGGACACTGGAAAACTGGTGCCAGTGCAAATCAGCATCAATGGACCAAGCAAAATACAGTATCCTACCAGATTTTTCGCTCTATAAGACGCACCTGACCATAAGACGCACCTAGTTTTTAGAGGTGGAAAACAAGAAAGCAACGCAAACCCCCTTGAGCGAAGAGGCAGGAGTGCTCCAGCTGCGCTCAAGAGGCTTTGCATGGCGATCCCTGAAGCCAGAAGAGCAAGAGGGATCGGTGCGCACCGATCCCTCTTGCCCTCCTGGCTTCAGCGATAGCTGCACAGCCTGCATTCACTCCATAAGACGCACACACATTTCCCATTACTTTTTAGGAGGGGAAAAGTGTGTCTTATAGAGCGAAAAATACGGTAAGTCATCTTTGTCTTACAACTCAATTTTGGGTACAACTGTTTGAAAAACAGAGACATCACCTTGCCAACAAAGGCCCATAAAGCTATGGTTTTCCCAGTAGTGATGTATGGAAGTGAGAGCTGGACCATAAAGAAGGCTGATCGCCGAAAAATTGATGCTTTTGAATTATGGTGCTGGAGGAGACTCTTCAGAGTCCCATGGACTGCAAGAAGATCAAACCTCTCCATTCTGAAGGAAATCAGCCCTGAGTGCTCACTGGAAGGACAGATCGTGAAGCTGAGACTCCAATACTTTGGCGACCTCATGAGAAGAGAAGACTCCCTGGAAAAGACCCTGATGTTGGGAAAGATGGAGGGCACAAGGAGAAGGAGATGACAGAGGACGAGATGGTGGGACAGTGTTCTCGAAGCTACCAGCATGAGTTTGACCAAACTGTGGGAGGCAGTGGAAGACAGGAGGGCCTAGTGTGCTCTGGTCCATGGGGTTATGAAGAGTCAGACACAACTAAAAAACAACAATTTGAACACTCCACACACATCAAATCAAACTTATTTCAAAACAAGCATGATTAACCTTACGATTACTGAGGCTTACCCTCATCAAGAATATATGGAATTGCAGGCTCAGAGATCCATTATATTATGGCCCTTTGGATTGAGCAAAATGCCTCTCAAATTCTTTTTCTGTATGCTAGGTTCAAAATGGCACCATAACCATCAAGGCTTCCTTGATGGCCGCTTTATAATTATGGTCTTTCAGAGAATATTCTGAAAGCACTTGAGGAGCCTTTTGGTTTGGACCAAATATTGGTGGTTTTGACAGCACAATCCAATATTGTTTTACTCAGAAGTATCACAGAGTTCAATGAGACTCCCAGGTAAAGGTGCTGAATATTACAAACTTAGTTCATCAGATAACATCCCACTGCTTAGCAGTGAGGGCAGGAACTGGATGTGAAAAGGAGAAACACTTTGTTGAAGGTTTCAGCTCTACTTTGAAAACAAAAGAAAAACTGTCTTGAAAACTTAAATGAAAACCATTATCTCAAGCAGCAGTAACTGAATACTTTTGGTTCTTGTTGCTTAAAGTGGCAAAGGAGCTTATGAATTTAAAGGCTTCTGTTTACCCCCAAACAGCAACAAAATTCTCTTCATTTGCACACCACTCATTTCAAATATACAAGGAAGCTCACTATCTTTTTTTAAAAAGCTTTTAAATTACTTTATTGAACTTTTTTAAAAAAGCAACACAAAATCAAAATCATCCATAACAAATAAACATCAAAGAATCATCAGTATCTATTACACCTTATCACTGTCGTCTTCTAATTCCATTGACTTTCTGTCAACTCCATCTAGCTTTAAATTTATATTTATCTAGCACACTGTTTGTGTCTATTTTAAATAATTGCTTAGCCAAGATATTGTAGTTTCTTAAAACTATTCAGTGTATAACAGAAGCTATTCAAAGGCTGCCACGGATTTTATATTGTCACAAACTTTTATGTGACTTTTAAATAAACTTCATTTGTTGAAAAATACTATCAGTGGTTCTGTTGTCATGCAGATATAGACAAACATGGTTATCACCCAGGAGAAAGATGGCAGTGCCATTCCTGCATCTAACTTCTCTCTCTCTGTTTCCGAGCCACTGCCTGCTCGGATTCTGCATCACTGAGCTCCTGATGAGCTGTAACGGAAAGAAACTAATGGCATGAATGTTTTCCTTCCGTGCTGTTTCCAGATCAGGGGCTCATAAAATGGGTACAGCAAGGCTGGGCGATGACTAGAGCACAAGGGGTGAAAGATGTCCTGTGAAGTTGACCAAGTGCAAGAGGAATGATGGCGAGGCCTCCATCGCACCCTCAAGGTGACACCCAATGCGGTTTGTTTGCACTGTTTGTTAACATCTCCTCCAAGGCGTGGCGTTTGGGACACTTTCAAAACCTACTGGTGGTGGCAGTTGATAAACAGATGGCAATTCTAAATTCACTGCAGCTTCCCACCTGCAACTCATATACTGTAGTTTTCCGTGTATAAGACAAGGTTTTTTTTACTGTAAAATAATGTTAAAAATTGGGGGTTGTCTTATACACAGAAAGTGCAGAGGTGGGGAGATGGGCTACTGGTTGCAGCCACGAGCAGGAGCTCGTCAGTGGTGATTTGGTGGGTGATTGGTGGCTGCGGCAAGGGCTGCTGTGGATTGGCTATTGCTGCAGCAATTGGGCATGCGATTGCAGGCTGCTGTTGGCAAACAGGCAGACACTCGGTGGCTTTGGTGACGCTTGCGATTTGTAGCGTTTGTCGGTTGAGTTAGTGATTTTTGGCATTCTCCCCCCCCAAAAGAAAGCTCAATAACTCTGGGCCATCTCCCCCCATTTTCTTAAATTGGAGTCCCCAAAAATAGGGGTCGTCTTATACATGGGGGCGTGTTAAACACAGAAAAAAAGGTACACGTTTGTGGCACTTGTAGAACTAACAGTCAGCATTTCCAGTCCAGAGAATGAAGTACTGATATTGCCATGGCTATTATGGCAACAATAACTTAGTTGGTGATGCCAGATTCTGGTCTGTTCTTCTGACCTTTTAACGCAAAGCTAACAGGAAATGGAAATGGAAGGAGGCCACATAGCAGCAGGTTTTGTTTCTTCCCTAACAGCACACCAATGCACAGCGGGACACAACAGGAGTTCTCCTCCACCTCTGCTGCTTTCACTTTGAGATCTTCAAGCATGCAAGAGTATAAAAAGTAAAGGTAAAGGGACCCCTGACCATTAGGTCCAGTTGTGGCTGACTCTGGGGTTGCGGCGCTCATATCGCTTTATTGGCCAAGGGAGCCGCCGTACAGCTTCCGGGTCATGTGGCCAGCATGACTAAGCTGCTTCTGGCGAACCAGAGCAGCGCACGGAAACACCGTTTACCTTCCCGCTGGAGCGATACCTATTTATCTACTTGCACTGTGACGTGCTTTTGAACTGCTAGGTTGGCAGGAGCAGGGACCAGAGCTCACCCCGTCACGGGGATTCAAACCACCAACCTTCTGATTGGCAAGTCCAAGAGGCTCAGTGGTTTAGACCACAGCATCCCCCGTGTTCCTATAACCAGCTCCTATTTTGTGCCATCCCTATCCTACAGAAACTTCTACTCACATGCAGCACAAGAGTCAAAATAAAACCCAGATGCCTTTTCCGTGTGCAATGGCTTGGCAGTGGAAAACCACAGCAGTAATTCACAGCGTGCGCCACAGCTTAGCAATAAGAATACCAGAATGAGCACCTTCGCATAACTGTCCCTCATTTTCGCAAAAGCCGTGAAAACAAGGAGCAGACTTGGATGACTTCCTACTTACTTTTCAATGGGAAGAGGATGCGGCCCAGACACGGAAAGCTTATAAATGAACATGAGGAATTTTCGGAAGGCTTCAAAGAATGGCCAGTGTGACAGAAGGCAGATGCACTTGTTGGAATTTATGGATTTTGAGGTAACCACTTTTCTCTCGACAGCTGTCAGGAGGCCCAGTTGCATGTGCTGCTTTTCCGACAGCAGCTCTCGCGAGTAAGGCTCGTAAAACTGGATAGCAGCGCCGTACACCTATAGGAGGGGAGGGAGAGCCACGTAAATAATTACCTCCAGCAACTGGAGGAGAAGGGAGTTATCTTGATTCTCTAAACATGGAAGGAAAGAGATATTCTTCTATCCGCCCACTCCCAAGATTGCTAGAATACACGATTTAGGTAAAGCACGAAGTGTGATACAACAGTGCTATAGGACCCCAAAGTGAAATCAGTAGCTAGTATGCCAAGTTACAAGGAACCAGGCAGAGGGTCTTCTCAGTAGTGGCACCCGCCCTGTGGAACACCCTCCGATCAGATGTCAAAGAGAACAACAACTACCAGACTTTTAGAAGATATCTGAAGGCAGCCCTGTTTAGGGAAGCTTTTAATGTTTGATGTATTACGGTATTTTAATATTTTTTGGGAAGCCGCCCAGAGTGGCTGGGGAAGCCCAACCAGATGGGTGGGGTATAAATAATAAATTATTATTATTATTATTATTATTATTATTATTATTATTAGGGCCCATTAACATTGCGAGAAGTGAAGTTACAGGGAACCAGGCAGAGGGTCTTCTCAGTAGTGGCACCTGCCCTGTGGAACACCCTACCTTCAGATGTCAAGGAAATAAACAACTACAGTCATCCCTCTTGTTACGTTTGCTTCAGGTTAAATCTTTTCAGGTTGCGTCCTGCGGCGACCCGGAAGTACCAGAAAGGGTTACTTCCGGGTTTCGCCACTCGCGCAGACACTCAAAATGACATCACGCGCATGCACAGAAGCGTTGAATCGCAACCCGCGCACACACAGACGCAGGTTGCGTTCTGCTCATGTTTTGAACGGGGCTCCAGAATGGATCCCATTCGCAACCAGAGGTACCACTGTATTTGACTTTTAGAAGACATCTGAAGGCAGCCCTGTTTAGCGAAGTTTTTTTTAATGTTTGATGGTTTACTGTGCTTAATGCTTTTAATTTGTTTGAAGCTGCCCAGAGTGGCTGGAAAAACCCAGTCGATGAGCAGCATATTATTAACAACAAAAACAACAACACCATCATCATCATTTCTGGAGTAAAATATTATCTAACATGTATATTAAACCGGGATGCAATATGACAGGTCAAGGAACTATGCAGGTTTGGCTTTGATATGCAATAAGAAAGGAAAACAGAAGATTCTAACTGTGACATATGAAAACAGAATGCTACGGTTCTCAAGACATACCTTTTCTGCACTTGAGGCAGTCAGAACAAATGTTGAGAATACAGGCAGCGGGTATTTGGTTTGAGGGTCCCAGCATTCAATGGTGGCCCCCATTGGAAGACAGAAGAGAGGTACAGATTCTGATAAGGGGAATGACTCATAGTCATCTTCTGGGTATCTGAATATCAAGCCTTTCCAAAGGGAAAACAATGAGATACAAGCATGTTTCGCGTTATCTTACTCTGTATGGAGATAACAGAATATACGTATAGAGCAATGTTAAATGGCCATGGTCATGTGTTCGAGCCTCATTCTGGGCGAAAGATTCCTGAATTGCAGGGGGTTGGAAGAGATGAGCCTCATTGTCCAACTCCACAATTCTATGATTCTCCCACATTTGAAGGACATTCATCTTAGCCAGGGATGGGGGCACAAAAATGGGACAGGGGTCCTTCTCTTTTTTGCTTCACCAACTCCAGGCAGGCTGAGGGGCAGGAGGGTCAAACCCTTTGGGGGATCTACAGGGTTTGGGATCCAAAAGGTTGCAATTCTCCTGCTCCTCACCTGAAGTGCCCTGTTTTGAAGCCTGGCAACGCCTACTGATGGAAGGAGAACCAACAGCTGGAGCTTATAGCCCACCTAAGCTGAAGCCTCTCCAGAGTCGAACCCACCAGTACCACCAGCGCTCTTTTCTGCCAGCAGAGAAGACACCATAAATCACCTTACCCCATCACCAGTGATCAGCACCAGGGAGTTAAGGGTTGCACTCACAAAGTAAGAAAAAACCTGGATAAGGCTGTATGGTATCAGGAGCAAAAAACCATGACTAATCCACATAACGTGATTGGAAAGCATGTTGCAAAACAAAATTCAAAACCATTATGTTTTTTTAAAAAACAACCATTTAGGCAGCCATGTATCATGAACTTCTACTTCTAAGTGAAAATTTGACTTTAAGCCATAAGGGAGGCTGCATAAAAGTTCCAAGCAACGACTGGATCACCTTGGATCAAATCTATATTTCCAGGTGTCATAAGAAAGCTGCAGAGATAGAGCAGGATAGTACGCACCCTGGAAATGATCTCTTTCAGCTTCTGCCTTCTGGAAGAAGGTACAGGGTTATAAAGACTCAGACTAGCAGCCTGAGAAACAGTTTCAATGCAAATACAATTTTGGTTTTAAACACAGTGTAAGGTAGTCTCTATGGGAGTATATTGTATTTAATTATGGGATATCAGAGTTTTTAGGGGATTAACCAAGCTGGGATAGCTGAGATAGCAGGCGTGTTGGTTTATGAATGTCTGGTGTAGATTTTTTCAATTTCGTTGTTCTGTATGGGACAATGACAATAAAGATTATCGTATCGTATCGCTTGTGCCATTCAAAACGGTTACGTTATAAATTCGCCCCAAAGGAAAAAGCCAACACCTCTATGATCAGTGCTTTTTGCTATGGCACGCTGGAACATTAAAAAACAAGCTATTGTGTTTGCCCATTTGCCTTAAGGAGTCAAAATGGTTGCACTAGCTGAACCTCTGGAACGGATGAGCAGGGAGGAAAAAGTCCTGTTGCATCTGCTGGCTCAGTGCTAACTGGCCAACGATTCCATGCCGACAGGCCCGTTCACCTTACCCCATGCTTCTCGTGTTGTTATTTTGTAAGGAACTCTTGGGGTAAGAGCAACATCTTGGGGCAATAAACAGAGTTTCCCCAGTTATTCCTGGCTGCTGTTCCTTCACGGAACTGTGAACACACTTCCAAGCTTCTCCATCCATAGTCCTTTCTGGCTTTACAATTTCTAATTCATTTATTTTGCAGATTCTGCAAAATTCGCTTCGGTTGAAATGAAATCCAGTGGGTCGAATAGTGTTCTGGAGATACCTGGGTTCAAATCTTCACTCGAGGTGATGAAAGGAATAAAAGGGGGCAGGGTGCAATGAGAAACCCACGTACACTGCTCTGAGTTCAGTGGAGGAAGGATGGCAGAATACAAAGAACAATGTATAATCAAACGTCTTTATTCAATGAAGTGGATGGTGTTTAAGGTGGAGTAGTGGAAGCTCTTTGGCATCAAGAAATCCCAGCCGGCAAATTTAGTAAGCGGCAAAGTAATTTAAAGTAAATTTAAGGTAAAGGTTCCTTTGACTGTTAGGTCCAGTTGCGGACGACTCTGGGGTTGCGCGCTCATCTCGCTCTATAGGCCGAAGGAACCAGCGTTTGTCCGCAGACAGCTTCCGGGTCATGTGGCCAGCATGACTAAGGCGCTTCTGGCAAACCAGAGCAGCTCACGGAAACGCCGTTTACCTTCCCGCCAGAGCGGTGCCTATTTATCTACTTGCACTTGACGTGCTTTCAAACTGCTAGGTTGGCAGGAGCAGGGACCAAACAATGTGAGCTCACCCCGTCGCATGGATTCAAACAGCTGACCTTCTGATTGGCAAGCCCTTGGGCTCTGTGGTTTAGACCACAGCACCACCTGCATCCCAAAGTAAATTTAAATCAGTGCTAATATTATCTGCAGTATATGGAAATAAATAACTTACCAGCTTTGTATGCAATGGAGTTCGAAGCTGGAACGGACTTCTTGTAACACAGGTATACACTGGAACCCCACTGCGAAGGTACCAAAAATGAGATCATCACCGAAGTCAGTGCGTGGGAGAAAGAGAAAGCACCAAACATCACAGGAGAACGGCTTGCCTTTCAAAACCCTCCCAGAGCCAATTGCATACCAAAAAAATTGTTCACGCCTGCACATATATCAGTGGCCGGATTCTACTGAAACAGCAGTTCCTCCAAAAACAAAAGAAATTTGGACCAATTTGACAAGGTAAAAAAAAAAAAAAGGAAGTTAAGAAGAATAAACTAACTGGATCCACACCAGGGTGGTAAAGGTTTTCTTTTTTAAAAAAAATATCTTATTAATTTTTCATGAAGAAAAAAACTTTGCAAATGTTAACATAAACCATAAGTTACTTTATCAACTGACTTTCCTGTCCTCCCCTTTCATGGTTTCCATATTCACCTTTAAATGTTGCATATTTCGCCTATGCTATTCAACGCATTCAATTTACCCTATTTAGAACGGCCTCCGCTTACGAAAATAGACATGTAAAGTATCTCAGCATAGTGTTTTATCTCCTCTTGCTTCACTCCTGATCTGTATATTTGTGGTAAAAAGGGAAGGAAAGACTAGTTCTGCTCTGTCTTGTATGGAACAGTTTCAGGGACTCAGAAAAGTGCTAAAATTCAACCCCACACCAATATGTTCTAAACTGGATTCTACTGACCCTGTGCCTACACTTCAGTAGCGTTATCTGAAAAACTACTTTGAAAAGGTGTTTTACTTTCATGTATATCACCACAAACACAGCAATATATTTATTTTTAAGGCACTGGAAACTTTTGCAACTGGCTTATAACTCACAAACGAAGAACGCCAACAGTAAAATCAACTTCTTTCACTTCCACTTTAATAGCTCGGCTGTTATTCATGACAAAAGTAAAAGCTACTTTTTATCACTATAACACCAGCAGTCTTCCAAAGTTCAACTCTTCCCTCCTACCCTGTTCTTAAGAGAGAGAGAGAGAGAGAGAGAGAGAGAGAGAGAGAGAGAGAGTAGTTGGCTATCTCATAGATATGGATTCTGGCAGCAGAAGTGGAAGAAGGAAGAAATACAGAGCTGTGGAAAATGAAGTGACGCAAACTGTACTCAGAGTTAAGTAAATTAGGTAAGAGTGCAATAAATACTTTATTATTATTATTGGAAAAAAACATTTTTAGCAGAAGCAACAAGCCCCAAAAGCATTTCTGCCCCCTCACCCCATTACAAAGCCAAAGTTTCAGACGACAACGTATTAATCTCACCATGCCACAATTCAAATTCTTATCGACTTTGCAGAATGTATGAGGCGGGGTTTCTCCTTTGCTGGTTACAATGACGCAGATGTCGGTAACGGCCAAGGAGTTTTGGGGTCGCACCGGGGGAGCCCTCCGAAAGGTGATGAAGATTCGCTGGGAAGTTGCTGAACTGTTGTTGACGTTCGCGCAACGGCCGTAGGGAGTAGCCTGGATCACCTCACAGCCCGGGATCAAGCGTTCCTTCCCTTCGTATAAAACTCTGCAAGCAGGGAGGAATAACGGACACAGGAACATTTCACACACATAGTACCAAATTATTTGCCAGTGCACGATTATAGAATTATATACCCTTCTCAACAGGATCCCTTTCAAGCACAAATACAGTGGTACCTCGGGTTACATACGCTTCAGGTTACATGCGCTTCAGGTTACAGACGCTGCTAACCCAGAAATAGTGCTTCAGGTTAAGAACTTTGCGGAGGGGCCACTAGGGGCGCATCGGAAGATGGCTGACAATAACATCTCTCCAACCCGCACAAGGTAATTAGGAGGCTGTGATGGGAGTAAATAGCCTCCCTACCCCCCCAAGTTTGTTGGGGGGGGGGCTGCCCTTGCCTGCTGTGCCCTATACCACCCCCGAATTTGTGGGGGTGGGGGCACTAGGCAGAATGCCCTTGTGCGGATTTCGGCGCTCCTGGACGCTGTCTCTGATCCGCGCCTCTAGCTGCAATAACTTCAAAAGAAACAATTAGGAGGAAGCGAATGCACATATTTCAAGGAAGGAGGGGGAGTAACGACTGCTAACTGAAGAGATCTCTGAAAAACAAGACGAGTCGGAGGAACAAGAATAAATCATGAGAAGACTCACCAAGGCTCGGTATGGCAAAGGGACTGGATGGGGGAGGGGGGAAAAACTTTCCTTTCTTTTCTCTATGTGATTAACCAAGAATCCCCCCCCCAAGTCACAAGTCAGAAATGCCGTTTTAATGACTGTGTGGAGATAACTTTCTAACCAAAGCATGTTTTAAGAAGACCGTGGAAAGTATAAGAGCTTTGGAATGACGCAGTAAAAACTACCGTCGCCATGTTGGCAAGTTCTGTCGGAGGACTTGAGTCTGGGAGGAGGATTAGAGCTGCTTTTATATTGTGGGTGAGACTCCTCAGAGGGACTTAAGAGCGACAGATCTGCGAGATGGAAAGAGCGATGTTATTTATGAAAGCGATGATATATGGAAACTATCTTGATATGAGGATTGGACGTATGGAAAAATTCACACAGGGTTATAATTGGTGTTTATCAGCTTAAGGAGATTATCAGAAGAGATCATAAAGAAAAAAAGAAAAAAATAACGAACAAAATGAGATGTGGAAACAGCAAGATAAGACTGGATAGAATTATGAACATTATTTGGACTGATTTGGACATTAACGCAGTAGCAAGATGATCGGAATCCCCCTTCGGAACTTGAAATATGGGTCCCCTCAACAAAAATTTAAAATTCGGCTTTGTAATTCGGAATTTATGTGATGTGATTTGATTTGATTTGGTTGGTTAATAAAAATTATTATACAAAAAAAAAGAACTTTGCTTCACGATAAGAACAGAAATCGGGCTCCGGTGGCACAGCAGCAGCAGCAGGCCCCATTAGCTAAAGTGGTGCTTCAAGTTAAGAACAATTTCAGGTTAAGAACGGACCCCCGGAACGAATTAAGTACTTAACCTGAGGTACCACTGTAATGATTCTCAAGGAATACCGAAAGAATTCCCATTGACTGCTGCTTTTCCATGAAGACGGTTTTGCGAAGAGCATTGTGGAAACTAGAGATGGGCGATATCTGGCTTTCAACATAGTGATAGATCACCGGCTAAGCATTGTAATTTTGGCTGCACCTGTTTTTGTGATACGTTGCTTCTGCATGAGGCAGGGGAGAGCTAAGCCGGCAGTGTTAATGGGGGCTGCAGGAATCGAGAGACGGCTTCACGGTTTCCCCCACATTTTGTGTGTGTGCGTGCGCTCGTGTGCTATGCAAAAATCACATTATGATTTGCTATATATTGCCAGGCAAAAAAAAAAGATGAAACTGATATCACAATATGGATTTCACAACAGGATTTGGATGATACCGTATTTTTCGCTCTATTAGATGCACCGGATGATTGAACACACCTAGTTTTTAGGGGAGGAAAACAAGAAATAAGAAAGGAACGCAAAGCATCCTGAGGTAAGAGGGAGCGCTCCTCCATCTTCGCTCAGGAGGCTTTGCGGGGCTACCCCTGAAGCCAGGAGAGCAAGCAGGATCGGTGCGCACCAATTCCTCTTGCCCACCTGGCTTCAGCGAAAGCAAGCCTACTGGCTTTCCTTCCTTTAAAGGGAGCGTGGCTCTTGGGGGCTTTTCTGGGAAGTGGGGGAAGGGCAGCCCTTCTCCCTCCTCGGGAAAAGCCCCCACACGCTCCACGCGGCTCTTTAAAGGGAGCGCTGACAGAGCCTCCCGCCTGCATTCACTACATAAGATGCACACACATTTCCCCTTACTTTTTAGGAGGGGAAAAGTGCGTCTTATAGAGCGAAAAATACGGTATATCACCCAGCCCTAGCACACATCAGGACCTAACACACAACATCACCAAAGCGCAGCTTCTGATTGGCCTCCTGCAGCCAATCGGAAGCTGCAGAAGCCCCATCGGACATTCGGGTTCCAAGGAACGATTCATAAACTGGAACACTAAATTCTGGGTTTGCGGCGTCAAGGAGCCAAGGTATGACTGTACTTACATTCTTTCAAACATGTACAGTTTTGGATAGGACAGGCTGTCAGGAGTTCCAACCCTGAAGGTCTTTTTTTTTTTTTTTTTAAAAAGCAAAACCACAATTTTATCTCCCACACTGATGCAGCTCAACGACTAACAGGTCCTTTTCCGAGCGTACGTTTCCGAGCACAATTCAAAGTGTTGGTGTTGACCTTTAAAGCCCTAAACGGCCTCGGCCCAGTAGACCTGAAGGCGCATCTCAACCCCCATCGCTCTGCCCGGACGCTGAGGTCCAGAGCCGAGGGCCTTCTGGTGGTTCCCTCATTGCGAGAGGCAAAGCTACAGGGAACCAGGCAGAGGGCCTTCTCGGTGGTGGCGCCCGCCCTGTGGAACGTCCTCCCAGCAGATGTCAAAGAGATAAACAACTACTTGACATTCAGAAGACATCTGAAGGCAGTCCTGTTCAGGGAAGTTTTTAATGACATCTTAGTGTATTTTTTGTCTTTGTGGAAGCCGCCCAGAGTGGCTGGGGAAACCCAGCCAGATGGGTGGGGTACAAATAATAAATTATTATTGTTATCATCTGTTTTCACCGCAACACTGCTCACCCGATGTCTGTAAGAGGCGGCTTGTCCCTGCTTCTCTTGTAACACAGAAAGAGCTCCGGACTTTTGAGACTGCCATAGTTCAGGTTGGCCTGAAGTGCTGTGGGGGTTGCTTCGACACAGGTGTATCCCTCGGGAACGGTTTCTCCCGCTGACTTGATGATGATAGCAAGATCTGTGATGGGAGCTTTGGGGCCAACCGACTTTGTTTCAGAGCGATTTACTTCTTGGTCCAGAAGCGTTGACGTATCTGTGAGTCCAGCCACTACAAAATAGTCCACCACTCTTGGGCCTTTATCCTCTATCATAATTGTGCTGGGGGGATTCCTGCAAATTATGAATGGAAATCAGGTTAAGAACCATCTTTTTAAAACAAAAACACAACAAAAATGTGATAATTATTCCAGGCACACGATTCCGAATGAAGATGGTAGGTCTCTTCTAATTGCATAGGTAAGAGAATAACAGGAGAGTCATTTATTACATGAATCAACCCTTAAGGCATGTTCACTATCCCAAAAGAACCTAGAGCACAGGTAGGCAAACTAAGGCCCGGGGGCTGGATCCGGCCCAATTGCCTTCTAAATCCAGCCTGCGGACAATCAGTGTGTTTCTACATGAGTAGAATGTGTCCTTTTATTTAAAATGCAGCTCTGGGTTATTTGTGGGGCATAGGAATTTGTTCTCCCCCCCCCTCAAAAATATAGTCTGGCCCCCCACAAGTTCTGAGGGACAGTGAACCAGCCCCCTGCTGAAAAAGTTTGCTGACCCCTGACCTAGAGGATGTTGATGGTGAGATTTCTGTGAGCAAGGGTGCCGGAATTCTGTCTCTTCTAATTTTATTCCACCCCCACCCCCCAAAAAATAATCCATATTCTAAAAGTATGCATTCTCATCTCTTTTGCTCAGCAAAAAAAAAAAAAAAAAAAGGTGGGGGGAGGAGGAAGAGAAGAATCAACCTGAACTTATACATCAAGCTGAGTTACATGAATTCAGATCATTGGTCCATCTAGCTCAGAATCGAGATCACAGGCAAATATTTGCTTGGGGGTTGAACAACAGAGGAAAGGGTTAAGAAACCTTTTGTGCTCTGACACCTGAGGTTTCTTAACCCTTTCCACTGTTGTCAAAAAAGGTTACTTATGTATGCCATAACTGCAGCCCGTGTATTGTTAAGCCCGAAAATGGAAAATGAGCAAGGTCCGAACCAAAGAGGAATGGCAACTTAAACTGATGGAATATGCGCAGCTTGTGGATCTAATTTATAGAATAAGCAGAACATTCTTTTAAAGGAGATTGGGAAATGTTTATTGAATATATGGGGGGAAATTGTGTACACTTGAAAACGTTGGCAGCTTTAAGATAAATCCAACGGTGTAAATAAGTTTTGATGGAAGTAATAATGGAATAGTGAATGGTTTAGTTTATATAAAATATGCAGGGATTTATGCTACGCAAAATGAACCAAGGAAAGAGAAGAAGGGAAGTCATTAATATTTTAAGGTTGTTTAAATGAATATTCTAAATTGTAAAAAGAAAAATAGTGTGTGTGTGTGTGTGTGTGTGTGTGTGTAGAAAGAAACCTTTTGTGCCCCTTCTAACCCTTCAAATTGCAGCAGCGCTTGTTTTAAAACCACATTAAAAATATTCACAATAATTTATGTAATTTGTTCCTCTGGCCTGAAACCAGAAGTCTCTTAACCGATTTGCGGTTAACCACTTTGCCCTGTCCAACCATCCCCAAAACTGCTATGCTGCATAGAGGCTACTGTCAACTTTTAAACATGAATGAATCTGGAATTATTCTATTCCTTGTAGATTTATCCCTGGTGTCTCAGAAAGGAGTCATCTGAAACTCTCAGAAATAAGTCTTCCCTAAAATCTACCATTCCCCCCACTGCTCTTCTTCATGATCTCCACCTCTAATCTCAAAACCCCCTGTAATACTGCAAGTTATCAGATTGATGCTAGAGGCTCTTATGTAGCTCTTGTCCAAATCTATGACTGCTAATGCAAGAAGGGACTCATCTGAACAGAAGAGCAAGCATCAAATAAAGGAACTGTTAATGCAAGGAGCCTCTGTTCTAGGAAAGCCCTGATCTATAGGTAATGTAAAGGTAAAGGACCCCTGGTAGGTTAAGTCCAGTCAAAGGTGGCTATGGGGTTGCGGCACTCATCTCGCTTTCAGGCCGAGGGATCCGGTGTTTGTTCGCAGACAGCTTTCCGGGTCATGTGGCCAGCAGGACTAAACCACTTCTGGCGCAACGGGACACCGTGACGGAAACCAGAGCGCATGGAAACACCGTTTACCTTCCCACAGCATCGGTACCTATTTATGTACTTGCGCTGGTGTGCTTTTGAACTGCTAGGTTGGCAGGAGCTGGAACAGAGCAATGGGAGCTCACCCTGTCGCACGGGTTCGAACCGCCAACCTTCCTATCAGCAACCCCAAGAGGCTCTGGGGTTTAGACTACAGAACCACCCGTGTCCCTATTCCTGATATATAGACTGGGTTGTCACTGGCTTATTGCTCTCTTTCAAAACACTACAACCAGGGGACACCAAAGACCCAACATGTTATAAAACTGAAGATTCCCTCCCACATTCAAACATACAACTGACTGTCAAGTTTTGTGAAGAAGAAGATGAGTTTGGATTTGATATCCAGCTTTATCACTACCTGAAGGAGTCTCAAGGCAGCTAACATTCTCCTTTCCCTTCCTCCCCCACAACAAACACTCTGTGAGGTAAGTGAGGCTGAGAGACTTCAGAGAAGTGTGACTAGCCCAAGGTCACCCAGCAGCTGCATGTGGAGGAGCGGGGAAGCGAACCCGGTTCACCAGATTACGAGTCCACCACTCTTAACCACAACACCACACTGACTCCAGTGTGACATCAAAAGCAGCGACTTTTCTCTCAATTTATTCATCAAAAACTCCAGTAGGTTCAATTTATTCACCAAAAACTCCAATAGGTTCAAAGCACTGGTAGAATTAACCCATCAAGCATCGTGCCAACATCTAGCAAGAGATAATTAAAACATTTCCCTGCCTTATTTTTAGCACCCCTTTCTTCTGAAGACGTGAAAGAGCACCCATTCAGGTCTTTCTGCTTCTGCTGAGGCGGCCTCAACAGACATACCAAGGGTTATTTGGGCGGCAGCAGGGGGCAAGTCCGTTCCTGCTTAACAGGAAAGATCTCCCTTAGCAGTTAATGCTCCTAAATTCTTGATAGAAAAGACATCATTCTTCTTTCACACAAAGCCACAGCCCAGGCCCTTCTATGGGATGCTCCCCAGTTGACTCCTCTATGTGTAACTGAAACATATGCGTGTGTATGTGTGTGTAAGGTATTTTATTTACACACAAACAAACCTCTCAGTGAACAGGGCACACAGATAAGGAAGATTCATGCAACTGCGGTTGCAATATTTATAGATATATCATAACTAAATGGGCAAGTACCATAGAGACACAGAGGCCTACAAATGGGAACACTCACTCATCAGATTATAACAAACAAGCCACTCCAGCTTCAAATTGTGTAAAATATTCCTTCAATAACTGTTGTCGTTTAGTCGTGTCCGACTCTTCGTGACCCCATGGACCAGAGCACGCCAGGCACTCCTGTCTTCCACTGCCTCCCACAGTTTTGTCAAACTCATGTTCGTAGCTTCGAGAACACTGTCCCACCATCTCGTCCTCTGTCATCCCTTTCTCCTTGTGCCCTCCATCTTTCCCCACATCAGGGTCTTTTCTGGGGAGTCTTCTCTTCTCATGAGGTGGCCAAAATATTGGAACCTAAGCTTCAGGATCTGTCCTTCCAGTGAGCACTCAGGGCTGATTTCCTTCATAATGGATGGATTTGATCTTCTTGCAGTCCATGGGACTCTCAAAAGTCTCCTCCAGCACTATAATCCAAAAGCATCAATAACTACTAACATGTTTAATATCATATATATATATATATATATATATATATATATATATGCACAAAAGCTTGTACAGAGCAATGGGAGCTAACCCTGTCACACGGATTCGAACCACCAACCTTCCAATCAGCAAGCCCAAGAGGTTCAGTGGTTTAGACCACAGCGCCACCCAAACCTAGCAGTTTGAAAGCACGCCACTGCAAGTAGATAAATAGGTACCGATACGGCGGGAAGGTAAATGGCATTTCCGTGTGCACTGGCTTCCATCACAGTATCCCGTTGCACCAGAAGTGGTTTAGTCCTGCTGGCCACATGACCTGGAAAGCTGTCTGTGGATAAACGCTGGCTCCCTCGGTCTGAAAGCAAGATGAGCGCTGCAGCCCCATAGTTGAATTTGACTACACTTAACCATCCAGGGGTCCCTTAATTTTCTTTTTATATATATTCAAATTTTAACCAAAGCAGCGGTATTTCTCTGCTCCAACATTGAGCTTATAGTTTCACCCCAATCCTGCCAGTCCTTTCCAATGCCCAACAGATGAGCGAAGTTATGACAAGGTAGCAAATGCACGTTCTAAGAACTGGGATGGCTCCAAACACGGCCAACATGTCCATTCACAGCAAATACATATGCAGATGCCATTAACGTTATATTTCTCTGCAACAAAATAGCATGCAAAACCAAGTCTGCTTTCTCATATACAAATAATTTTCAAAATGCTTGTTCCAGAGTATTTCTACACCACGTAGACATCTTCTCTTCTATCACTTCCTATTAAGACAACACTTGCTCCAACTTTTGTAACCTGGAAATAGGTTAACACTTGATTTACATTAATTTAGAAAGGTAATAGCTTCTTATTAAATTACACTTAATTACCTCTTCCTAGTGAAAGCAAAACAAACTCAACAAGCTGCTTCCAAGTGGCCCTACCAACGTGAGCGCTGTGTGTGTGTGTGTGTGTGTGTGTGTGTGTGTGTGTGTGTGTTTATGACAAAAAGAGAGAGAAAGAGAAAGAGAAAGAGAAAATATTTGGAAATATCCATTACTGCACATTCCTTAAACCCTATAAGAGACACATTTTTAACAATTGGCATTATGTTCTTAATTATGCCACAGAACTTGGCTTCCAAATATTTCAAGTTATCATAATTCAGTATGCAACAAAACTGCTAGCATTAAGCAACTGGTTGGACTTGTCTAGAGCAGCAGACTCCAGTCAATATGGAAATTCTTCAAGAAATGATACAATCCTCCTTCTCTACCCTCACGGCAGAAGGGTCTAATTCTTCCCCTCCCCACGTTCCCCTCTTGCTCCATACATGAAAACAGAGCTGACATTTATTAAGGACTGGAAATTTCTTATGGGCTTTTTGCGTGAGAGAGAAAATGAACTTGTAATATCTGGATTTGAAGACTGACAAAATACTGGTTTCTAGAAGACAGAATGGTTGGATCTTAAGGAATTAATATGATATGTAGCTACAGGACAGAGAACAGGAAGTCCTTTTATTTTATTTCTTCTTTTTCTTTATTCCCCCCCTTTCTTTTCCTCTTCTCTCGGTTTCTCTTTCTTTAGGTTTCTCCTTTCCTTGTCTTCCTCCTGATCTTGTTCTCTTTTAGACTAAGTAGCTGTTTTGTCTCAGTATATTACAAAAGGATACTTTGTAATGGGCATTTTTTGGAGGGGGGGGATACAGTCGTACCTCGGAAGTTGAACAGAATACGTTCCGGAAGTTTGTTCGACTTCCAAAACGTTCAGCTTCCAAAGCGTGGCTTCCGATTGGCTGCAGGAAGTTCCTGCAGCAAATCGGAAGCCGCGGAAGCCCCGTCGGACGTTCAGCTTCTGAAAGAACCTTCAAAAACCAGAACCATCACTTCTGGTTTTCGATCATTTGGGACCCAAAACGTTCGACTCCTGAGGCATTGGGAGCCAAGGTATGACTATACCTGCGTAGCCTCACAGCAGAGCACAAGCAAATTTAGTCTGAGGAAGTTACAATAACAATGAAGATAACAGTATTAGTTATTAACATAAGTGGACTAATTCACCAAAATGTTTATTTTAGAGGACGTTATCAGGAAAACACATACATAACAAACAAACGAAATCTTCCTTCAATATAGAGGAGCAGTGGGAAAGGCCACAGTAACACAAGAAATGGTTTATTTTAAAAATTAATTCCAACTTACACCAGCAGTATCCTATTTCACTACTTGCTATATGTTCGTAACACCGACTTTCACAGCTAACAATGACTTTCACAGCTGTCAAATGGAACGTATCTGATTCCACAGTGTCAAGCGGAAATTGAAGGAAAGGGCGATATTATCCCTAGGAAATGGGAAAAGTGACTACACCGAGTATTCGTTGGAACGGCTGGTAAATATCCTAACAAGAACGACAATACTCATTAGCATTTACTTTTTAATTGCAAACTTGACAGAGGTGAATTATCACTTCTTAAATTTAAGGTGTGATGATTCACCTCAATCAGGTTTTTTTGTTTTTAATTCATCTTCCCCATAGACTGTGCTGTACGCAAACTCCACTGACTCGTCAGACAGGTTTCAGCAGAAAACCTTGGCACTAAGACTTTATAAGTCAGCATTTTTTAAAAAAATAAGTTCCTTTCCGGCTTTTTCATTAAATGATCTAACCTCTATTGCAACCAAAACGTTCCAATAGTGAAGGGCAACAAAGGGGAGACACCTGAGACAGATCTACAAATTATCCTTCCCTGCAGTTCCAATATTTACAAATACAACACTTCCTGGGTGGAAAAATGGCAGTCTCACATGCATCCTTAGGAAATTAATAATGTGGCGGAAATTGAAAAAAAGGAAACCTAAAGCGTTGTTAGTGAGGTTTTATGCCCTAATACACAGCTTTGGTAAAAACAACCACAAATTATAGGGCCCTCCAGGAAAGGGATCTTGGATCTTAATTACTGAAGAAAAACGGCTAAATATGTCGTCTATAATTGACGGCTTCTGCCAATTAGTGAGATGCAGTGTTAACTGTTCGTTTCCCCCTCCCCAATGGCATTTAACTAGATGTTTGTAGTAACCAGCAATGTCTTCTGCTTACGTCATATGAGATACCCCCCTCCTCCCCCCAGGCACCTCCCACACCCCACAAAATAGCCCCTGAAGCTGGGAGAACCCCCTGTGCAGGGGGGAGGAGGGGTCATTCCATCCAGTAATCTGAAATCCTTGCCCTGACGGAACGGTTGGAAGCGCACAACATTGACTTCCTCCCCAAATCACCTGCATCCATTAAGGCAGCCTTTTTCTCCAAAGAAGACGTGGTTCGCCCCCTTCCTCAGTTAATCCCTACAGAAACCCTGTGAGGTAGGCGGAGAGGCTGTGATTGACTCCAAGGTCACCCACTGGGCTGAGATCCAGCGCCAAGGGCCTTCTGGCAGTTCCCTCATTGTGAGAAGCAAAGCTACAGGGAACCAGAGGGCCTTCTCGGTAGTGGCACCCGCCCTGTGGAACGCCCTCCCATCAGTTGTCAAAGAGATAAACAACTACCTGACATTCAGAAGTCATGTGAAGGCAGCCCTGTTCAGGGAAGTTTTTAATGTGTGACATCTTAGTGTATTTTTGGTCTTTGTGGAAGCCGCCCAGAGTGGCTGGGGAAACCCAGCCAGATGGGCAGGGTACAAATAAATTATTAGTATTCGTATTAGTATTAGTATTAGTATTAGTATTAGTATTATAGGGCAGAGTGGGGATTAGAATCCTGATCTCCCAGGTGCTAGTCTGACACTCTAACCATTATACTACCCTGCCTTCCTAGAGTACTTCTGCTATGGGGCAACTATATCACATTCCCCAGGTGCCAGGTACGTTTCACTACTGGCACAGGTCCAACGAAGACTACGTGAAGATTATGGCATTTATGTTTACTCTTTAAATTCTTTATTCCAGTTTGTCTGTTTTGTTGGATCATAGTTGTATTTGAATGGTTTATATGGGCTTTTAAATTGTTTTAAACCAAGCTTCCTCAACCTCGGCCCTCCAGATGTTTCGAGACTACAATTCCCATCATCCCTGACCACTGGTCCTGCTAGCTAGGGGTCATGGGAGTTGTAGGCCAAAAACATCTGGAGGGCCGAGGTTGAGGAAGCCTGTTTTAAACCATTTAACTGTTTAAGATCATAGGGTGACAAATAAGTAAGTTTGGAATGTCACTGTGCAACTATAGCAGGCAAAAAGCAGGCTAGGAATGCCAAGAGCCACAAAAACTGCTACACGTGCAGAGTGACACATTCTTTCTAAACTGTTTTTCTTTCCTAGGAAAAAACCCCTTAAAACAAGGTCTACAGAACTTACTATTATTTAGTATACATCTCTAGTACTCTTCAGTTAAAAGCAACAACTCAGGGAAGTTTACAAAAGTGAAGCACAACAATTCAAAACACTGGATCCACTACTTTACATTTCTGTAAGCCAATACACCACATTTTTGAAGCTGAGGTTGCAGTTCCATAGCTGCTTGCCTGGGTGTAAGACCCATTTAATTCAGTGGGACTTACCTCTGAGTAGACATAAGGAATGGTTTCTAAGTCAATCAAGACACCTGCACATCAAGGGTGTGTGCGCGCGCACACACACACACTTATTAATAGATTTATAATCTCACAGATAAAATTCAAGGAGAATAAAAATGACGTAGACCTTTGAAATTTGGGTGCAAGACCGTAAGGAGTAAAGCAAGATGGGAGAATGGAAATCAAACTTGCTTGTGTCCATAGTGAGAATTCCCGAAAGTAAAAATGTTTATTTTTTTAGTTCTTTGAACCGCACCTCCCAAATTTACCTCTCTTCGCGCCCCCCCCCATAAATGGCAGTTATGGGAACCAGTTTCATTTTTACTTGATGATAGTCTCATGTTTATGAAATGTTTATAACGTGAGTCAGGTTGGTTTCCACTGAATCATCACATCAAAATCTTCAAGCAAAGCAAAAAAGGAAAAGGGGAAAAAAATCAGTGCAAAGAAAAATGCCAGCAAGCATTCATCTCTCTACCATGTCAGCCTCGCATCATGCCACAATATACATAGCCACAACAGCTGTATGCAGCTTCCAGGACTCAGAATCCACAGCCCCAAGCAGTCCTAAAATGCAGTTTCCATTTGATATATTAGCCAGCTTTCTAATTGAAATATTTTCCGAAAGATGGTATACAATAGCTGATATAATCAGCTAAAAGGGATATGGGTGGCGCTGTGGTCTAAACCACTGAACCTTGGGGCTTGCCGATTGGAAGGTTGGCAGTTTGAATCTGCATGACAGGGTGAGCTCCCATTGCTTCTGCCAGCCTAGCAGTTTGAAAGCATACCAGCTAGAGTAGATAAATAGGTACTGCTGCAGCAGGAAGGTAAACGGCATTTCCATGCGCTCTGGTTTCCGTCATGGTGTCCCATTGTGCCAGAAGCAGTTTAGTCCTGCTGGCCACATGACCCGGAAAGCTGTCTGTGGACAAACGCCGGCTCTCTCATCCTGAAAGCAAGATGAGCGCCGCAACCTCATAGTCACCTTTGACTGGACTTAACCGTCCAGGGGTCCTTTCCCTTTCCCTTTTTACCTATAGTCAGCTAAAGGTAATCTCCAAAGTCAAAACCTATTTGAACCATTTCCCCCATCTAGCAATAGTACATTTTCAACTCCATCGAACCAGGCAGTACATTTAAACCACGTGGGTGGTTATTTTTCTATTACACATTCTATTACCAAGCCAGGAGGAGGAAAACTAACAAGTTACCAGGCTCATTTCTGCATATTAGACTCCTGCACAGAAAAGATCAATGGTTTGCAGCAAGCCTTTCCCATTTTGCTGGGCTGTTCACAACCATGGCAAAAGAAATCTTACAATGCCAAGCCTTTCCTACCCTCACTATTACTAGTGTGTTTCAAAACAATGTTATGTTGAGCAAACCATTTGCTGTTTGCGAGTAGGAGTGCGCAAACACTATTGTTCCCATTTAAAGTTATCAAACTTGATATACTTGTGAAGCAAGATGAGCAGTGTTCGAAATTAGACAGGTGCTAGGTGCATTTTTATATGCCTGTTGTCTTTGTCCATGGAGTTTTCTTGGCAGGGATACTGGAGTGGCTTGCCGGTTCCTCCTCCAGGTGGATCACGTTTGGTCTAAACTCTCCACTATGACGTGTTCATCTTGGATGCCCTGCTCGGCATAGTTCATAACTTCTCTGAGTTATTCAAGCCCCTTCACCACGGCTTGGCAGTGATCCATAATTTCAGCCACGAAATTAAAAGATGCCTGCTTCTTGGGAGAAAAGCAATGACAAACTTAGACAGCATCTTAAAAAGCACCTTAAAAAGCAGAGACATCACCTTGCCAACAAAGGTCTGTATAGTTAAAGCTATGGTTTTCCCAGTAGTGATGTATGGAAGTGAGAGCTGGACCATAAAGAAGGCTGATCGCCAAAGAATTGATGCTTTTGAATTATGGTGCTGGAGGAGACTCTTGAGAGTCCCATGGACTGCAAGAAGATCAACCTATCCATTCTGAGGGAAATCAGCCCTGAGTGCTCACTGAAAGGACAGATCCTGAAGCTGAGACTCCAAGACTTTGGCCACATCATGAGAAGAGAAGACTCCCTGGAAAAGACCCTGGTGTTGGGAAAGATGGAGGGCACAAGGAAAAGGGGATGACAGAGGACGAGATGGTTGGACAGTGTTCTCAAAGCTACCAGCATGAGTTTGACTAAACTGTGGGAGGCAGCAGAAGACAGAATTGCCTGGTGTGCTCTGGTCCAGGGGGTCACGAAGAGTCAGACACGACTAAACAACAACAACAAGGTGCATTTTGCACCTGGCTATCAGACACCACGACCAAGAGAAGATGCCTGGATGCTAGGATGGTGCCTGACGTCTCCACCATCTGGAGGTGCATGCCTGGCAATCCTTGGATCTTGACTGTTTTCACGCACTTAGTACCCTACCCTGTATAATTCTGTTATATTTTATCTGTACAATCAGAACGAATTTCAGGAACCAAAACCAGCCTGAGCAGGAGCTGAAAACAACGTTGTAGTTAATTGTTGTCGCTTGTCGTCACTTACCCCACCCCGATGCCCTGCTCAAAGTTGTGGAGAATATTATTGCTATAAATGGTCTGTGTCACTGTTACAAAAAAGAAGTTGGATTAGGCCAATATATATGTGAACTGTCCCTGAATCAAGTGACTTTTCTTCAAGTTCTCAAAGCTCTTAACCTAGCTCAAGGTTGTCCTCTGAACTATCCGGATGTCTAACTAAGAATCAATCAAAGTCAGTCCATCATTTGAAAAATAAGACACTGGAGCAGTCTTGCGCCAAAATGGCAACTAGATGTTCCATTTCGGCGACTGTAACCTTGGTTTAAGGAGCCATTTGGCACCTAGCTTATATATCTGAGTTTCTAAAACTGAAGATGAGTACAGTGGTACCTCGGGTTAAGTACTTAATTCGTTCCGGAGGTCCGTACGTAACCTGAAACTGTTCTTAACCTGAAGCACCACTTTAGCTAATGGGGCCTCCTGCTGCCGCCACGCCACCGGAGCACGATTTCTGTTCGCATCCTGAAGCAAAGTTCTTAACCTGAGGTACTATTTCTAGGTTAGCGGAGTCTATAACCTGAAATGAATGTAACCTGAAGCGTATGTAACCTGAGGTACCACTGTACTAGAACACGACGTGCAAACACACAAAAACAACCCAAACACCAAACAAACTCCGAACCCTACAATGTAAAAGCCGTAGGAATGTAGAAAAGCTACAATATTTTCTTCTTTATGGAAGTAACATCAAGACGCAATTGCAAATCATTCTGACACCGTTTTCTTCTGTGTGTCAGCAGAGCCTTATCAACCTCCAGATGGGGGGAAAGTCATTCACATCATATGCTTTTGACCGTTTCCATGATAAACACTCTGTTTAACAGCAAAGATATCTTCAATATGCAGAAGATACGCCGGTGAATTCAAAACTGAAACATGAATCATTGGAAGGGAAGTAAGGACGGCATTCTACAATAAGAGATACAGATGTCTTAAATGCAGCCGTGGAGACAACATTAACTTGTCCCTCTCCCCATTTTGGATATTTTTATTTATTTTCAAGAATACTATTTAGGCACAGAATAATTAAAATGCCTTCAACAGTAGAGATGTTTGTCATTTTTGAGTCAGTAACAGTTATATAGCAAAGAACATTGACCCCCCCCCTTTTAAAAAAAAAATAAGGTCATAACCAAAAACTAGAAAAAAGTGGGAAATTAACTTTAAATTCACTGTTAGCTGCGAAAAATGACTAGTATCTGTATACCTGAGACATTTATATGCATTATTACATCTCTGATGAGCCATTCCATTTATCAGATATTCCAATATGAAAACTCTAGCATTACAACTGGACCATTTTATAACATGGATATTAAAATCTGGTTTACAGAGTAGTCCAAGTAATATCTCAAAATTGAAGGGCTACAGTTACTATGAAATACTAAGATGGCTTTGGAAAGTCTGACCAGCAAGACACAGAAGAACAGAGAGACTGACACCTTTTAGGGCTGGGCAATATATCACCCAAAACCAGTTTCAAGTGCATATCGTGATATCAGCTTCATCATTTCTGACCTGGCAATAATACATCACAAATCATTATGTGTGTGTTTGTGTGTATGTCCGATGCAAAAATCAGAATGTGGGGAAAACTGTGGAGCCAGCCTCCACATAGCTCCCTCGTGATTTCAGACATTGTGATATATCACTATACAGTGGTACCTTGGTTCTCGAACTTAATCCGTTCCAGAAGTCCGTTCGACTCCCAAAACATTCGGAAGCCAAGGCACAGCTTCCGATTGGTGCAGGCGCCCCGGAAACAATAGCTGACAGCCGCATCGGACGTTCGGCTTCCAAAAAAGTCAGAAAACCAGAACACTTACTTCCAGGTTTTCGGCGTTTGGGAGCCGATTTGTTTGTCAATGAAGCCGTTCGAGCATCAAGGTTCCACTGTACATCAGTATATCGTGATGTTTATCTGGTGAAATATTGCCCAGCCCTACTTCCTGCCAGACCTGACATGTGTTTCCTTTGCCTCTAAGCTGCTCACAATTTCCTCCAACCAAGCAGTTACATTTGTTCTGCTGTGAACAACCTGTTTCTCCAATGCAGTCACCTGTTTTCCTTCTACAGTCTACTATTAATGGAAACTTTTCACATAAAAAAACAAATAAAATCAAGATAACTGTACAGTTTGCTTCAGGTTACGTCCCGCAGCAACCCAGAAGTACCAGAAAGGGTTACTTCCGGGTATCGCCGCTTGCGCATGTGCAGACATGCAAAATGATGTCACGAGCATGCGCAGAAGTGGCGAATCGCAACCCATGTGTGCACGGACCCGCCGCTGCAGGTTGTGTTCTTTTCATGTTGCGAACGGGCCTCTGGAACGGATCCCGTTTGCAACCAGAGGTACCACTGTACTATTGAAGTGTGTCTCGGTTTTTTCTGAATGAAGATTAGAGACACAGTACTACATGCACATACGCCCACAGAGGAGAACCCTGTCCCTGCATTTCTGTGTAAGTTGCCATCCTCAGCATGTCACCTGACTGGAAGCTCAGAGCAGTGATTCATACAGAGATACAACATGTCACCTTCTCTGAAGATGCAGCAGACTAAGCAGAGGATGAACAGGCCAGTGCCTTGCTGCCCAGTAGCAGTTTTCCCATGGCACATACGTTGTTTGGGAATTACTGGACGAGGCATAAAAGAAAATCTCATAGCATTTTTCTGGTGTGTCTGTACATATGCAAAGAACAGATTTTGCAGAAATCATAGTCTTAACAGGTTACATAAGATGTTCACCAGCCAGAAGACTGAAAAGCCTGGTTTCCTGTCTGTAGGAAGGAGCCAAATGGCAAGAAAACAGCAAGATCAAACGGCCAGGCAGCCGATAGTTTGGTCTGAGATGAGCAAGAAAAGGGAGCAAAAAGGCAAGTAAAGACAGAGCTGAGTAGGGGGTAGGGGGAAAGCAGATTTCAGTTTCTGTACTATCCCATCCTACAGATAAGGTAAAGGTAAAGGGACCATTAGGTCCAGTCGTGACCGACTCTGGGGTTGCAGCGCTCATCTCGCTTTATTGGCCAAGGGAGCCGGCATACAGCTTCCGGGTCATGTGGCCAGCATGACTAAGCCGCTTCTGGCGAACCAGAGCAGCGCACGGAAACGCCGTTTACCTTCCCGCACTTCTACTTGCACTTTGACATGCTTTCAAACTGCTAGGTTGGCAGGAGCTGGGACCGAGCAACGGGCGCTCACCCCGTCGCGGGGATTCGAACCGCCGACCTTCTGATCGGCAAGTCCTAGGCTCTGTGATTTAACCCACAGTGCCACCCGTGTCCTCATCCTACAGATAGGGGCCAAATAAAACAAGAATATATACTTCAACATGACCCCGGATAGCTCAGTTGGTTAGAATGTGGTGCTGATAACGCCAAGGTTGCAGGTTTGATCCCCGTAAGGGACAGCTGCATATTCCTGCTTTGAAATGGGTTGGAATAGATTGGCATTTCTCAAACTTGGGTCTCCAGCTGTTTTTGGACTACAACTCCCACCATCCCTAGCTAGCGGTCAGGGATGATGGGAACTGTAGTCTGAAAACAGCCGGGGACTCAAGTTTGGGAAACCCTGAACTGGAAGATCCTCAGGATCCCTTACAAGTCAACAATTCTGTGATTAGATTAAAACCTATCAACGCCACTAGCAGCAAGGACAATGAAAACAGTGCTATCGTGGGGTGGTCAAGCTCATATAAAACCCCTCGGCGCAATACTGATCTTATAGTAAAATCTGGTTCCCAGAAAATATGTCCAAGAGGACATTTTCAAGTCAGTTTCGCTATTCCTGTGTTCCTAACAAGGAGGTTTAGATTTCCTTGCAGTGAAGATCTGAGCCACCATTTATCTATGCATTGGGGGGGGGGGGAGTTGAAGTTGGTGTCCAGTAAAAACAACTGGGGTTCAAAAGCTTTTGAGAAGCCACCTTCCACGTTGGTCATGGATGAACTTTCAGTTTCACAATACGTTCTTGCCTGCTCTGGACGTGATGTTCTCTTCAGCCAGGGCATTTGACAAGCTGTTCTGTCTTGTCTCTTCTCGCCACCACTAGCGCAAGAGGGTTTTGAGTGAGCCCTCTGACAGCACTTGATCTGAAATTGCTAGAAGCAATTGTATTCCCTTCCAACTCTACAATTCTATGGTCATGAAAAGTCTAGAACAGTTCACCAGTTTGCATTACTTTCTATGGGAAAGCGCTCCTTGGTTTTGGAACGGACTTCCAGAACGGATTAAGTTTGAGAATCAAGGTACCGCTATATTATATGAATGTAGGAAGTTGTCTTAATTCAATCAAACAAATCCAGCTCAGCGTTTCCCACTGACTGTAGCAGTGGCTCAGCAACATCCAAAGCATTTCATATCCAGACATGCCTGGCTTCTTCACCCACTCACATGATTTTGCTGCTTTAATTTGTACACTGGCCAGGTCTTAATTTCAGGGTGGAAAACAGAAACAGAAAGACCATGAGCTTGATGTGGCAATCCAAAGAATTAAACTCGGCCGAGCCATGTTTCACAGGTATCGTAAAACTGACCTGAACGGTTCCTCTCCCTTTGTTACCAATAGCCTTAAACTAGACTGTTCAAGATCCCTTTACGACACACGAGTAGCAGTTCCACAAATGTTTAAAACCAAGCCTCTAACGTACCAAGCCACCAAATTTTCTGAAAGGTGTATTTGTTAGCAAGTACCATCTCAACGGCACAACGTGGTAACAAGAAACTAGATCTCTGTACAATCGTATTGGTGCACGGGAACCAAAAATGATACTATGAACTGAGTTACTCACTTATATCAATGTTACACAATCCACATCCGCCTCAAACAGACCAAAACAGCAGCACTTGGCAAACAACGTAACATCCCAAAGCTACTCTCACTCCTCAGGTTAAAAGCTAAATTGCCACCAGCCTTTTTATTATTCTTATTATTACTTACAATATTATCTCGCAGGGCTGGATATATTCCTGTTTTTATCAGCTTAATCATTTACAGCCAGAATTTGTCCACAACCACCCGCTATAGAAAATTATAGATCAACCACTGGACTTAACCACCTTGATTCTTATGCTCCTTCCATCAGGCAGAAGCAGAGGGGAAGAGAAGCAGGGCTATCCCATAATTTCTGCTAATTTTCAGCTCTCTTTAGCTCTCCCTAAACTGTCACCTAGCAGCAGCCATTGCATCAGGCAATTTGAACCATTCAATCCCAGCGAATCATTTTGAGAACAGGTGCCTGAGCTTAAATGAATGAATCTTTATATGTGTCAGCCATCGGCCGTAGCAATGAAACAATAATATGATATACAAAGAATAGAAATAAAAAGTCAATTATGTAAAATACATTTTAGGGTTCTGAATCAGTAGTCAAATGGTGGATCTTATTCTGATTGCCCCAGCTAAAAACCTGGCAAACTTTGCTGTCACCTGCTCATCTTGATCTGCCAAGAGAAAGGACACTGGGGCAGTGGCTGGGCAACCTGGAATGGACAATAAAAGAGGGGTGATAATCTCATTCCTCAAGTCTTTATAAAGAGTGCATGCGCCACCGATTCGGGACTGCCATCTCCACAGGGACAGAAGCATTTTTCGTATGGAATCTGTTGGAATCGTCCCTCAAGTACAGCCGAGGGCAAGACATTCAATCTTGAGAGAGTAAAAGCGTGTCTGTATTTTAGAATTGCTAGGTTGTGGTGCCTGAGCTAGTTTTCCTCCCTTTTCCTTCCCAATCCCTTCTTCCTTGTCATGTATTTTAGACTGTAAACATTAGGACACAGCTTTTTTATTTATTTTTTACTACAGATGTTTGGAAGCTGCTTTTGGCACTCCCTCCCCCCCAAAATTGTTTGGGGTCGAAACAATTTAATGAGATAAATAAAATACTTGAGGTTTTTGCATAATGGCGGGGTGGCACGTTACGTTCCCGTCACTCATGGAGATGAAAAATGAATGCCGCAAATAGGTTGTCCGTAAGAAAGGGAGGGGGAGATTAATGCTGCCTTCTTCCGCAGGACAGAACTGACATGCTATTTTGTCAATAAATACCACTGCTACTGTTAAAGCGGAAAAAAGTAGTTGATCAATGGATTAGACAAGGAAAACCTACAAAGATTCCTTTGGATTCCATTTCAGCCATGTTTGTTTTGAGTTTACCTTTTCAACAAGTACAGTAGTTTGGTTTTCTTGGCCTAGCTACCCATGAACACAGAGATTAGGGATTTTTGCTTTTGTCTTAGCTCATATATATTAGCTATATATTGAAGTTATAGGAATATGGGATCCTTTGTTTTTAGGAGTTCTTCACCGCAATGCTTATAAGACTGAATTTACAACTAAACTGGATTTGACAGTGGAAGTTCTGTATGTTTTACACGTGGAATTGCCCCGTTTTCTCAGAACGGGATGTCTGATTTTAACAGCACTAAAACACACACACACACATGCCTGACATTTATCTCCCTAGCTCTGATACTAGAAATTATTTCAAAGGAGTTAAAGGCACGTGGAAAGGGGAGGTATAGGAAGTTCTCTGCATTCCCAATTCATGTGCACTTTTTGTTGTTTTAAATGCCACACATGACACTCAAACCTACTGTCATCACATCTTGTTCAGCCCTTATTACTTATGTTTTCAAATCAGTGTTTCGTAACAGCCAACCTAGATTATATTGTTAAACCATATGTTTATTTTTCTATCATGTGTCTACGATGGTTTCTTATTTTGACAGCAACTCATGAGTGAGCAGCTGACACCAACTATTTAAAAAACAAAACCCACAATGCACCTATTGAAGAAAGTTTGCATTCTCAGAAGATCCAGTTTATTTAAAGCAATTTATCAAAGTTTTGGGTTAAGGGGGGACGAGAGAATCTCCATGCTGTGGGCCTCATTAGGGCTGCCAAGCCCTTTTGCTCGAGCCCTTTTGCTCACCTGGCCTTACATGCAATGGCAGGTATGGGGCAGCTAAAGGTGATGCCAGCCCAAAAAGGAGTTTCAGGTGCCACTGATCTGCAGCACCTGTAAACCTCTCTAAAGCCACAACGATCAGTGGATTGTCTGGGCTTCAAAGCACAGTGCAGGGCACTCTACAAGCCTCAACCATCATTTTTAGGAGCATCTCTCTCTCCTCTGCAGAGATTTCAAAGGTGCTCCCTGGGACGGACTCCCTCAGCCTACTGTACAAAGGTAATTCAGTGTTCCACCCACTTTTTACTCCGGACATGCCCAGCCCTGGCATACGGTCCCCTGAAGATAGCCCATGAAGTAATGTGGTCTTCAGGAGAATAAGAAGCTTCCCACACCTAGCTTAACTTTTCTATCTCAGGGGTTGCTGGTATTTGGACACATGTTTAGAGCTGGAGGAGATGAACCATAGGATTGCAGAGTTGTAAGGGACGCTTTTGAATTATGGTGCTGGAGGAGACACTTGAGAGTCCCATGGACTGCAAGAAGATCAAACCTCTCCATTCTGAAGGAAATCAGCCCTGAGTGCTCACTGGAAGGACAGATCCTGAACCTGAGGCTCCAAGACTTTGGCCACCTCAGGAGAAGAGAAGACTCCCTGGAAAAGACCCTGATGTTCCCTGGAAAAAGAAGACTCCCTGGAAAAGACCCTGATGCTGGGAAAGATGGAGGGCACAAGGAGAAGGGGACGACAGAGGACGAGATGGTTGGACACTGTTCTCAAAGCTACCAGCCTTCTTGGTGGCTGCTCCCAGACTTTGGAGCTCTCTCCCTAGAGAAGCTAGACCGGCTCCCTCCTAGCTGTCCTTCTGCCAACAGGTGAAGAACAGGCTTTTGGGAAGTGACTGCTTTTAATGAGGGGCCTGGTGCCATTTTTGTTGTGATTGCCTGTAGATCATACATAGATCGTATGTGTGTGTCTTTAATTGTTTTTTAATTATTGGGTTTTTTTCTATGCTCTTCATAGAACTGTAGAGTTGGAAGGGACCCTGAGGAAAATGCATCTGTCCCACATAAGGATCGAACCTGCAACCTTGGCATTACCAGCACCACGCTCTGAGCTGTTCTTATTTTATCTGTAAGCCACCTTGAGTCCCTGTCAGGGTATTAATAAATATACAATAATAATAATAATCACCTAGGAATATGGCACATTTATAAAATCTGACAGGGCCCACCAGGAACCATATAAAGATGATCCAGGGGCAGAATTTAGCCCCCAGTTGGACATTCCTAGTTTAAAGCATAGTAAAGTACCACTGCAAACAGGTTGGACTGAGAATTCTTTATTCACAAACACAGACAGTGCTATTAACTAGGTTTGCAAACTAGTCACAATCAAGATGCTGTACTAACCAAGGCCCAGTTATTTTTAGCAGATACTGCTGCAAAGACATATCTCTTTGGTTTATTAGAGAAGAGTCTGCACCAAAACATGGAACTAAACTCTAGATGTTTTTACAGATTAAAGCTTTAGGGATCACATTTCTTCATTCACTTTCAACCTATAAAGGCAGCAAAACAGCACATCCAGAATCGTACTGAGCGGCGTTACATACACAAAAGTGTTATGTACCAAACACAAAAAGTGAATTGGAATATTGCACAACACCAGCAGCACGGCTGGAAGGTACTGGTAAGTCCACTTAATAATATTAGCTCTTGTAGCCAGGTCCCCAAACACAGGTAAACAGAAACTGAAAACTGCCTGAATAATTACTCATGAATTACTGCCATATTTTTTTTTGTCAAAACACTACAGAACTCAGCTCACATAGCAACAGACATCATGACACATCACAGCAATTGGCTTATTTCTACTCTTTCCTGAGAAATAATGTTTATGATTTCTTACACAATTTCCTTCTAGAGTTACGTCGAATCACACAAGAATCCAAGAGAGGAGTTGGCAGGGAAAAAGCAGATAAGGTAGAAAGTTACCTCAACACCTGCAGAATATATCTCCTTTGTGCTGGCATCCAAGGGGGCCCTTTCAACTAACTAATCCTCCATCTGCCAGGCACAGAGGAAGCCAAAAGTTGGGGGCGGGGACAGGGAGAGGGAACATTCGGAGCAAATACTAAGCAGGATTTTTCCCCCACCAGCAATTCAGTTATAATGGCTTTCTCACACCGATAATGAAAAATTGAAACTATTGCTGCAACACATTGGAAATATTATTGCTAAACATGGCAATGCCCAGTGAAAGCAGCTTGCTACCACTTTCCTCAAGACTGATGATTGATGATCTCAAGAAGAAACTGCCTTGTAAAAACCACCACCTAACAAGCAAGCTACTCTTCACAGCATACCCTCCAACATTTTGGTGATGAAAATAGGGACATACTATTCCATAATAATAATAATTTTTATTATTATTATTTTTGCTCCAGACACTCTGGGCGGCTTCCAACATATATAAAAACATAATAAGACATTAAGCATCAAAAACCTCCTTCTACAGGGCTGCCTTCAAGTGTCTTTTCATGGTTACCGGTACTTATCTCCTTGGCTCCGGGGTCGCATAACCCCATACACGCCAACATTTCTCCATTGAAAACAGGGGCGTCCTAAGGAAACATTCTGGAGTGAAACCAGAAACTGGGACGGCGTCTGTAAATCCGGGACTGTCCCTGGAAAACAGGGGCACTGGGAGGGCTGTCCTATAGACAGCAAAATGACAACAAGGCGCGCACAGGTGTGTAGGCTTCCGGTTTCCGCTGCATGCGCAGCAGATGTGACAACAAGCGGCACATCTTCCCCGATGCTCAGCAAGAAAGGATGGGGCCCTGTGGGGCCGCCTTCTTCCCCGCGACAAACTGCTGCCTCCCCATCCCCACCTGCAAGCGAACGCCGCCCAGCACACCTTGGGCAGGTGAGGACATGCGCGGCGAGGAGGAGGAGGAGACAGCCATTCCCAGGAGGAAACGCGGAGCGAGTAGAACAGCGCGCGAGACTCTCTTCCCCGCCACCCCTCCCAACCCCACATCAGGAGGGCTGCCGCCGGACGCCCTCCGCTTCCCAAACCCTATACAAAAGAGGGCAGCCCTAGCTTTGGAGAGGCCACCTCGACTCCCTCCGAGGCCGGGCGCAATTCCCACGCGCGCCCTCTCTCTCTTTCGCCTTTCTGCGTTTCCAGCCCTCCTTCCCACTCACCCCCAACTTGCCCCAATGCTATGGGGAGGGGAAAGGGCTGCTGCTGCCGGGGAAGTGCGTGGGGGGCGAAACAGCCAGCCCCACGTCCTCGACTCTGCATTCGCCCTGGCCGGGTTGCGCGCGCGCGCTCTCTCCCCGCCACCCTCTCCAAAACGACCCTCTTGGAGGGCGAGCTAAGGGGGTCTCCTAACCGAGGAAGCGCCCCGGGAAGCGGCCGAGCTCTCGTCCGCCTGTCAGCCTGCCCTCCCCACCCGGCCCCCCGCGCTCTCCTCTCCCCGCCTCACCGGCGGCGCTGGCCAGACGCGGGGCTCCCCGTCCGTCGTCGCCTCGGGCGCAGAGACTCCCTCGCGGCCTGGCTTGCTCCGGCGCCGCCTCACGAGCAAGCCGAAACGTCGCTGTTGCTGGCGAGGGAGGAAGCGGCCACCATGTTCCTTTCGGCCCCGCCAGCGGCTGGAGGCGGATCCGAGGCCCGCCCAGGAGGAGGAGGAGGAAAGAGGGCGAAAGGGAGCGCAGGCGCTCCTTAAGCAGCCGGCGCTTCGCAAGGAGGCGCTGAAGAGCTCTGGCTCCTCTAACGGCAGCTGGGAGGACTCTCCGCCGCCCGGACGTCGCCTCCGCTCAGGGCGAGGGCAGGAGGAGCCTTTCCCGGGCACGGGCGCGCCGGGGCTGCGCTCCCTGTGCGCTCGCCTTGGGCACTGTGCGCTCGCCGTCCCGTTACGCACGTTTACCGGCTGGCTGGGGAGGGCGGGGGGCGGAATGCGGCAGGAAACCCCCCCCCGCGGCCCCGGCAAACGTGCACAAGAAGAGGCTGCCCTACTGGGAAGGTTTCCTTCCCCGGGTGGCGGGTGGCGGGTGGCCATCATTCTCCTTGGCCGCGCGTAAGCGAGCAGCGGGGAAGGAGGGGAAAAGCGAGCGAGCTAAACGCCGGATCTGGGATCTCCGGAGCAGAGTTGTGTTTGGGGTGTGGTGGGACACACAGCCATTCACAATGAGATCAGGTGTTAAACATGTTTGTGTTATTACCCCAACTCTGTTCATTATTTTCACTGCCATGATCCTACACTTTGTCGAAGGGAAACTCCCCACCGGAGTAGAAATCGTATACAGTATAGAACAGATGGAAAGCTCTTTATTCTGAGCAGGCTGAAAGCAAAGAGTAAGGTTACCGAAACTTCCGTCATAGAGCTTCAATAGGCTGATGACAACGTGGTGTGTGCACGCTCAGAGGATGACCTCCAAACCATCCTAAATATCTTCGCAGAAGCTTACGGAAAGCTTGGCCTATCGCTCAACATCCAAAAAACCAAAGTGCTGCACCAACAAGCACAAAACAACCCCTCTGCAGCGCCACAAATCCAACTGAAGTGTAACTTTGGAAAGTGTCAATTCTGTCAACTTTAGTTGCCATTCTTCTTTGGTTGGGACCTCGCTCATTTTCCATTTAGGGGCTAACAAAACACAGGCTGCAGTTGTAGCATACATAAATAACCTTTTTTTGACACCTGGGGATTTCAGTCTGAATTATTCCCAACAGAAAGGACTCTGGATTTGGGGGGAAAGTACATTTAAATATTTTTTTCCAGTTCATTATGGATCATTTCCCAATACTCTTTTACCCTTTTACAAGTCCACCACATATGAAAGAACATTCCTTCCACCTCTTTGCATCGCCAGCACTTATCTGATTCAGTCTTATACATCTTAACAAGCCCACTCGGCGTTCAATACCACCTGTGAATCATTTTCAGGTAATTCTCCTTCAAATAATAACATGCTGTAAACTTCAAGTCACTTTTCCAGAGTTGTCCCCAGAGGTTAGAATCTATATCGTGTCCTATATCTATTGCCCAGTGTGTCATTGAGACTGAGTGACATTTTCAGGTCCGGCCATTACAAAACTCTTTCGCAATTTTTTTCCACAGAAGGGCTGCAACTTTTTTTCCACAATATCAGCACTTTGTGCTGCACAGAAATCACAAGACATCCGACACATTTGAGTTCGCAATCGCCATGCTCCACCGCAAAGCACAACATTCGCCTCTCGTATGGCTCAGGAGAAGCAAGACTAAAAAGACAGCGGTCGTTGCATTGAGGAAGAATCCTGATGTGCTCTGTAATCCCAGAATTGGCTGGCTGAATTGTGCAATGATAAATGAAAGTTAAATATTCTTTACAACTGGCCCAAAGCATCATGGACATATGGACTGGACTCGCATCCCATTGTGAAAGTGTGTTCTGATAGTCCAGAAGTACCTGCTTTTCTGGCTTTGGCCAAAATTGTCTTTGCTATTTTGACGGCTGATTCAGTTTCCCTATTGCTTTGGGGATAGGCAGGTGAAGATGTCTGTTGATCAGATCCCAGCTGCTTTTGGAATGTTCTGAAATGCAAACTGTGGCCCATTATCAGAGAATACAATATCTGCTCTTCTATATGTGGGCGAAAAGTCTCTTTAGCCTCTTTATGATTGTCCTAGATCCATACCCTCCAACATTTCTCTGATTAAAATAGAGGCGTCCTAATGAAAAGTGGGATCAAATAGAAACCAGGATGCCTTTGTAAATCCAGGACTATCCCTGGAAAATAGGGACCCCTGGAGGGTCTGTCAATCTTTTACCTGGTAGTGGATCCATCTACCAAAAGAGACAATCTTTCTCTTCCCATGTGAATAAATCTACCCCCTGACTGCTGTGCTACTGGCACCTCCAAATTCTCCCTGCAATGCCCCCTGCCCTGAACATTAACATCATGAAGAGAAAACATAGGTTTCCCTTTGAAGTTTGGCCCTACACCTGGCTGAATTGTCCCTATTTTTAGACAGCTGTCTTGAATCAGAATGTGGCATACTCGTCGGCTGATATTTTGAATATCTTTTTTGACCGTTTGAAAGACTCTGGTCTGGAAAAATTAGCACAACTGCAACCTGTTTTGTCCTTAAAAACTACACTGCCGTTCATTCTGGCGTTTCCTTCATCTCCCCTGGAATTCTGCCAATCATTGTCCGTAGGCCTCCTTGACCGATGTGATAAATGACAAACTTATTTTCAGCCTCTGAAGCACTGAGCTTTCTAACAGATTGGGTCCCAACACAGGCTTGGACTGAACACTGCGAGAACGATTGCTGCCTTCAAACATGTCAAGTGAATTTGCTTTTCTTTCCTGATTTAGTGGCTGTTCAGTTGAGCTGTCGGAGAGCTCATAGTCTCTGCAGGCACTGCAGCGAAAAAACAAGTGGCCAAAAACCCATTGGCCACACTATCTGTCCAGCATTCAGGTAACACACATCGTATACAAAAATATACTGAACATCCAGAGTCAATTACCATCCCAGTATTGTGGCTCAAAAAAAAACACCATCAGCCACTGCCTCCGTCATTTCTTGTAGCAGTAAAGGGAAGGAGGCTGGGCTGTTAGCAAAATAGATGCATCACATTTATGACACCTCAGGTTCAACTCCTGTAGAGGAGAAGCAGGAAGGAAAATCTGGTAAACCTCAAGGTGGCATTTTGAAAAAGTGTTCCTGAAAAGTAAACATCAAAAAGAAAAGCAAAAAACAAAAGTGGAACTGAGATTCTGCAGAGCCTTGAAACTATAGGCCAGAAGCTTCTCAACTGAGATGCATAAATGCCAACCACAGGAAATGTGAATATACCCTCCCTAACTTTTGTACACAATGCTGTTGCCCAAATACACTGCGAATGGGTGACCTTATGGGAACTGATGCAGAGGTTTCAACACCCTTCTCTCAAAATCTCTGATTTGCCTGTTTCCAGTGAAATCAAGAGCAAACACTGGTCGCAAAATGGGGCACTAGGTTTAAACAAAGCAGACTGTGTCAACTGCTCATTTCCGGGTGCTTGACTTACTGTACAGGAAAGGCTCTCACCTCTGTGTTTTCTGGAAGCTTAGTCAATAAGTCCTGATCGGATCGAGATAGATGAGAACACATGAACCGAAGACCCAGTTTCTCTCACAGGCTGCAGTTCAGTGCACCCTTGCCTAGGTTGGAGTAAACCTCTTAAACACAATGGGACTTACTTGCGAGTAGATGTGCATGGAATTGCATCGTCAGGCTGTGTGCACACTATAACTTTAAAGCACATCTCCCCCCTCAAAAAATTACGGGCACTGTAGCTTATTCAGGTTTCCTGGGAATTGTAACTCTGTGCATGGGTGCAGACAGGACTTATGTTGGGGGTGGGGGTGGGCAGGACCCCCAGCTGTCATCATCCTCTGTCTGGCTCTGTCTAGTATTTTCAGAATGAAATGTCTCAACAACAGTGGTTTCAAATTACTTTTTTGAACCCCAAGGGCTCAGAAAAATCCGACTAAACCTTCCGCCATGTGAAAACTAGGAAGCTAAACAAAAAATTAACACCGGGGAGTACCTTTCATGTGGTGAACGAGTGTATATTTTGCAAAATTACAAAGAGCACTCCCTTTTTCATCTTGTTTTAGAAAAAAAATCTAAACCAAAACAAGTTTTCTCAGATCTGATGCAAACCTTTTCCGCACTTCTTCAATCCCTCCTCCCCCTCCCCATGCAGTTTTTCTGTGTGCACTCAGTAAGCAAAGCCCATGGAGATGCTCCCCTGTCATTGTTGACCTTAGCCAGGTCTTTACTCTCCGCAAAGGACTGAATGACCGCTCCAGGGGACAAGTGCATTGCTGAGCAAGAGAGATGGCCGGTCAGACCCACTGCTGCAGTATCCTGAATTCTGATGTTGTGCAGAGAACGGCTCGCACATTATAATGAATGATGAAATGATAGGCGACGTGCATTTGTGTGACAAAAGCAAGCACTGACCTTTTCTGGGGAAATGCTCTCTAGGGAGGGAGATGGTGGTGTTTGTATTTTTTTACTTGTTTTGGGGCTGACAGCTGCCGCCCCTGTCTACGCCCATGACTCTTTGAGAGGTAAACTGCAGTGACCAGAATTCATAGAGCGGTAGAATGTGATTTAAGGGGATACAGTGGTACCTCGGGTTAAGTACTTAATTCGTTCCGGAGGTCCGTACTTAACCTGAAACTGTTCTTAACCTGAAACACCACTTTAGCTAATGGGGCCTCCTGCTGCTGCCGCGCCACCGGAGCACAATTTCTGTTCTCATCCTGAAGCAAAGTTCTTAACCTGAAACACTATTTCTGGGTTAGCAGCGTCTGTAACCTGAAGCGTATGTAACCTGAAGCGTATGTAACCCGAGGTACCACTGTAATATGTATGCAGACCATATTACTGCGTGACGCTCCTTCCTGAGTGGTGGTTAGCTTGGTAAAATGTGAGGTGCTTTGTAATTTTAAGGCTACGGCACTGTGAGCTTTCAGTTAAACAAAATTACTACTGCCCCTGACTGTACCTCCCACTATTAGAGCAAATTGACAGCTCGCTGTATTCTCGGATCTTATTTAGGATAACAGAGACTTTCATCTCTTCCAGTTCAAGTAAATAAACCGAATCGACTGTGTTGCGGATG